GTTCTCAAGAAAAACTATGGTTTCCTCCGCCAAAAATAGCTGCCATGATATAGCCAAGGTCGCTGAAAGTGGTGTAAAACACCAACAAACATACAATTATGGAGAAAAAATAAGACACTTCATGAAAGTGTGACATAAGTTGATGTACTTGCACATCAAACAAGGGAAAGAAAGGTTATGCAGGTTTAAATGTATATGAGGTCAAATCCCATGAAAGATATGACCATTTTAGTATTTTCTTTTGGGAAGAAATAATTCTTCAGAAATTATTTAGTATGATTCAAATTGAGAAAGGAAATTGAATGTATTTTCTTGACTTCATCTGACTTCTAGCACGTAAGAAATTGTCATTTAGTATTTTTCTTTGGAAGCGATAAATCTTTCGGAGATTCATAAGTATGATTCAGTAATTAACCGAGAAAGAATACTGAACGTAAAGGTCGGTATTTTATGGACCCAGAGCTAAGGAAACTATATTGCTGTTTTAGGGAATATTCCACCAATCTAGAAAACTACTATCTGTATTTGATAACCAGAATCTATTTAACAATTAAAAAGTTAAAAGTTTTATAACATTTTCACCCAAAAATACTCTTGACAAATGAGATTTCAATTATATTTAGCTATGATTCATTAACATTTCATTACATTGTTGACTTTGATTAAGACATTGATATGTAAACTATCCTTGAAATCGATGAAGAAAGTGATATCCTAATAAGATCTTAGAACACTGGTATGTTAAATATTTAATGTCAGAAGTACAACTTTACTTTGCAATGTACTCAGTACCTCATTTATTTGAAGATTATTTTTTCTTTAATACTTACTAGAATGAATATTTTCATTATTTCAAAGGTTAACCAATTTTATGAGATAGCTCATTCAGCTCTTAGTTCTTTTTTTACACCTGCAGTAGGCGATGGGGGCATGAAGTGTTACCCTTGCCCTTCCGTCTTTCCTTCCGTCCGTGCCATTTTCGTTGCAAAGCGTGTGAGGGGGCATTTATGTCACCAGACACATTGTTCTTTTATTTTTGGTTTTTATGCCCCCACTGTGTTGGGGGGGGGGGGGGGGAGATAAAGTTTTACTCTTGGCCGTCTATACGTCTATCTGTCCGTACCTATATATGTACGTCCCAAAATTAGTTTCTGTTCTCTAACTTTAGTTTGTATCAGCCAAATGTTATGAAACTTATACACAATGCTAAACAATTAAGAGTCTACTTCAGTTGATTCAATTAGTTTATGTGATAGATTTGAACTGATTTGAACATGAAAGATGCCCAGTTTCGAGTTTTAATATGAAAAATCTTTCAAATATGCCATAAAACGTCACTTTTCAGATGGTTCTTGTCCAAAATGTAAGTGGCCGCATTTGTGTTCAGTCTCAACCTTTATATATGTTATGTATTATCATCAAATACAGCATATATTTAAATATTAAGACTGAACACAAGTGTGGCCACTTTAATTTTAGACAAAAACCGTCTAAAAATTAGCACAAATGCTAAAATTGTGAAGATTTTGGTAATTTTACATAGATTAATGATGCTTGTACCTGATGCATGTGCATTGCATTGTCAAAACACAGCCCATATTTATGTAACAATAGTATTCTACTTTCCAATAAACAACTATAAATTTTCATTTTAAACTAATTTGTAAAAATGCTATATTTTAGGGCAAAAAAGGGGTCTTACTGGGCCTACTCCATTGCCATTTCCACAATCTAACTTTAGTTTGCCTGTACCAAATTTTATGAAACTTAAACACAATACTTACTACCACCAAGTACAGACCAAGTTGGAATTAAGGTTGTGTCACTTTCAACATTTTCAAGGTATGTCCCTTTATAAATGGAACATTAATGCGTTTGCGGTATATTTACAAGTGGGGGCATTAGTGTCTTTATCGACACATTCTTCTTTTATTTTTCTATGTTTCTCTGGGTATGCGACTCAATCTGTTTGTCTGCTGTTTCTTTCATCTTTACATGGGAGGAATATAGTAATGGTCAGTGTGGATTTATCCTTTAATTGTCTCACTTGTGACTATAGTCCCAAAAGGGAGACTACGGCCAGGTGTTTCATTTCAGGTGGCGGCATCATGCAACAAAGTTTGTGATAAGGTTATGCTGGTGAAAATATCTCTGTGGTATAAAAAATGTAACCTCTTTCATGTCTTACCACCAATATGAGTTATATTTGGTGTGTCTTACCACCAATACGGGTTATATTTGGTGTGTCTTACCACCAATACGGGTTATATTTGGTGTCTCTTACCATCAATACTGGTTATATTTGGTGTGTCTTACCACCAATATGGGTTATATTTGGAGTGTCTTACCATCAATACTGGTTATATTTGGTGTGTCCTACCACCAATACTGGTTATATTTGGTATCTTACCATCAATACTGGTTATATTTGGTGTGTCTTACCACCAATACGGGTTATATTTGGTGTGTCTTATCACCAATACGGGTTATATTTGGTGTGTCTTACCATCAATACTGGTTATATTTGGTGTGTCTTACCACCAATACTGGTTATATTTGGTATGTCTTACCTTTGGTGTGTCTTACCACCAATACAAGTTATATTTGGTGTGTCTTACCACCAATACTGGTTTTATTTGGTGTGTCTTACCATCAATACTGGTTATATTTGGTGTGTCTTACCATCAGTACTGGTTATATTTGGTATGTCTTACCTTTGGTGTTTTACCACCAATACTGGTTATATTTGGTGTGTCTTATATTTTTACCACCAATACTGGTTATATTTGGTGTGTCTTACCACCAATACTGGTTATATTTGGTGTGTCTTACCACCAATACTGGTTATATTTGGTGTGTCTTACCATCAATACTGGTTATATTTGGTGTGTCTTACCATCAATACTGGTTATATTTTTTGTCGAATGAACATGTGTCAGTTTTATGATCATTTTATTGTACTTCTTTGATTAAATGATTCTTGAGGGGAGTTATGTCCCTTGATGAGACTTTTTTATGCCTATATATTGATTTTCTTTGGATGCAACTTCTTAGGATTTGACAAAATTTCTTCTCACCAATAATAGGATGATTGCTTGTCATGATATCTAATATGTCTGGGACTCGGGGTTTAGTAATATGTCTGGGACTCAGGGTTTAGTAATATGTCTGGGACTCGGGGTTTAGTAATATGTCTGGGACTCGGGGTTTAGTAATATGTCTGGGACTCGGGGTTTAGTAATATGCTTTCTTGCAGAATGTTTATTTGTTACCAAGTTCTAAATCCTACTCAACATCTGTATATAGTACTGGGCAGGGTATATTCATAATGGGTCAACATGTTATTGTCCTGAATAACAATTTTCAGCTGGACATTAAGCAGCCATCAATAGGTCATTATTGGTCATTTTGATTTATTTATCTTGATTAATGGTAGCTATCTTAACAGAATTTCTAAGAGGTCAAGGGACTGATGCATGGGGGATTTGTGTTGGCATAGATAATCATGTAAAGATGACATTTAAACAATATTTCCTATATTTGATTATCATCTGTCATTTTAAAAGTACAGTTGTATAATGATCTTTAGTTCATGGTCTGTTGACAGTAACATTGAATTTATTGTCATTTTCCAGGAGTTATGACCAGTTTCAATTGACTATTATATATAAGTCCTCGAAAATACAAATCTTTTCCAAAATGTGATTTATCACATATGAATACAAATGTTATTTGTAAAAACTTCTTACAGAGCCAGATTTTATTATGCTACCTTACATCATAAAGTTTAATGTTGAATGTCTTTTGGTTTTATTTCGTTTTTTTTTGCCATGGCATTTTGGGTTTTCTTAGTGTCAGACTTATGATGTGGTATGTTCATTCTTTTTTTTTCAATGTCCTTCTGGGACCCGTTATTCTTGAATCCATTAGCAGATTGATCTTTGCATTCATACTAGTGGAGAAGCTGCATTGATATTGAAGTGTTTGGTTTAATATTGGACTAAAAAAATACAAACCATGCTATAACTCTTCTTTGCTGTATGATTTTTTTGAGAGCCAAAACAGAATTTGCTGTAAAGGTAGATTTGAGTGTGTTTACGGGTTAGTTACAGTTTATGGCACTGTTTGCTAGTAATGGCTCTTTAAGATCAATACAATTCTCTTTAATTAGGGTAACAAATCTCTTCAATTGTTCCCTGTATAAGACAGTTTCCTTCAGTTCCATGTCATAAATCCTTAAAACTATCTTGGTAGATGAAACATGTACATGAACTTCTATGATTAGATAGAGCTATCAATATGTATGTTTTTAGTAACCTTAATTTTCTTGTTTTCCCGAAATGTTTGATAATTTTAACAAGATACATCATAGAATCGTTACATTTACTTTTCATTGTCAGAACAGAAACCAAAATGATGAATCAAGTGTGATTATGATATCGATAAAACTCCTCAGAAAATATTACAACAACAACCTAATCAAGTTTGGGATTGATGCGAACTTCACCAATATTTATCCCAAGTGGTACTGCAGTGCAGATAAGAAAACAGCAAAAATAATGAACATTTTTATTTACATGTTTTGTCAAAGAATATTATATCTGTGATGAAAAGCAGGCATGATGTAACAGAAGCATAAATAAATGTTCAGTAACGTTGTTTGTTAGCTTGCTCACTGCTGTGATGTCATTCAATCTTGGTTTTGGTTGTTTTACTTGTTTATTTGTATAATTTGCAGAAAATTCCATGGTCCATGTTTTCAAATTATGCTTTTTGAAACAATGTTTTTAGTCAATTGTTGAAGGACAGAGTTGGTGAAGTGATGTAGAATGCCTATTTGTAATAGTTAAACCTCCATAGATAGATTCCTGCAAAACAGAACCCTTAGTCAACTCATTTCCCATAGGACTTCCTGAATACCTGCCTAATCAGTACAAAATTTATGTCCCATAGGACTTCTGTTTAGACATATTATTGTATATGTTTTGTTTATTTTTTAGGAGAAGATGGTAACAGAAATCGGGATAATGAACCACTGGCAAGTCATGATGAACTGGAAGGTCCTTATGAGCATCAGATGGCTTTATATGAGGTACATTTATTACTTGTACATGTTTTGTACTGGAGACGAGCAGTTTTATGAGATTGATTTCTCCATTTCTACATATATTTTTGAAAGACAAGAATTTCACCATGTCCCTTTACTTTAAATTCAGAAATGTTTGCATGCATATATTCTTGCAAATATTGAACAATGGAAAAAGTGTGAGATTAATTATTGCTTTATCAGAAAATGCTGAATTCATATAATACTTCTCAAGTTTAAAATGCTAGTTTTTATCAGTCACATTTTTTGCAATAAAATCATTGCAAACTTTCTGAATTAACAGTATTTTAAACCAATATATAAAGCAACATTGATAACTTACTTTTATTCCCTTGTAACCTTGTGACCTTCCAAATTAGACTTATGACTGGGTTTGTACTAACATGAGCAACACGACAGGTGCCACATGTGGAGCAGGATCTGCTTACCCTTCCGGAGCACCTAAGATCTTCCCCAAGTTTAAATGGGGTTTGTGTTGCTCAGTCTTTGGTTTTTCTATGTTGTGTTTTGTGTACTGTTGCTTGTCTGTTTGTCTTTTTCTTTTTTAGCCATGGAGTTGTCAGTTTATTTTTCGACTTATGAGTTTGAATGTCCCTTTGGTATCCTTCCCCTCTTTTTTTGTAAACTTTGGGTAGTGTAGAATAGCCTTAGCATGTATGGCTATGTATAACCATCAATGTTATAAAGGTTACTTTATTAAAAGGGTTCTGTAAGCAAAATTATCTCCTTTGGTTCTGTAAGCAAATTTATTTCCTTCTTTTGTTCTGTAAGCAGAATTATTTTCTTTTTGAGATCTGTAAGCAAAATTATCTCCTTGGGTTCTGTAAGCAAAATTATCTCCTCTTGGGTTTCTGTAAGCAAATTTATTTCCTTCTTGGGTTCTGTAATCATAATTATCTCCTTCTTGGGTGATGTAAGCAAATTTATTTCCTTCCAAGGTTCTGTAAGCAAAATTATCTCCTTGTGTTCTGTAAGCAATTATATTTCCTTGGGTTCTGTAAGCAAACTTCTCTTTGGGTTCTGTAAGCAAATTTGTTTCCTTCTTGGGTTCTGTAAGTAAATTTATCTCCTTCTTGGGATATGTGAGCAAATTTATTTCCTTCTTGGGTTCTGTGAGCAAAATTATCTCCTTCTTGGGTTCTGTAAGCAAAATTATTTCCTTCTGGGACAACATTTTCGTATATATAGGCACCATGTGAAAATAAATTATTAAGCTAATAGGAATTCTTTTAAACTTTTTAACATAATTTGCTTATGACTATGTCACATGTTAAGCTCCAGGGAACAATCTTTAGTGAGTAAGGCTTTCATCTAGCTTAAAATCTTTATAATAATATTATGAAATGGAGAAAATCTAATATTAGAACTGATAAGAACAGTTTCCGTCTAGAACTTGCACATTAAGGTTCATTTCAGGGATAAAAACTATGGCCGTGGCATTTTACATCTTTCTTTTTCAATAAAGACATGTAACTTTATTTTAATTGATCTGTCTGTGAAAAAAAGCATGTAGAGATTTTGAGTGGAATCTAAAATGTCATGCAATTAAGATATAATAGCTGATATGAATTGCATAATTTCATTATTCACGTCACATTGGGACCTTGATTCATTGTTTTTGAAAAGTGCTGAAATTTAGAAAAATCCTGACAGAGTAAACAACAGTTTTATCTTTATTAACAGACAGATATAATGAAAATCGATGAGATTTTTAAAGAGATGTCATTGTGTCATAATAATTCTTTACAACCAAAAACTTTAAAGTTATAACCGTTATTGTTGAAACAGGACATTTTTTTTTATTTCTTACTTCTGCATATCCCAGGAAGTTTTAAATCTTTTTTTTATTTTCAAATGCAGCTTAATGATTTCTAAATACATACAAAATTTCATAAAAAATTGAAATGTCATTCAATACCAATACTTGTTTTAAATGAACTAATTGAAATAATACTTTATAACTAAAACTGTTATTTCAGGATGATTTGCAGGCCAGAGGTAAAATCTCACAAATCCTTAACAGGATCGCCAATTATCAAGCTGGGATTGAACCAAACATGACAAAAGAATACAGTGATAAAGACAAACAGGTATAGAATACATGGCCAGTTTGTACCCACAGTCTATTGTACAGTAGGTCTGCTCACCTATAAAGTCTACAGTGATGTAAGTCTGCCCACAGTCTATTATACAGTAGGTCTGCTCACCTATAAAGTCTACAGTGATGTAAGTCTGCCCACAGTCTATTATACAGTAGGTCTGCTCACCTATAAAGTCTACAGTGATGTAAGTCTGCCCACAGTCTATTATACAGTAGGTCTGCTCACCTATAAAGTCTACAGTGATGTAAGTCTGCCCACAGTCTATTATACAGTAGGTCTGCTCACTTATAAAGTCTACAGTGATGTAAGTCTGCCCACAGTCTATTATACAGTAGGTCTGCTCACTTATAAAGTCTACAGTGATGTAAGTCTGCCCACAGTCTATTATACAGTAGGTCTGCTCACTTATAAAGTCTACAGTGATGTAAGTCTGCCCACAGTCTATTATACAGTAGGTCTGCTCACTTATAAAGTCTACAGTGATGTAAGTCTGCCCACAGTCTATTATACAGTAGGTCTGCTCACCTATAAAGTCTACAGTGATGTAAGTCTGCCCACAGTCTATTATACAGTAGGTCTGTTCACTTATAAAGTCTACAGTGATGTAAGTCTGCCCACAGTCTATTATACAGTAGGTCTGCTCACTTATAACGTCTACAGTAATGTAAGTCTGCCCACAGTCTATTATACAGTAGGTCTGCTCACCTATAAAGTCTACAGTGATGTAAGTCTGCCCACAGTCTATTATACAGTAGGTCTGTTCACTTATAAAGTCTACAGTGATGTAAGTCTGCCCACAGTCTATTATACAGTAGGTCTGCTCACTTATAACGTCTACAGTAATGTAAGTCTGCCCACAGTCTATTATACAGTAGGTCTGCTCACCTATAAAGTCTACAGTGATGTAAGTCTGCCCACAGTCTATTATACAGTAGGTCTGTTCACTTATAAAGTCTACAGTGATGTAAGTCTGCCCACAGTCTATTATACAGAAGGTCTGTTCACTTATAAAGTCTACAGTGATGTAAGTCTGCCCACAGTCTATTATACTGTAGGTCTGCTCACTTATAAAGTCTACAGTAATGTAAGTCTGGCCACAGTCTATTATACAGTAGGTCTGCTCACTTATAAAGTCTACAGTGATGTAAGTCTGCCCATAGTCTATTATACAGTAGGTCTGCTCACTTATAAAGTCTACAGTAATGTAAGTATGGCCACTTACAGTCTATTGTACTGTAGGTCTGCTCACTTATAAAGTCTACAGTAATGTAAGTATGGCCACTTACAGTCTATTGTACTGTAGGTCTGCAGTATTGTAAATCTGCCCACATAAAAAGAGCCTTCAGTGGTTGTCTTTTGTTGCTGTATATTATATATAAAGGTTTGTATTTGATGATTTCTAATGCACAGGATACCTTGAAGTAATTGATCAATTGACCAGGATCTGTTTATCCTTCTGGAGCACCTTAGATCACCCCCAGTTTTTGTTGGGGTTCTTGTTGCACAGTCTTTAGTTTTCTAGGTTGTGTTTTGTGTACAGTTCAATGTTTGTCTGTCTTTTTCTTTTTTTGCCATGGGTTGTCAGTTTATTTTCGACTTATGGGTTTGAATGTCCCTTTGGTATCAATAGGTAATGATCAATCTACTAATTGGAATGACGACCTCTGTTTTCTACATGCCCTGTATTCAGTAACCTTCATTAGACAGAATTACATCAGTTACTTTGTGGTTATCTCATTAAGTCATGGATCAAATCTACTTGAAATTAACAAACAGGTGTTATAAAAGATGTAGGTAGAACTACAACCTCAAGGTCATATATAAAAGTAAGTAAAATAGAGAAAAATTATGAAGTAGAATAAAAAAGTGAATTTTAGCTACTGGAGTTATATCATTCAGGTAAATATAATGGAGGGTGTGCTAAACCATTATTTGGCCCCTGAATTGTAAAAGGGTTTAATTTCTGTAATCGTTTCAAAATAATCCTCAATTTTTTGGCAGTTTTGACATTTTTTCTTCAATTGTAAACAGTTTAAAATCCTAAAGCAAACACAAAAAACAACTTTACAAACCTGAACACTGACATATGAGAAATTAATCATCATCCTTTTTTATCAACATAAAAAAATGTGAAAAGATACAAAGATGGAATTTGGAATTAAAAAAAATTAAGTTAAAGACAACAACTTAAACAGAAGAATATGAAACAAGTTTAACAGACAAACAATAGTCAACGAAAGACAACAGAAAATCAAAGATTGAGCAACATCAAACCTACAAGACAACCGCAGTTGAGCAACATCAAACCCACAAGACAACCGCAGTTGAGCAACATCAAACCCACAAGACAACCGCAGTTGAGCAACATCAAACCCACAAGACAACCGCAGTTGAGCAACATCAAACCCACAAGAAAACCGCTGTTGAGCAACATCAAACCCACAAGACAACCGCAGTTGAGCAACATCAAACCCACAAGAAAACCAGAGTTGAGCAACATCAAACCCACAAGAAAACCAGAGTTGAACAACATGAAACCCACAAGAAATTGGTTTAGAAGGATATGAAGAATATTATTTGAATTTTTTGAATTCAGGAGCCAAAGAAAAGTGGTCAATACCATACTTCCTCCTTCCCATATAAATTCCTCAGAAACTCAATAGCTGTTATTTCACAAAAAAATACTTCATTTCCAAAGCAGAGTTAGAAGTGGTGACCTGTAGTTGTAAACTTCTAAGTCATTTGGTCTCTGATGGAGAGAATTCTCATTTGCAATCATACCACATCTTCTTGTTTTTATATTAGAAGAAAGACATGGTAAACTAGATAACAGGTAATTTCTTCTGTTAATTTACTCCCTCTCCATCAAATGAGTCTGCCAATTCAAAAAAGAGAACAATAAACACAATTTTCCTAGTGGGCAAGGAACTTGTGTGTCATGATATCTGATTACCCATTTACACAGAGTTTATCTTGATCCTAGGTATAGCATGTTAAGACAAGTCCACCTTTAAAGATCACATCTTTAACTATTTTGTGAATTTTTTCATGATATAATGTATTGACTTTTTCCAATTAAATGATTTCATGTGGAGTTTCTATTTTGGTTTCAAATATTATTTTTGACTTTTCTAAATGTTAAAATGTTTTAATTGTTCAGGGACTAAATGATATATTAAATCAAGAACAGATTGTATGATGGAAAAATAAAACTTTGATTTAGGTACATTAGATAACCTTTATGTGTTTAATAACATTTACTGAAAGTCATCTTGATTGAAGGTTAATTCAAGGTTAACTACACTTGATGTGTATATTGATGTGTATAATATTACCTCCTTTTACAGGACAAAAGCAAGGTATATGACACTGGCTATCTTGCATTCCTGTTTTATATTTTAGTGATTGTTTTTTCTTGGATGAGGCATTCCCAAAGCATGTTGTTAAGCTATCCTTGCATCAAATTACTTTTGTGGAAGAATTAAAATTTTTAGCTTACTTTGCATTGAATATATTCAATACACTAAGTTGATATTTACCTTTAAAAATTTGTGATAAAAAAAAAATAAACATTTAAGAGTATCGATTATGAATATAAGGAGATGTAGATAAAACATCAATGAGACAGCAAACCAGCAACAAAAATAACCAAAACACATATAGAGAGTAACAAAAGTAGTGTTAAGAACTCGATTTTAAAAATTTATTTAAATGCTCTTTAATCTATACTTCTTATTCAAATTACAATTCTTTACTTAAATGTATAAGAGGTAAATTTCAACTTAGTGTAAGTGGGAATGTGTTTTTCAATAAGACATATAGGGTTTTTTTTCTCTAATTTTGTCACTATTTTCACATTTCCCAATCGATTGTGAAAAAATTGTTCTCCACACTAGTGAAATATCTGTTCCCGGCAAATGATTGGTCGAAATTTAATTATGACGTTAAATTTTCTTGGTTTCTTCTGAATTCCCGATTGTGAAGTCATGAAAAAAGGCGACCATGCCTGATGACGTCACATATAAAGAACACAACTTTCTGCAAATCTTTGAAAAGGAAGGATAAAAATCATTAGAGAAACAGATTCCATCACTATAACTCGTGTATTACGATATTTCTCCACTCTCAACAGTTAAATTTTAATATTTAAAGAGCTCGGCAAGCCTCGCGCTTTAAATATTAAAATCAGACAGAAAATATACATCTAGTCTTCTACATCATTAAAAATGAAAAACCCCTGACCCTAAAAAATGTGTGTAAGTTAATTTCAAATGTACTATATGACTTAACACAACTATTAGTAGTCATATAGTAATTGATTATGTGTCTATAAGCTGTTTTGCATTTTATTTTTGTATTTTAATTTTATTGCCTGTTGCCAATAGCAAGTGTTGGTAAATGCTTCTTGATATAATATTAGATTTTGTATATAAATATATTAAAAGCTTTTCCCTATTGGTTAGATTATGTAATATTTGCTTGATAAGGACATTTGCCCTATTAAATAGATTATGTAATATTTGCTTAATATGGACATCAAATGTTAATGTCTTAACAGCTTTCAGCATATATCAAAAAGAAAAAAAATGAGAAGGCCATACAAATCATTTTCCTATTGGTTTATTTTCATGGAATACAAATTTTTCGTGCATTTCATTAAAAGAAATAAGGGAAATAACTCTTTCATAACCTGAATTACACAATTAAGTAATGTACAACATGCTTGATAATAGTAGATACAAGTAACTAGGATATTTCATTTCAGTAATGAGCTGTCAAAAGTAAGCTACTAATTATTTGAGTTATGCATTCTACTAACAATTTTGATAGCAATGAGTTTGTTATTTGTTATTTTAATAACAAAGTTATATCTTTACTTTGAGTTTTTCTGACATATTGATTGAAACAAAAATTAATGTCACTAGTTAATAAAGTGTGAGAGTTTTAGTACTAGCCTGGGATCCTGGCTCACTGCTCCACACTTTCTGACAGGAAGAGGAGGTTGGTCCAGGATGCAAGGCTGTTTTAGTACAAGGCACCATATATATTTTTGTTATCTGGTTCATTTATAGCTCACATGGCACAAAAGGGGCAGTATGAGTTATTTCAATCACTTGGTGTCTGTTGTCTCTTCAACTTTTACATATTTGTCATCTCCTCTGAAACTAAAAGGCCAGTTTACATAAAACTTGACAGAAATGACTACACATTTCATTTTATTTGGATGAAAAACATAGCATCTAGAGGGAATGTGATTGTTATTGGTTAGTTTTAAAATATATTTTCAAATCATTTAAAAAACTTTATAGGTATGATAATTTGGAGACCCGTTACAAATATTCTTCATTTCAGGCTGATTTGATGGTTGTTAATCATTCCATATAACTTTCATTGGAACCTATGGGAATTGACATTGTCATCTTTTTATCTCAACTTATATTGCCATAAATAATGTATTGAAAGTTAATAAGATGCAATTTAATTCTGATAAATTCTGAAGGCCAGTTTGAATTTCTCCATCGAAATTAAAAAATCTTTCCAAACTTTACAGGAATGATGAATGTTAGACCCTGTATAAATACCTACTATGGAATGTCTAGTTTTCTTAAAAAATGGGACACTTTCACCATAGCCAGAATTACTTTGAAATACCTAACAATTTTGAAATTCAATGAAAATATCTGAAAAATTCTGTAAAGCTCCAAATTATTTATTGCCAAATTTTTAAAGATTGAATAGGTAACTAGGATCATTGGACAAAGATTCAGGTGAGCAGTATAGGTTCTGCAGAGCCACCATTTGTGATTGTAACTTAATTGATTGGTTTGACCATTAATCATATATATCACATTAATCATACAAATCAAGGTTTAGCTTCTCACTTATACCAGTTAACAATTGAAGGTCAAAAGTCAGGTCATGATGCATATAATGGGTGATGGGTCATAATGTTTGAAATATTTTGATGAGTTTTGCTCAAAACAAAGCCAGATTTGTTACTCAACTTCACAGTAAGCCAAGAAATGGGGTTACTAGATTTCTATACTTTTGTAAGATTTGTAAAATAAATTGTCCATATTCAGGTATTCAAATAAGAAGGTATACTTGTTAATCGTGATCAATGTAAGAAGGTATACTTGTTAATCATGATCAATATAAGAAGGTATACCTGTTAATCATGATCAACATAAGAAGGCATACATGTTAATCATGATCTATATTATATAAGAAGGCATATCTGCTAATCATGATCAATGTAAGAAGGTAACCAAATTGTACAGAGTACCCAAATTGCACCCATTTAACAAAAATAACAGCAGAAATCTTTTTTTAAGTTTTCTTGGAGACTAAACAATTTGTATTTTTATGATTTGACATCATGCACGGCTTTCGACATAGCTAAATATATTTAAATACACACAAAACATTTACAGTATATATCAACATATGAAGTATTCACTGGAAAAAGTAAAATCTACGGAAACGTCACCATGCCACGTCCACAAAAAGTCAACTTTAAAAAATGAGTAATTAAAATATTTTGCAGGCATCCATTTCTTATAAAATGAATAGTAAGCATGGACTATTGTCAAATTGTTCTAAATATTTGAAGATATAAATCAAAACATCAGTTATTCGAGGATTTAAGGATGTGAATTTAAGCATGGATGCAATTTGGGTACTCCTCATTACAGAATCATGGATCGTTTGGAGGTCGGTTCAAACACATTTTTCTATGATGCAATAAGGATTCAAAATTTAATTGGGGGAACTATATAGTAAATAAGGATACATCTACAAAATAAACACAGAATTGAAACTTTTGTCTGGATCATAAATAAACATGGGTGAAAAAAACTGTCAAAATAGGTGCAATTTCAGTATCCTCACGTTATACCTGTTAATCATGATCAATATAAGAAGATATACATGTACCTGTTAATTGTGATCAATATAAGAAGGTATACTTGTTAATCATGATCAATGTAAGAAGATATATCTGTTAATTGTGATCAATATAAGAAGGTATACCTGTTAATTGTGATCAATATAAGAAGGTATACCTGTTAATCATGATTAATATAAGAAGATATACCTGTTAATCATGATTAATATAAGAAGGTATACCTGTTAATTGTGATCAATATAAGAAGGTATACCTGTTAATCATGATTAATATAAGAAGATATACCTGTTAATTGTGATCAATATAAGAAGGTATACTTGTTAATCATGATCAATATAAGAAGATATACCTGTTAATTGTGATCAATATAAGAAGGTATACCTGTTAATTGTGATCAATATAAGAAGGTATACCTGTTAATCATGATTAATATAAGAAGATATACCTGTTAATCATGATTAATATAAGAAGGTATTTATCATGGTCACTATTCAATATAATTTTCAGAGAATGAATAAGTAGTCTAAACAATGTGATGAATATATATGATAGTTATGAGATCGATTTGACTTTTAATGGGTTATTTCTATACATTGGAGATATTTTGAATCAGAAAATGACCTTTGGGTGACTTAAATATTTATCTGATCACAGGGGAAAAATTGATATCAAGACTTTGAGGGAATGTGTTGAATAATATTGAACCAATTCAGAAGAGTCAAAGTTCACTGTGTTATACATTTTGATTGGTCCTAGTCCAGATGTCAGAAAACTGCACAACATAATTTACAAGGCAGCGATGTATTTCTGAAATAGTTTATTCTTAAAACAAACATTGATGTGTTAGATGATTTCAGGCTTTTGGCATTTTTTCACTTTCAATCAAGTGATCAGAAAAACATTTAGGCATGAAAAGGGAATGACATCTCTCCCGTCAGAAGTAAAACTCATTTGGTTGGACAAGATGTATAATTTGCTTCCTATATATCTACAAGAGAAGATATCTCATCCAACACTCTTCTTTCCTTCCTCAGTGACTTTGATTTTTCTGTCCATTCTTCTACTCTTCTTCTTTACTCAGAACTTAAAGATTTATGTGTTCTCTTTAAAATTGCTTTGTTAACACAATTTTTTGATATTTTTTTTTATTATTTCTAATGTGTGAATTACTTTGATAATATGGATCAAAATTTTCCATTATGTTCAAGATGGAAATATTATTCTTAACAGACATTGATGTAAACCTTGATTTCAGGCTTTTTTCACTTTCTGATGAATGTAAAAGTTTCATTGATATCCATCTTTGCAAATTCAAACAATAAGTTGTTCCTGGTTTGTCATATTTATCTTTAAAAGCAACAAACTGTTTATATGAAAAAATAGGATTAATTATGATACATTTTATTCAGTATTTTGCATATATGTGTAATTTAACTTCTAAGTGACAATATTGTGCATATGCCCAAAGCTATTGCTATGTCTATCTTGATAATTTTAGGCATTTTAGAAATCCCTTTTGCCAAACTAAGCTTTAATCGTTTTATTTGTTATTGTAATAGAATGATTTTTATCATTTACAGGGTGTTGGGCAAGGGATGTAAGGCTTATAATAGGTTATGAAATAAAATGAATAAATTGTAACATAGAAATAAGTGAGAAATTCTCTTGCAAAAGGGGTACTATTTTAGAATATACACTTTAACATACAAGGACATTCAAGCATTATTTGATATGATAAAACTTTTTTACATGAAAGTGTTGTGTTTTGTCAATGAGCATAATTATTTTACAATGTATTTTGAAAGGATCTGTTCAAATTTGAAAAATTGTGATTTAATAAAATGTCTTTTGTAGCTTTATCGTAAAAAAAAAAAGAATTAAAAAAATAACACCAAGTTAATTTTTTTGCAGGCCAAGCTTGGAACATTGTTTGGAGTTTATTTACCTACCATACAGAATATATTTGGTGTACTGCTGTTTATACGTATGACATGGATTGTTGGCATGGCTGGACTATTGGAGAGTCTTGGAATTGTAGTTATCTGTTGTTTAACAGTAAGTAGTCATGGCCTGGGAAAGGGGGCTGTTTGAAAGACTGTAAGGAAACATTGGATGGTTGTTGAAATGAGAACATTTTAAAATATTTATGTTGACACATCATGAGAGGACTGTAAGGAAACATTGTAGGAATGTTAATATATCTGGGCAATGATTTTTGAACTGCTTTATTGTCTTTCGTCTCATGATAAGAGTAATTGGTACTAGAGAAAGGTTGGTGGAAGGAGGAAATAACAAGAACTTGTCTTAATTTTATGTGATGATAAAAAATGTAGATTCTGCATAGTGGAAAAGTTCTACCATACCTTTGAGCTTAATATTTTTCACAAAACGTAATAAATGTCTCCAAATGGTCAAAATTTCCCATCCAAAGCCTTAGCATTCATTAATCCTCCCAATCCTGTATAAACAAAGGTGTTGCAAAAATAGTTAAGGGTTTGAAGTTGAATAGCTGTTGTTTTGTCGTGAATAAAAATTCAATGTGGAAGCGGGTCACTTTTATATAGGCTACAGAAGTCTTTGTATGATGAATGATATCTATTTTAAAAATTGTCTAATTTTTTGCCTGATGTGCACTGGAGAATTAGAATAAATCTTGTTAGGTTCAGTTCATTGAAAACATTATTTCGTTAGTGATAAACATGTTGATTGATTGACATATAACTGATTAAAGATAAAATATAATGCAGTCAGCGGTTATTTTAAGCCAATTCATGAAATTAAACTTTACTCTTGTCATTACTTTTGTTTGAAGTTGACACATAAAATGGTCATACTGTTATATGTATATGTCACTTTTATGGTTGTTCATTTAGCTTATTGTTTCAGGTTTTATGAATGTTCATTTGGCCTAATATTTAATGCTTTATCAGAAATCATTTGGCCTAAATGTTTCAGGTATTTTGGGCTTATCATTAGGCATAATTGTTCTAAGATTTTTGACTGATTATTTGGTAAAATTATAGCCAGATTGAGGGGAGATACTGTTTTAGCTTTGTCTGTCTAGGGACAATTTTCATCACATTTATCATAGGAAATACTGAATAGATCATCCTGAAATTTGGTATTAGGCTTCATGCAAGCATCTTATACATTGTGATCATTTTCCCATCCATTGCTCATTATCTTTCTGTTTATAGTTGATAGATATAATGACTTGTTATTTTTCCTTTAGACCATGTTAACAGCTATATCTATGAGTGCCATAGCCACTAATGGTGTGGTTCCAGCTGGAGGATCCTATTTCATGATATCCAGAGCTCTGGGTCCAGAGTTTGGTGGAGCTGTAGGGATATTGTTTTATCTAGGGACCACTGTGGCATCGTCTATGTACATTATTGGTTCTGTAGAAATTTTGTTGGTAAGTGAATATAAAAATAAAAAGATATGATATGATTGCTAATGGAACAAATCTCCACCATAGACCAAATGACATAGTAAATTAACAACTTTAAGTCTCTGTAAGGCCTTCAACAATGAGCAAAACCAAACCCCATAGCAAGCTATAAAAGGCCCCGAAATGACAAATTCAAAACAATTTAAAGGAGAAAACCAACGAAATAGTCTTTGTTATCCCAAAACAAGGGAAAAGAATACACTTAATTTTTCAGTTATAATTACATTGTATTTTATTTTTTTCCTGGCTCTTTCACTATCAATAAAATGTGATGACACTTAATTTTTCAGTTATAATTACATTGTATTTTATTTTTTTCCTGGCTCTTTCACTATCAATAAAATGTGATGACAAAGTAATAAGAAGAGTTTCTTAAAATTTCAAAGTGAATCTTTTTTTTAAAGAATTTTTTATCATTTTTATTGCACTAAAATTTGAGATTAAAATATCAATTATTATACTACATATGTGTAGTTTTAGTTATGATTGTGATCGGTTGCTGTCTGTAATAATTGTTTTAGGTTTAATGTTATGTAATAGCTGAAGTCAGGTCATAGGATTTCTCTTCTAAATGTTTTCACACTTTGTCATCCCTTGAGCTTTAATAGTTTACTTACACTAAACAGAATGGGTTTTGCTCATTGCTGAAGACAGTACAGTGACTTGTAGTTTACATCCTTGACCTTTAGTCTAAGGTTAATAGTTGTTTCATAGGCAATCATACCACATCTCCTTATGGTTATATTGATTAAAAACCTATAAGCTTAAGTGCTTTCTTGATTAAATATTGAGAGGTAAAGATAGTTGGTCACCTGTAGTGTGAACAGATGACTTCAGCCTTTTACCACTATGGTAAGAATTCTTGCCTTGCTGTAGTCATTTTCAATATCAATAAGGTGACCTTGATCACTAGTTCTCCTATGACTCATTGAAAGTTATTGATTTTTCCCGGCATTCTAGTTTCCTCAGCTAACAAACCTGACTGCCTAGCTATTGAACCATTGGAAGTGGCATTAGATCAGTAGGTGAACCAATGAAATTTCAAGCAATTTATTATTATTCCCTGCTCTTACCGAAGAGGGAATTGTTGTTTTACCACTCTCCGTAACTTTTTTCTATAGAAATACAAACCACAGCTTCCAGAAATTTGGTTATAGGCTTCCTTTGAGCATTCATCGCTCATCAACTTCTTTGTTTACCAAATACTTAAATTTTTATACATGGCCATATATTCCTACACATGATGGCCATGTATGAAATTTTCTTCTCATTTTTCTCAGAACTACTACGAATTAGAGCACCTTGAAATTTGGTAACAGGATTCATGTGAGCAAGAGCTTGCTTTTTGTACGAAAAAAAATTTAAACTAAACATTAACATTTCAATAACATTGTAATTTGGTACATGTTATTGACTTATGCTAGCCTTTCTGTTATAGTACTTTGAAATGGCCTATATAAAAATAAGAAGATGTGGTATGATTGCCAGTGACACAACTCTCCATCTGACACCAAATGACATAGAAGTTAACAATTATAGGTCACTGTATGGCCTTCAACAATGAAAAACAATTCAAACGAGAAAACTAATGGCCTGATTTATGTACAAAACAATAAACAGTAAACAAATATGATATACAGCAACAAAGTTTGATTTGATTTGATTTTTTGGTGTTTTAATGCCTCTTTTAAGCACCGCTTTTGGGCTATTTCGTGCGGCCAGTTTTTATTGGTGGAGGAAGCCGGAGTGCCCGGAGAAAACCACCGACCTTCGATAGGAAAACTGACAATCCTAGTCAATTAAGATTGGAGTCGAGTGCACCCGCACGAGCGGGGTTTGAACTCACAACCTCAGTGTTGACTGGCTAGTGATTACAGTAGTAACTACTTAGACCACTCGGCCATCGAGGCCCCTACAGCAACAAAGGACAACCACTGAATTACAGGCTCCTGACTTGGGACAGGCACATATAGAATGTGGCTTGGTTATCTAGTCATCTCTGTAACCTACAACTTCTTTTAATCATATTTGAAAAAAAAATTACTGCTTTTAGATGATTTTGATGTCTGTTATTTAGCTATTAGCTATGTTATAACATTCCATTAAAAGAAAAAAAAAATCGATATTGACCATCTAATAAAATGTCATTCAAAATAGAGCACATTTACAGTAATTTATCATATAAACATGATTAAGTGTTTTGATTTTATCATAAGAGAAAAAAGAACATCTCTGTACAAAATATATTTGATAAGTTTAGATTTTTTTTATGATTGCAATAAAAAAGTGACAGTATAGGCTTAAAAATAAAAACTTATCTTTTTAATTTTGGTAATATAATAGTATACAGCATTTCTTGAAATCACAAAAGTTAATCTCTCATTTATGTCCATTGTTCAGTAACCACAATAATATATTCAAGCAAATATTTCTGAATTTACAGGACTTATTGAAATCTCTGAATTTACAGTACTTATTGAAATCTCTGAATTTACAGTACTTATTGAAATCTCTGAATTTACAGTACTTATTGAAATCTCTGAATTTTCCAGTAATTATTGAAATCTCTGAATTTACAATACTTATTGAAATCTCTGAATTTACAGTACTTATTGAAATCTCTGAATTTACAGTACTTATTGAAATCTCTAAAACTTACACCGTAGGTTATGTCAAATTCATAAACAATTTATATACAGCAAACCCCCTGTAGTCCTTTGATTTATATGGTAACCAAAGAAAATGGAAAAATTATACAATATTATAGAAAATATTGCATAAAATCCCAAAAGATGATTGACAGATCCTTTGTGTATTTATACAAATGAGTCAGTGATGAAGCCCTTATGTTTTCTGCTGCTAAGAGTTATATTTTGTTTAGATGGTATATCACTTGAAATCACCGATCTCTCAATCTTCATAGGAGTTGATGGAAAAACATCGGAAAATTTTCCCCTGGACACCAACAACAATTGTAATTGTCCATATACATCAGTATATATAGTGACAATATTTGACATGTTTATATAGACGGGTCAGTCATTACATTATTAAAAGCTGTAAGTCATGTTGCTTGATATCGATTCCTCGTTTATCATTGTCTTTATAAAAGGGGTCGTAGAACTATTTGGTAGAGCATTAGTTGATGTAATCTTACTACTTGTTTAATTAATGGACAGTATTTATTTCCGTTTTAGTGTCTTCTGCGATAAAATTTGTGAAGGAAAGACGTGGCAAGACTATATACCATAAAATTTGGTCAACATTGGTTAATCTAGTTGTTACAGTTTTTGATCTTGGAATAATCTCATTAAATCGAAATAGAATCCAATAAAAATTTTAGAAACTTGTTTTTGATTAAAGTACAGTATCCTTTGTAATTAAAAAAAATTGAACTTCAATTGTGAATAACGAAGTAATTTGACTTAGTTTAAGCACTAAATTTTGGTTAACCATATTAAAGGTTCTAAAATAAAACAGCAGTCAGCAAACTTACACAGACATCTTTATGATCAAGAGAAAATATTTTGAATAAAAAATTTTTTTTTAAACTTCAATATGTATGCCAAATTAGGCTTTCGACCCAGATTTCACAGTCCACTGAACATGGAAATGTAATAAATTAATATTTTAACTAAAGGTTTGGTTTTTGGGTAATTTGTTGTCACACAAATTTAAATTTAGTACATATGTTCATTATACAGTAAACTATTTAATATATATGCCAAATAAGAGTTTTTAGAAAAATTAAACAGTTATTTAAACTTGAAAATTTGATAGTGCGATCCTTTGTGTCATATGTACGCATATTCTTGTGTTAGTAAAAATTCACAAGCTAAAAACTCAATTGTCACAAGTGATTCCGAAGGAATATAACATCTAGATTCAAATCTGTGGCTAGTTTTACCGGTGAGAAAAATTCTAATTAGTAATAGAGTGTGTCAATCACTTAGCTTGTCTTTCCCTCTAGATAATCTTGCTGGCGAAATGACGATTTAAGTCGCAAAAGAATTTTGAAAATCGCTAAATCACGCCAGCCAACTGACTTCATGGCGAAGTCTAATCGCTATGAAAATCTGTAAAAGGGAGACAACTTGTGAATTACAAGTCTCCCAGGTAAAAAAAAAAAGGCGACTGACAAGGAAAATCAAGATTTTCGAAACGACCCAGGACTAATACTGTTGACGATCAAATTAAAAAAATACAACGGCGACTTTGAACATCCTTGGATATAACATTCAAAACTATTCAAACGGAAAACTGACCGTCTGTTAAAGTTATCATTTTACGATGATTTTTATCTGAGGATGTTGCGTAATCACTCAGCTGATTTGTTTTATTTTTATTTATTACGAGTCGATCAAATTGTTCTATTCGGTGGGTTAAGGGTGGGAATTAACGGTAGATTTATTATATTCATTGAATATAAATTGAAATATAAAAGTTAGAAAGACAGCTGATGGATAATGTGATTGCAAACGTACAACACTCGACCAGCTGTGATCAGCAGTGGATTTTTTTTTTCACGACAATTTCGTTGATAGGGAAGATATCTTTAAAAACTGATAGAAATTAGCTCTATATCGGTTAATTAATATGTGATTGACAGATATTTTCATTTATAGGCTTACAATCTTTAACGAGAATCTAAATTTACAACTACATGTAACATGATGTCCTGGACAATCAATAATGTTTTACAAAATAATGACAAGTGGTGATATAAATTAAATTCCCAGTCATGTGAAATTCATCAGGTAAACTGGGAATCATATTTTTCTGGACTTTTGAAAATAAATTGAGGCAGATGCACATGAATTTAATGCAAATAATATTACTAGGCTACTCCCTCATGTCCCAAGCAACAAATTTTATTTAAACTAATAAATTCAAGTTGACAGTACAAATGGTATCAATGAATAAATAACTATATTTTCTAAACTTTTTTATTAAGAACTTTCTATATATACATTTTGTACAATAACATGAAAAAATTGCAAGTATATTTTCATGGAAGGAGAAGTCACTTCTCCCTCTCCAAAATCCTAGATTAGGCCCTTACAGTGTTACATATATCAAATTGTGACTGATTACCATCTAGAATACAGCTTCTTTATGGTGTAGGAATGGCATTTGAATGGGGAAAATCTTTCTCAAATATATTTGATGTTGACATTCTGTTCAGAAGGCAATACATGATCTTCCAACTGGTGCTTTTTCCTGGAAAAATTTGATATTACAGAGCAAATATCTTCATGTCACAATGTCTTATTATGTGTTTTCCCTAAATGACCCCAGATCAACAGGGATACTTCATTCATAAAATCTAAATTGGAAACATGTCTATACAGTATGTGCTGATACAATGTGTTAAATCTTTCCTTCACTTTTAAATTAGAACATTGCTCCTGAACATGCACATTTTACTCACATTAAACTACTTTTTACTTTCAGAAATACATGGCACCACAGATATCATTATTTGGTGATGTGACTATTGAAGCTAATGCATTAAGTAACTACCGAGTGTATGGGACAATGATATTATTGTTACTAAGTGTGATAGTGTTTATTGGTGTCAAATTTGTCAGTAAATTTGCTTCCCTGTCTCTAGCTTGTGTGATATTATCTATATTCTGTATTTATATTGGATTTTTTGTATCAAATGCAGACAACAGTGTGAGGTAAGTATTTAACTACTCAAGGTAGATTACTTGCTTTAAAACATGTATGATATAATTTTCATGTGCACAACACATGTTTTTCAAATCACCTAAAAAATCATATAAAAATAAGGAGATGTGGTATGATTGCCAATGAGACAAATTTCCACCAGAGACCAAATGATGTAGAAGTTAACAACTATAGGTCACCATACATCCTTCAATAATGAGCATGTTTGCTTGAAGCTATAAGTTTGGAAAGCCAAAAATATAGTTAAAGCTTCAAGAAATAATTTTACAGGCAAACTAAATTGATTTGGGGAACAGCTGTACAATAAATATTTAATATTAGATTAATAATTCACTTTATTGGTTGAGAGGCCGATTCATTTTATAGCATGAAATTTTACTGGAGTTTGTGATGTATTTCAGGGTCTGAAATTGATATTGTTGCATTTTTAATTCAAATGATTAATTGAAAAAATGGTTCTTAGACTTTTAACATGTCCTCTGTTTTATATGTTAATGGTTTTACTTCTGTTTCTTTTCAGCATATGTTTTCTAGGAGATAGACTTTTAACATCGTCAGTGTCATATATTAATGATTCTATGTACTGTAATAAGAACAATGATAGTAGAATATATGCCAAATATTGTAATTTACAAGGAAATGTGACAGTTTGTGATGATTATTTCAATGAGCATGAAACAAATGTGATGGCAGGTATCCCTGGCATAGCTAGTGGTGTTATCAAAAGTAAGCTTGATTATTGTCACTTTTAACTGCTTGATTGTTATTTGTTAAATGTCCAATTGTTTTTACTATTTTATCTCATTGAATTGATTAATAGTTGTTATAGAATAAGGAGGTATGATTGCCAATGAGAAAGCTATCCACATGTGTTCAAATGATGGAGATAAAACCAATCAGTTATAGGTCACCATACTGCCTTCAGCAATGAGAAAAACCCATACAGTATAGTCAGCTATTATAGGGTCCGACATGAAAAATATGAAACAATTCAATTGAGAAAACTAACAGCCTAATTTATACAATACAATTTAAGAAAAACAAATATGACAGACATGAACCAACAACAACCACTGAATTACAGGCTCCTGACTTGGGACAGGCACATAAAGATAAGAACAAACTGTAAAAATCAGTTAAACATGTTTGTGAGCGCTCAACCCTCCCTTAACCTGAGACAGTGGTGTTACAGCACAACATCAGAACAAACTGTAAAAATCAGTTAAACATGTTTGTGAGTGCTCAACCCTCCCTTAACCTGAGACAGTGGTATTACAGCACAACATCAGAACAAACTGTAAAAATCAGTTAAACATGTTTGTGAGTGCTCAACCCTCCCTTAACCTGAGACACTGGTATTACAGCACAACATCAGAACAAACTGTAAAAATCAGTTAAACATGTTTATGAGTGCTCAACCCTCCCCTAACTTGAGACACTGGTATTACAGCACAACATCAGAACAAACTGTAAAAATCAGTTTCAAATGTCTTAACTCAATAAATCATTAAGAAGCACAAATAAACCAACTAACATGAAAACAATAGACTCAAAGCACCATTATAGAGTTGATTTTTCCAGTTGCAAATATGTCCCAGAACTTTGGACAATTAAAGATGTGTGTGTTTGTCTCCCTGTACAGTTGTGGTCATATTTTTTTTAGCAAGTCATGTCTGTATACTCACGAGTGACCTCATTAAAAGTTAAGACAAAACCATGAAAATCGGTCTTTGGAATGTACAAGGATACATTGAGAGGTTGACTTGATTGTGAGATCTCTACCATGGCTTACTTTATTGAATCTGAAAATTTGATAGTGCAAGCTAGGAATGGTATCCCACAATTGCATATTCTAGTAAGAAGTCTGCGTCCACCAATTGTAACCTGAAAATAAAATAAAATTCATAGCTTATAGTGCAAACAATAACACATATATAAGAAATATATAAGTGTGCACAAAGAATGTTCACAGTTACTGTCTGAAAGCTCCAGGACACATTCTGATGCTGTTGTATCAAAACAAGACTGAAATAATGGCTTATTATAGTAAAAAAAAATTAATAGCAGCTTTTCAATAATATGAAGTCAAAAATCATAATTTGAAAAAAGCAGTTTGTGCGGAATTGAAATATAAATGTTCTCATATGAATTGTTTTGTAGACAATTTGTTCAGTAGATACACAATGAAAGATCGAGTGATTGGTCAGGAAACCCACGGTAATCGTCTGTATGGAGAGGTTGTGGCAGATATTACTTCCAGTTTTATGGTGCTGATGGCCATTTATTTCCCTTCTGTTACTGGTAGGTATCGTTGGTAATTAGAGCTAGGCATTGGCTTGAAGGATCTCAGCAAATAATATGCATTTCCTAAGTAAACTCCTTAATTTAGCCATGATTTCTGCACCAAGGCCAGCCCTTAAAAGACTTGGTTTGGATTATAATCTTATTGAAAGATTGATAATCTTCAATAACATATTCATTCAAGGACAGAATTACTTTGTCACAAGTTGCTGTCTTTTGTAGCTTAGACTGAAGGAAAGGTTGAGAAATATTTTTCTGTGTCAAAAACAAAAAAAAGGCATATAGATCCAAATAAGGTTGAATTAATGTCTTGCATGATAATTGTGTATCAGCAAAGTTTTTGAGCTTGTTTTGACATGATATAACCAAACTGACTGTTAATAGGGAATTATTATCCAATATTCTTGGCAGCAAGAAAAATCCAACTTTTACTTTCAAAATTGTAGCTAATATCACTTTACGTAAAAAGGTACATATTACAAAAAGAACAAAATCTTGGAATTCCTAATTCTAATTAGTTTTTCATTTCAGCCATATATAGATATGAAATATTATTGGGAAAAGGGCTAACTAGACAGGCAGAAAATAATGTTCCTGAGCTAGGATATTTACTGACGAGGTCATTAGAAGAAATATTTTAATTTTTAATCCTGTTGATATGATCTTTTATATATACTGTGGATCAGCTGCTGTGGTTTCATTATTATGTATTAGATTCCAGTTTTCGTTGATTTTGTGGGTTTTGGTTAACTAATTTAAGTGTTCCACAAAGTAAAAAAAAATCTTTATGCTTATATGCTGACTTTTTGGCAAAATCGCAAAATCAAATATCTATGAAAAAACAATTTTTCCTCAATCCACATAAATTGGTATCCACAAAAATAAATGAATCCACAGTATACAGGAATTTCTCATTGGATTTATGTTGTTTTTCATTACAGGTATTATGGCTGGATCCAACAGATCAGGTGACTTCTGATTGTAGTTTATGTTGTTTTTCATTACAGGTATTATGGCTGGATCCAACAGATCAGGTGACTTAGCAGATGCTTCACGTTCTATTCCTGTAGGAACTATTTGTGCCATAATAACTACTTCTTTTGTCTGTATCCTTTGTTTTTAAATCTTGTCAGAATAATTTGTGGCATTCTATTTTGTGATGTGGACTTTACACTTAGTATATCCTGCCAAATATAAGCTGGTGGAACTAAGAAGGCACTTATCCTCAGACAGACTGTTTCAACCAGTAAAATGGGGGAAATATTTTAATTAGATTTGAATGAATTCTGCTTTTACTCTGAATCAAAAAAGAGTATATAGCTAATACTGTTGTGTCTTTGATTCAGTTTGGCATACTCTGACAGTCATGAAATTCAATGTATGTGTAGCATGCTTTATTAGTCCCCTACCGACGAAGTCGAAGGGGACTTTAGGTTTGCACTCCGTCCGTCTGTCCATCTGTCCATCTGTCCGTCTGTCCATCCGTCAGTCCGGCAAATCAGCTTTCCGCACTTTTTTTCTTCGTTCTTGAAGATATTGATTTGATATTTGGTATATAGTTTTATCATGACAAGTTATAGATCAAGTTCGAATTTTGTTCCGGTCTGATGATTTAGTGCAGAGTTATGGACCATAACTCTGGACCATATCTAATGTTAGAGTACTATGTTAAACCATATTTCTGTACAAAGGGAGATAACTCATTTTTTAAAAGACATTCATTGTTAAATTATTTGAAGAATTTTTTAGCAGGTTTGTTTGTTATTTAGTATAAACTAATTTTCTGAATGCTATATATATATAAAGAAAAATTTATGAAGAGAAATCCTTTAATTAGATAATAATCTATTTTTATTAATGTATATATTTCAATACATTACATTGTGTAGATAAATGTTGTTGACATTTTATAGATAAGTTACAAATCTATATCAGTTTGTGACAAATGAAAGACAAAATATTTGGAACTGTTAATTACATTTAATTATAATTTGAAAATAGATATACACTGTATTACATCATATCTAATTTTAGAGAACTTTTAAACATATCTAATGCTTTTTTCACTCATATAATCAGTTTTCCACACTGTTTTTAGTCATACTTGAAGATATTGACATGATATTTACTTTTTGTTTACACCATGACAAGTTATAAAACAAGTCAGCATTTTGTTCCAGTAAAACAAATTTTTACCCGGTAGGGGACTATGTATTGCCATGCAATACTCTCAGAATGCTTGTTAAGTCTTATGTCATCATTGCTATCGATATAACATTTGTATCACAATCAAAAGTATCAAGAAATTAATACCAAATAGTTTGGTTTTTTTATGGAGAATTCAATATTATTACTTTCCAAATTACTTTGATGAAAAAAATTTAGATATTCTAAATTTTCTTCAAAGTAGGTAAAATGTAAGATCTTTTCAAAGATAATGGCATTGATATAATTCTTTAACATGAATCCAGATTTTACAAGTGTGATATTTTTTGCTGCCATTATAGAGGGAGACCTTATGAGAGATAAGTAGGTGTTACGGTATAATTATAAAATATTGATTAGTTGTTGTTTACTTAATAATGTCCAGTGGCAAATAGCTCATGGATATTCAGAACAAGAACAAACGAATGATATAAGAATAATGTTGTGCAGTGTAATTTTGATATGAGATGGTCACTTGTCAAATATTTTATGAGACAGATATTCAACATGAAAAGGTCGGTGAATGAACAGCAGCAGTATGGGTTTCTCAATTACACCCCAAAATAAAGGAGAAAAACATTCAAAATAAATGGCCATGGGAAAATTTGATTAGATGAAAACTAAAATGACATGGAAGACAAAAATACTACAGCTGGACTACACAATGCACTGAATTCTTCTAATAAACAATAAAAGTGATCATTGTTATAACTGTGAAAGTTATAGGAAAATAAAATTAATTTTCTGTATTGTAATGAAGACAGAATTTTCCTCATTATTTTTTAATTATTTTTTTCTGTTTGTAAAAACTTTGCTTGCTTGGATGAAGTTATTACTTTGTAAATATTTTCAGATTTGGTGAAAGTATAGATTCTGGTTTGGTTGTAGCTAAGTTGTCTTGGCCAAATGAATGGGTGATTCTGATTGGTTCTTTCCTGTCTACTCTTGGAGCTGGTTTACAAAGTTTAACAGGTTTGTATAGGAAGCCAGGAATGTTCATATTAAATTATAACATCATATGAATCTTAAACTTTGAAATACGTAAATGAATTAAGTGGAAACTGAGGAAAAGACATAAAAAAGCATTTATATTTTTAGCTCACTTGGCCATATGAAAACGGTCAAATTTTCATTTGTGAAAATGGTTCCATTATCTTTTATATTTGATTTTAGTTTATCTCTGAAGTATAAAAAACACATAACCTTGAAATAATTAGGTTCATAAGATGTACCTCAATCAAAGTATCATCTAGTTTACCATTTGTCAGGATTTTGGGATTTATTTGATAATTTACTATGTCCAGCATAACATAAAATCAATAAACCACTAAAACAGCACAAAAAACAGCCATGAAAAATAATTTACTTATAATTTAAAAGGCATAAGGTATGACTTGAAAATGTAAAAATCCAGCAAACATTGCAAAATACAAGCTGACATGATAATTAACCTAATGTATGGGAAGTTGTAGATAGAGTCTTATTGGGTTTTTTAGGTGTTTACTTTTTTTTTTTTCTAAAGCTAGAATTTAAACATTGGCTTTTTGTTTTCAGGTGCTCCAAGATTGTTACAAGCCATAGGGTGTGATGGTGTACTGCCTTTCCTGAATATCTTCAGTGTAACCACAAAGAGGGGAGAACCATTCAGAGCTCTAGTCATGACTGTGTTGATATCAGAGATAGGCATATGTATAGCAAATTTAGATTATGTTGCTCCAATTATTACAATGTAAGTTTAATATCAGAGATAGGCATTTGTAGAGTAAATTTTGATTATGTTGCTCCCATTATTACAATGTAAGTTTGATATCAGATATAGGCATCCTTATTTTGTACTTAGTTGTAAATACAAGTTAATGTTATGTGTAATACATAAATACAAGTTAATATTATGTGTAATACATAAATACAAGTTAATGTTATGTTTAATACATAAATACAAGTCAATATTATGTGTAATACATAAATGGCAATGATTATGTATCAGCAATCAACAATGATATCCACTGGACATTAAGCAACAAACAATCAATCAATCATAATGATATCAATACTGTAAATTGCAAAATTGTGCAAGCATTCAGTTATGGGGATTTTTTTTAATAATTGACAAAAGTGCCATTTCAATAATTGAGATTTCAAGAAATGCTGCATACAAATAAGTTTTCATTTTTGCAAAACCTTTCCTTTCCCAAGTTTAGCAATAATAAAAACATTGGAAAATTTTCTGATCCTGATATCATTTGCACTTTCGTACAGCTCCAAATGATTTTGCATCATGAACATGGTTGAAAGTTTGCCTATGTCTTACATTGTTTAAACGTGCCTTACTCTTTTGTTTCAGGTTTTTCCTGATGTGTTACGGGTTTGTTAACATGGCTTGTGCTTTACAGACATTATTGAGAACACCAAGCTGGAGACCTAGATTCCAGTTTTATCATTGGTATGGATTGATTATTGAATAGTGTTTTAGTTTCATATGAATGTCATTGCATGGGAGACAGACTGTGCAACATAATTTATGGGAATAGATATAAAAATAAGGAGATGTGGTATGATTGCCAACAAGACAACTATCCACCAAAGTTCAAATAAAGTGGATGTAAGCAGTTATAGGCTCCCGTACGGCCTTCAACAATGAGAAAAACCCATATCGTATAGTCAGCTATAAAAGGCCCTGACATGAAAAATATGAAACAATTCAATTGAGAAAACTAATGGCCTAATTTATAAACAATTGATGAAAAACAAATATGACAGACATCAACCAATGTCAACCACTGAACTACAGGCTCCTGACTTGGGGACAGGCACATATAGAATATGGTGGGGTTAAACATGTTTGTGCTCAAACCTGGGACAATGGTGTAACAGCACAACATGAGAACAAACTATAAAAATCAATTGAAAAAGGCTTAACTCATCAGATCGGTACAAAGAAAAGCATAAAACAAAAACACAGACAGGACGTGGCAGGTTACATTTTTTTTGGAGAAATTAATAATATTGCTGACAACATTCATTTCTTTTTCTTTTTATTTTGTATTATATATGAAATAAGTTCAGTTTATTGAGAGAGGTAACTGAATGAATCACAATCCTTTTAACACATAAACTTCTTAGAATTTAGATTTTGGAAACAATAATTTTAAAAGAAACATTATTTATTTTTGTCTGCATATTACCAAGACTTAGTGTACAATAAATATCAAATCCTTTTATGTATTGATGTGAAAATAAAGTGATGTGGTATGATTGATAATGAGACAACTATCCACAAGAAACTAAAGAGATAATCAACTAAAGATCACAATACAGCCTTAGACAATGAGCAAAACCCATTACATATAGTAACCTATATAAGGCCCTGGCATGACAAAATATGAAACAATTCAAAAGAGAAAACCATTTGCCCGATATATGTTAAAAACAATAAACAAAAAATAAATATGGAAGATAGCCAGCTAGGAGTTAGGTATTAAACATTACATTTGTTTGTCCATGGTTTATTCCAAATGCATCATGAGTTAGCCCCATCTTTTTGGAATTTTACCCATTGTTGCTTTACACTCCACTTGGGGTAAAATTATTACAAATAATTAGCCTACCAAAGGTTAAATCTTCAATAAATCAGGAACTGCCATAAATTATTTCTTGAATGATATATTTTCAGGACTCTATCGTTACTAGGATTGGCATTGTGTATAACATTGATGTTCATCTCCAGTTGGTATTATGCATTGACTGCCATTGTTATAGCAGCTTTAATCTACAAATATATAGAATATAAAGGGTACGTTTAAACTTACATATTTGGATTTTTTTATGTTTTAAAGTTATCAATCAGATTTTTTTTCTTTTTGACAAGACACATTTGAGATGATCTTGAAATAATATTAATGGAATATAGATTTAAATGAATATTCAATGAACAATTCCAGTCTTTTAATTATAAGAAAGGAAGAAAAATATACTGGTTTGAATGATAATTGAATGATACATTTATATTTGAAAATGATTATTTATAGGGCAGAGAAGGAATGGGGAGATGGTATACGAGGTTTAGCTATGTCTGCTGCTAGATATTCTCTGCTGAGGTTACAACAGGGACCACCACATACTAAAAATTGGAGGTAAGTTTTAATTTCTTTTTATGCCCCTGCCATAGGCAGTGGGGGCATTAAGTGTTACCCTTGACTGTCTGTCCTTCAGTCCGTCTTTCTGTCTGTCCCATTTTCGTTTTATGAAACTCATACACAATGCTAAGAACTACAATATGCAGACAGAGTTCAAATTTTAGCAGGAAGTCATTTATTGTTCTATAGTTGTGCCCCTTTTTGACTTGGAAAATTGTAAAGCTTGAGCAGGGACATTCATGTCCTCAGTCACATTCTTTCATTTTTTATTATTAAGGGGTACCCAACACTTTGACTAAAACAGATTAGGCTCGTTTTATTTTCATTAAATATTGTCAAAATATTCACTTTGACCTGTATAAGAATTTCAAGAAATTTGAATTTTACAGTAATAATTTCATTGGATATATAGCAGTTTGACAAACACTAATTTTGATCATTGAGAAGCTTGATTTGTCTTTACTAATAGTATGTGATTTAAAAATTTAGCTGATTTTCAAAGAGTTAACTCCATTAGGTGTTCTGTACCCCCTGAAATCATAAAAGGGGCTTCAAAGACTAGTCTAGCTGACATTTTTCTACATTCTATAACCTACTGTGGATTAATATTCATGGGATACTAATTTTTGTTGATAATTTTGATATCCGTAACCAAAATCTCATCACACTTTTCAGAATTGTTGGATACATATTTAATGCTTGGGCGATAATTGAATTTTTAGCTCACCTGACCTGAAAGGTCAAGTGAGCTTTTCTCATCACTTTGCGTCCGTCGTCCGTCGTCAGTCGTCCGTAAACTTTTACAAAAATCTTCTCCTCTGAAACTACTGGGCCAAATTTGTCCGAACTTGGCCACAATCATCATTGGGGTATCTAGTTTAAAAAATGTGTCCGGTGACCCGGCCAACCAACCAAGATGGCCACCATGGCTAAAAATAGAACATAGGGGTAAAATGTAGATTTTGGCTTATATCTCTGAAACCAAAGCATTTAGAGCAAATCTGACATGGGGTGAAATTGTTTATCAGGTCAAGATCTATCTGCCCTGAAATTTTCAGATGAATCAGACAACCCGTTGCTGGTTTGCTGCCTCTGAATTGGTAATTTTAAGGAAATTTTGCCGTTTTTGGTTATTATCTTGAATATTATTATAGATAGAGATAAACTGTAAACAGCAATAATGTTCAGCAAAGTAAGATCTACAAATAAGTCAACTTGACCAAAATGGTCAGTTGATTCCTTAAGGAGTTATTGCCCTTTATAGTCAATTTTTAACCATTTTTCGTAAATTTTTGTAATCTTTTAAAAAAATCTTCTCCTCTGAAACTACTGGGCCAAATTTAACAAAACTTGGCCTCAATCATCATTGGGGTATCTAGTTTTAAAAATGTGTCCAGTGACCCGGCCAATCAACCAAGATGGCCGCCATGGCTAAAAATAGAACATAGGGGTAAAATGTAGATTTTGGCTTATATCTCTGAAACCAAAGCATTTAGAGCAAATCTGACATGGGGTAAAATTGTTTATCCGGTCAAGATCTATCTGCCCTGAAATTTTGAGATGAATCGGACATTGCGTTGTTTGGTTGCTGCCCCTGAATTGGTCATTTTAAGGAAATTTTGCCGTTTTTGGTTATTATCTTGAATATTATTATAGATAGAGATAAACTGTAAACAGCAATAATGTTCAGCAAAGTAAGATCTACAAATAAGTCAACTTGACCAAAATGGTCAGTTGTCCCCTTAAGGAGTTATTGCCCTTTATAGTTAATTTTTAACCATTTTTCATAAATTTTTGTAATCTTTTAAAAAAATCTTCTCCTCTGAAACTACTTGGCCAAATTTGTCCAAACTTGGCCACAATCATCATTGGGGTATTTAGTTTAAAAAAGGTGTCCGGTGACCCGGCCAACCTATCAAGATGGCCGCCATGGCTAAAAATAGAACATAGGGGTAAAATGTAGATTTTGGCTTATATCTCTGAAACCAAAGCATTTAGAGCAAATCTGACTAGAATAAAATTGTTCATTAGGTCAAGATCTATTTGCCCTGAAATTTTCAGACCAATCAGGCAACACGTTGTTGGGTTGCTGCCCCTGAATTGGTCATTTTAAGAAAATTTTGCAACTTATGGTTATTATTTTGAATATTATTATAGATAGAGATAAACTGTAAACGTCAATAATGTACAGCAAAGTAAGATCTACAAAAAAGTCAACATGATCAAAATTGTCAATTGTCCCTTTAAGGAGTTATTGCCCTTTATAGTCAATTTTTTACAATTTTCATAAATTTTGTAAATTTTTGTAAATTTTTACATAATATTTTCCACTGTAACTACTGGGCCAAGTTCATTATAGATAAAGATAATAGTAAGGAGCAAGAATGTTCAGTAAAGTAAGATCTACAAACACATCACCATCACCGAAACACAATTTTGTCATGAATCCATCTGTGTCCTTTGTTTGATATGCACATAGACCAAGGTGAGCGACACAGGCTCTTTAGAGCCTCTAGTTCAATATTTTGAATGAAAACAAATATTTTTGTCACACTTTTCTCTGGAGCTTCTGAACATATTTGGTCATCAGCTTGGCAGTATTGAGCTGTAAGCTGTGATAACTTTTCCAACATGTCAGACACTTACTTCCTGTTTCCAATATTTTGAATTACGAAAACAAGTGTATGCTTGGCACGACAAAGCAAGCAACTGAATAAAAGGAAATATATATCAATTGTTTCATTGAAAACCTCTTTTTATGCTAAAAATAACTTAAATTATGAATTGTGATTGAAAATATGTTTTAAAACAACTTTCTACAATATAAAGTATTTGCTAACTCATATTTTGTTTGTTTCAGACCACAGTTATTAGTTTTGATGAAAATGGATTCAGATCTTACACCAAAATATCCAAAAATGGTTAACTTTGCTAGTCAGTTAAAAGCTGGTTAGTATCTGGTAATGTACAGAAGGGCTGTTTTTGAATTAAACAAATTGGGGGCATGGGAGGCACAATTTTTTAGACTCCAACCATCTATAAATTTTAATTTTCATTTAAATTATAATATTACCAAATTTTAAAGAAAACGCAAACACCCACAATTCCTCCTAACCATGATCCATTTAAAAACAGCCCTTACAAAAAATGTCAAAATGATGACTTTTATGGTAAAAAAAAGATTATAAAAGATTGAGAAAGTGAAAATAATGCAAAAACACTGCTCAAAGTATTTAGTCAAATGAAAAGTGACAAAAAAACCCCCAAATTTTGAGATTGAGAGTGACATGCCCCCGCCAAAAAAACAACAACAAAAAGCAACCAAAAACAAACAAAAAAAAGTATGAGATTGCAAGAGCCTTTCTTTGTATGTGATCATGCCATTTTTATGATGAATAAAACATTTTGGTAAAGATTGAGATTTGCCAAAACTTTAACATATTTTTTACACTACATCATTGATTATTGTGTATACAGAACAGCAGAGCTTATCAGTAAATTTAGGATATATAGGTTTGTGGTGAGACTCAAACCTGCATGATGAAAAATAGTATCGGTAAATCTTTAGTTTAAAAACAAAGGATATGGGGTATCCATCCATGACACAAAATCAGTACATGCACAGCAAAAACAAAACACAAAAAAAGCAAAGGATCAGGACTTTGAATGCTGTTTTTCGTCTCAAAGTCACAGTGAGGCCTTCAACATGGAACAAAATCTGTGGAATTATTTTTAAAATAGAATTATATATGTCCAAGTAAACATCTGAGAAAAGCAGTTTTTTTCATTGTTACCTTTCTTTTTACAGGTAAAGGTCTAACTTTACTTACTTCAGTGTTACCAGGTGAATTCAGTGAAAAGTATGCTGATGCCCAAGCAGCCAAACAGGTATAATGTTGTGCTACTTCAGTAATTCACTAGATTTCATGGGCATATTATTCTAAAATTGTTAAGTTTTATTTCATTGGTGAGCGTAATGTCAGCCAAAGCCAAAAAGTTAACAAATGTATAAACCTGTTTCATGACGTCACAAGTATGAAATTCTACACTGGCTAAATAGTTCTGTATGTGTTGATAAAAAAATTATATCTGGACATCAATAAACCTCTTCAAAATAACCTTTATTACTGTTGTATTACCATATGAATAGATTATCTAGTAATTATTAGCCACTAGAGCTCATGGGCAGTACTTACTCATCTTATACAACTTTTGTATATTGATTTGATAAGAACAAATTGTTAAAGCCACATTTTCATTTAAATAAAACAATGCATTATCTGTATAACAAGTGCTATGAGTGATGTAATATTTTATTAAAACTGATATTCATAGCCTAGTTCATCTCACAATCACTTGAACTTAGTAAAATCTAGTTATGTGTCTTATTCTGATTTGTCAGTTTATGTGCTAATGTTTTTTCTTTTCAGTCTTTAAATAAATTGATAGAAACAACTGGTATTAAAGGTTTTGCTGATGTTGTTATTGCTAAGGATGTCACAGATGGACTTTGTCATTTGTAAGTTTATGTATCTGTATGTCACAGATGGTCTCTGCCATTTGTAAGTTTATGTTTGTTATTGCTAAGGATGTCACAGATGGTCTCTGCCATTTGTAAGTTTATGTATCTGTATGTCACAGATGGTCTCTGCCATTTGTAAGTTTATGTTTGTTATTGCTAAGGATGTCACAGATGGTCTCTGCCATTTGTAAGTTTATGTATCTGTATAGCTTTCTGAGATCTATGAGTGATGGCAGCAATGATGTTTGGAATGTTACTTCCCAATCTAATTGAACTACAGATCATACTTGTTTACAAGGATCTAACAAAACTCTGTTCTACTTTCTGATTTCGTCATTATTATATAAACCAATGAAAGGTATGTTTCATTACCACAAAACCTGAGGGTCCCTTGAAAAAAAAATAAAAACAAGAGTGTTGTCAGATCCTTGTAATTGAAGCATGAGCATATGAATCCTATTTTAATCAGATTGATTACTTGACTACTTGCCCAAGCACATTACTTACAATCATTATGTTTGAATATAATAATTGTGGAGAGCAGTAGCTTTATGGAAGGTAAATGATAAAAAAAATCTTTTTAAGGCTAGTAAGTCGTTCATTTCAACTTTTGGTTGTTATGTAGAATTTGTATGGACCAATAACAGAATTGTGTCAGATATTAATCTTCTTTATTGAGATTGTTGAGCAATTGACAAACATGTGAGAAAAATCAAAATCTAATGTAAGATTTTATTTTTTTATGAATGATGGGCATATTATAACTCATCACTATTTTCACAATAATAAAACATTGCAAAAATTTCTGATAAACAGTATTTGTTTATCCTGTGTTTACAGCTCCACAATCATTTTATTTTTATTTGTTACTATTTATAGAATACAGAATGCAGGTTTAGGTGGATTACGTCATAATACAGTTATGATAGGGTGGCCCTATGGTTGGAGACACAGTGGAGAAGAGAGAAGTCACAAAGTATTTATAGGTAAGCAATCCATAAGAATGTAGAAAGGAGAAATGGGGTTAATGTCATTGAGATAGCAAGCAACCCAACAACACAGGTTATACGAAATAAAGGGTCACCGTGTGAATATTAGTACCATGCTGGGTCTAGACGTTTGTCAATAAATTCATCTAGGACTATGGAAAATGGTTACCAATACCTTCCACATATCTCATTTCACATGTTTTTTCTGGAATTTATAGCAAAAACCTGTTTATTAACACCAACAGACCAGGCTGATATTGCAAGGTACCATATCGAAACAGGAAAACATGATGTAACTGTTGACCTCAGATGACTTGAACCTTGGATGAGTCTTATTCATTATGGGTTCCTTTTGTACATTTTTCTCCACCAGTATTTGAGTATTTATGCATCCTTGCCTTTCAAAATTTTGGGTTTGAGCATTTCTGATGAAGGTAATGCTTTGGGTCCCTTCTTGGACTTCAGCTGAGGACAAAAACAAAAGCAGAGAGACAGTGACAACCACAAATGAACTATGACCTGGGACAGTCACACAAAAATGCTTCAGCTTTACTTGCCCTTGTCTGTCTGTACGTACGTCCCAAAATTGGGTTTCGTTCTCTAACTTTAGTTTGCCTCAACCAAATGTTATGACTCTTATATGTAATGCTTATTACCACAAAACACAAATTATCTTTTAATTTGGGTAGCGTCACTTTTACCATTCTTGAGTTATGCCCCTTTATAACATTATATGCAAGCGGGGGCATCATCTGTGTCCATGGGACACATTCTTCAATTTTTTTTTAAGTGCATGTACTCCACTTTCTTCCCATTATCTTAGTCAATAGATAATGTCAGGTGATTGAAGAAAAATTATCTTTGGGACATTTTATTTCAGATGCCATAAAGAATATCAACGCTGGACAGATGGCACTGTTAGCAGTAAAGGGAATTAACCAGTTCCCTGATCAAGGAGAGAAATTATCTGGTACAGTAGATATTTGGTGGATTGTCCATGATGGAGGGATGTTGATGTTACTGCCATTTTTATTGAAGCAACACAGAACATTTAAAAACTGTAAACTTAGAATATTTACTATAGCTCGTATCCTTTATAATAACATGTGATGACCATTTCAGAGATGAAAAAGGATTTATTGATAGTTTCATTGACTATTTACTAAAGTGAAATAAATAGGTTCACATCATATTAAAGCTAAAATTCAATTTCTACAAAAATCAATTTAAGTATTTTTGGTTGTCCATTTTAATTAATTGATTTTTTTCTGAAACTGCAAAATTATTTTCTTCCTAGATACAACCTCAAAACATGCAATATGGATAAAACAAATTAATGCATTTGAAAACTCAAATAATTTAAGTTATTATTGGTACATACTGAAATGTTGTGCCTTATTGTCCCTCATGCAATACGGTGTGGGAGACCTAGAAAAACATGTTGTCCGTCTGCTCTTGTAAGCGCTTGTACAGTTCTTGTCAGATTCTTATGAAATTTATTTCAGTAATGTCTCTGACAATCAATGCCAGACAACTATATTTATAGATAACATTTGTTTGGAGTTATTGCCCTTTGATATATAAAATATGTGCATTGGCATGGGGATTTAGAATGTTGTTTTTTTATTTCTTCATAGGAAAATCCAGAGCTGAGAAAATTGGCACATTGAACAAATTGAAACACACATACTGTAAAGAAAGTATCATTGGTACTATTATTCAATGAGATAAAATATGTATTTTCTCAAAAAAACCATGAAGATTGGCAATATCAATTTGTTTAAAAGGGAATTTTTTTCATAAACAGTTGTGAAGGCTTTGCCATTAGAATTTGTTTACAAGGATCAGAAAGCTTTACAACAACACAGAAGGAATTTTGCTGAACAATACAATTTAAAAATAAAGAATACATTTACAATGAGACCAATTTTCCATTTCCTGTACATTAGAATGAAAGAGAGTTTACACTTCAACTTTTAATACAACCAGATCATTTCCAACGAGCCACAGAAATTGATTCCAAGGTTTAATGTATTTTTATGGCATTAGTAATCAATAAGAAATGACAGCAAGAGAAAATTTCATCATTTGAGCTATTGAAAGAAATAAAGAAAAATCTGACTAGTTATGTGTTATATCTTACAAATAGTATAACCAAAGATTGAAATATGGTAATTTTGGGGGTTATAATATTTAGTAATGACTATAAATATGACCTTAACCTTTATAAGAACTTGAGGATAATACAGTCCAGATGAAGAAAGATTTAGAAACATTTATGTATCAGTTAAGAATTAATGCTGAAGTAGAAGTTGTGGAAATGGTAAGTACAACAAGGTTATGGTTCTGTAGACTGACATCAGGTGATATCCGGTCAAATTAAGGATGGAGTCAGTCTGGTAAACCCTTCATTGGTAATTATTTCGAACCAAATGAAAGTCTTCCACAGAGTCGTCTGCACTTGACCAGGGTATTTAAACTTTTGTCTATTCTCTTGTCCTATAGAATAAATACAATAGCTATTGTTCTCTGTGTAGTTTTTTCAATGGGACCTTTAAATTTCTTCTAGGAGAAATCTATCACTCATTGATTAATTTACCTGACCAAAAAATTATCTTCTTTTTTTAGGGAAATAGTTGTATAAACTTGCATAAACTGCATGCAATATTGTATTTAATCAATATCAATAATATATTTTCAATCTGTTCAATATAAACACTGATTTAATTATAAAAAGTTTATTTCTGACAAAATTTTTGGTATTGTTCCAATGAATTTGCATGTTTTTGTTGTTCAGTTATAGAATACATTTATCAAGACCTTAATTTAAACACAATAATTTTCAAGTTTTTATTTGTCAAACACTCAAAAAAAAGCAAATTTTAATGGGGAAAATATAAAAAAATTGTTCAGAAATCAACTTTTAATTTTTGAATCAGTGTTTATATTGAAACTGTTAAAAATTAATTATTGATATTGAATAAATACAACACCACATGCAGTTTTTTTCGAGTCCTTATTTAGTATTTGTACATGTATTTTCATTTTTGACAGTTCAATTTTTTGTTCAGGTAAATTAATCAATGAGTGATAGATTTCTCTTGGAAGAAATTTAAAGGTCCCATCAAATAAACTACACAGAGAACAATAGCTATTGTATTTATTAGATGGGACAAAAGAACTTACAAAAGTTTAAATCGACAGGTAACTTGCAGCTGAATCTCTGGAAAAGTATCATTGGGTTCGCAATAAGATGGATGACACATACTCATTAGTTTAGCAGTAGATGGATTGATTGTTGATTGATTTACACTGCATCAGCACAAAAAGGCTATATAGCGTCAAGTCCTGCAGTAGATGGAGCATGCATGGCCATCTTCTTTTGTAGGCACCTTTTATATTTTTACAAACTTTAAATGGCTGGAAAGGAATACTGAAAATTGTTTCGATGTTTTTATTGATGATAAAATTGCAACAGGGAAGGTTTCACAAAAATGAAAACTTATTTTTAATTTTGATAGCATCATTTGTATACACCATTTCTAAAAATCCCAATTATAAATCTTGTATTTCTGTCCATTGTTCAACAACGATAATTAATGCACACAAAAATTTCTTAATTAATTATTTAAAAACAAAATCGTAGCTTATAGGACGATTATAAATGACTTTCTCTTCATACAGAGTAACAATGATATATCAGCCTATACTTATGAGAGAACATTGATGATGGAACAAAGGTCAGAGATGTTAAAGGTCATCAGGAGAGGATCAAGGTCAAGTAGTCTAGAGGTAAGTCTATAAATACATAATTTCTTGTGTACAATACAATATGATGGACACATAGATCAAAAAGAAAAATATATCTGACTAATGACACTCCTTGTAAAATTCTTATTGAAAAGTTATTGGCAGAATGTCAAAAATTTATCAAGGCTATATCCATATAAATAGATTGTTCAATAAGACTTAGAAATATGCAAAGTTCAAAAAAAAGTCACTAAAGAAAGATTTATATGAAAAGGCAATAAATAATGCTTAAAATTATGATTATGAGTTTGTTGAAGCTTCATGCATACATATTCTTATACATATACTTATATCATTTTTTTCCCAGCCATCAACTATCTTAGATTTTTCATCTATGAAGACTCCTTCCAATTTAAAAGTGAAACTAGAAACAGTACATGAAGATGGTCCTTCAGAGAGTTCAACAGATTCTATAGATAAAAACCAGTTCACATTCACACCGTCATCTCAAGCTAACTCTAAAGCCACAACACCAACCAATCCTGCTAATAACGATCTACTAAATATTAAACCGTAAGTACATGTATAATTTGTCTCCAACAGCCATAAAACCAGTTCACATTCACACCATCATCTCAAGCCAACTCTAAAACCACAACACCAACCAATCCTGCTAATAACGATCTACTAAATATTAAACCGTAAGTACATGTATAATTTGTCTCCAACACACATAAAACCAGTACACATTCACACCGTCATCTCAAGCCAACTCTAAAACCACTACACCAACCAATCCTGCAAATAATGATCTGCTAGATATTAAACCGAAATGTATAATTTGTCTCCACAATACAATGCCACAAATAATTTATCTACCAACCATCAAATGCAAACCAAAATGCATAAAGCTTCAGTGCAAACTATTGTTAGTTAGATACCAATTCCAAGGGTTTTTCGTAGGTACAGGTGAACCACAAATTTAACTGTTCAACGAATTACAAATGTTCTAGGCTTGTATGCAAACACAGGTTAAACACAAAATCAAATATTTTGAAATAAATTAAGCATTCTTTCCAGGACCTCGAAAAATTAATCATTAATTCCAGAGTCCTGATGAGTGTAAATCCCTAATTCCTGCGAAAATAACAACCCAATCCTCAATTCCCGCAAAAATATAGGCCCAATCTGGACGTCCCGAAAAAGGTCCTTCTGCCTCTCTTTTATAGTTTGCTATGAGGTATTGGTTTTGTTCATTGTTGACGGCCATACGGTGACAATATATAGTTGCAAACCAACTAGGTCATTTAGTCTCTGGTTGAGAGTAGTCTCATTGGCCATCATACCAAATCTTCTTATTTTTATATTATCAACATTTATACAGTAGATAAGATCAATCATTTTAATTGAATGCCGACCGAATAGTGTATCATTAATATACACAACATAATCAGAAGTGTATCATTAACATGCACAACATAATCAGAAGTGTATCATTAACATGCACAACATAATCAGAAGTGTATCATTAACATGCACAACATAATCAGAAGTGTATCATTAACATGCACAACATAATCAGAAGCAAACATTAAAAGTCTCAAATTTATATTCAGAATATTAAACATTATCTATAGCTAGTCGAACAAACACTTGACCAACAGCCCAATCTTTCACAATGAGATTTTATACAGCAGCACTAGGTTAATAATCATTTTACAAGGAGCTTTTCGTAGTACTTTTCACAATATTTGTAGCATCTAGACAAAAAAAATTAGCGTTTCTTTTTGTTTACTTTCAGAGATAAAAAGAATGTGAGAAGAATGCACACAGCTGTTAGATTGAATGAAGTAATTATAGATAAATCTCATGAGGCACAGTTAGTCATATTGAATCTCCCAGCTCCACCTAAATCACAGGCTGGTGAACTCAACTGTATCCTTTTAATTGGCTCGCCTCATACTTATTTGGCCCTGCCCCTTCAGTTATGGTCTATTGACTTGGAAATGTTTGCTTAGTTAACATATTAAAGTTTGTGATAAGGTCCGTTTAAAGGGAACTACTAGTGGTAGGTCAATGATATTTGGTATGCAGTTCTATTTGCTTTAGCTTATCTTATTTCCATGGAGATTATTGAAGATTTTTTATAGGTTACATCTTAAACTTTGTGATTATTGCAGTTTAATATGAACTACAAATAGGCAGTAAATGATATTTTGATTAAATGGGATGCCATCATGGAACATTGACTTTGAATCTTTTGCATAGTTTACATGTTAAAGTTTTGTGATTAGGTCAGTTTAAAAGGGAAGCACTTATGATAATTGAAGGGTATTTGGTATGCAGTTGTGTAAGAATTGGCATTTCTTATTTCCATGAAGGTTATTTGTTCCTGTACCTTCAGGTTGCATAATTTATCTTTTCAAGTATTGCCATTTAAATTTCAACATTTGCAATATAATATTAAAATTTAATACATAAAATTGTGACATATAACTGTGTCAACAGTCAATATTAGATATAGATGAGGATGGGATTGCCCTTCATTGTCAAGCGTCAAATGTCCGCTTTTTAGCTCGCCGAGCTTATGCCATCACTTGGCGTCCGTCGTCGTAAACTATTTAAAAATTTTCTCCTCTGAAACTACTGGGCCAAATACCTTTAAACTTTGACTAAATGTTCCTTAGGGTATCTAGTTTATAAATTGTATCCGAAGTTTTGATCCATCGACAAACATGGCCGCCATGGCTAAAAATAGAACATAGGGGTCAAATGCAGTTTTTTGCTTATATCTCAAAAACTAAAGCTTTTAGAGCAAATCTGACTATGGGTAAAATTGTTCAATTGGGCAAGATCTATCAGTCCTGAAATTTTCAGATGAATCGAACAACTCTGTTGGGTTGCTGCCACTAAATTGGTAGTTTTAAGGAAATTTTGCAGTTTTTTGTTTTAATCTTGAATATTATTATAGATAGATATAAACTGTAAACAGCAATAATGTTCAGCAAAGTAAGATCTACAAAAAAGTTTATATGACCAAAATTGTCAATTGACCCATTAAGGAGTTATTGCCCTTTAAAGACAAATTTACACAATTTGTTCATCGAGTTTGCTAACATTTAAAAATCTTCTCCTCTGAAACTACTGGGCCAAATACCTTCAAACTTCATCTAAATGTTCCTTAGGATATCTAGTTTATAAATTGTATCCGAAGTTTTAATCCATCGACAAACATGGCTGCCATGGCTAAAAATAGAACATAGGGGTCAAATGCAGTTTTTGGCTTCTATCTCAGAAACTAAAGCATTTATAGCAAATCTGACATGGGGTAAAATTGTTCAATTGGACAAGATCTATCAGTCCTGAAATTTTCAGACGAATCGAACAACTCTGTTGGGTTGCTGCCACTAAATTGGTAGTTTTAAGGAAATTTTGCAGTTTTTAGTTTTAATCTTGAATATTATTATAGATAGATATAAACTGTAAACAGCAATAATGTTCAGCAAAGTAAGATCTACAAAAAAGTTTATATGACCAAAATTGTCAATTGGCCCATTAAGGAGTTATTGCCCTTTAAAGACAATTTTACACAATTTGTTCATCAAGTTTGCTAACATTTAAAAATCTTCTCCTCTGAAACTACTGGGCCAAATACCTTCAAACTTCATCTAAATGTTCCTTAGGATATCTAGTTTATAAATTGTATCCGAAGTTTTAATCCATCGACAAACATGGCTGCCATGGCTAAAAATAGAACATAGGGGTCAAATGCAGTTTTTGGCTTATATCTCCAAAACTAAAGCTTTTAGAGCAAATCTGACAGGGGCTAAAATTGTTCAATTGGTCAAGATCTATCAGCCCTGAAATTTTCAAACAAATCGAACAACCCATTGTTGGGATGCTGCCACTAAATTGGTAGTTTTGAGGAAATTTTGCAGTTTTTTGTTATTATCTTGAATATTATTATAGATAGATATAAACTGTAAACAGCAATAATGTTCAGCAAAGTAAGATCTACAGAAAAGTTAAATGACCAAATTTGTCAATTGACCCCTTAAGGAGTTATTGCCCTTTAAAGACAATTTTACGCAATGTGTTCATCAAGTTTGATAACATTTAAAAATCTTCTCTTCTGAAACTATTGTGCCTAATACTTCTTAACTTTGAATGATTGTTCCTTTAGGAATCTAGTTTATGAATTGTATCCGAAATTTTGATCCATCAACAAACATGGCCACCATGGCTAAAAATAGAACATAGGGGTGAAATGCAGTTTTTGGCTTATATCTCAGAAACTAAAGCATTTATAGCAAATCTGACACAGGGTAAAAATGTTCAAAAGGTCAAGATCTATCAGCCCTGAAATTTTCAGACACACCGAATAATCCATTGTTGGATTGCTGCCACTAAATTGGTTGTTTTAAGGAAATTTTGCAGTTTTTTGTTATTACCTTGAATATTATTGAAGATAAAGATAAACTGTAAACAGCAAAAATGTTCAGCAAAGTAAGATCTACAAAAAAGTCTATATGACCAAAATTGTCAATTGACCCCTTAAGGAGTTATTGCCCTTTAAGGACAATTTTACTCAAGTTGTTTTATGTTTTTTAACTTTAAAAATCTTCTCAAATGAATCTAGTATAAATTTTGTATTTCATTTCCTTGTACGTCAAGAAACATAGACACTATGGCTAAAATGGAACATATGGGTAAAAAGCAAAAATAATCATTGATGAAAGATTTAAGCAAAAAAAATAACAGGTGAGCGATTCAGGCTCTTGAGAGCCTCTTGTTTCGCTACCGATAGCATCAAATGGAGTAAAATGTTTATTGTTAATGTTATTTCAACAAATGTTTTACCGTCATTTGTCATGTGGGGAACCCCATTCCTACCCTCATAGATGTTATTATGAAAAATGTTACTATTTCACTCAATGTTTTAATGCCTTTTGTGTCAGGGCAGTTACATGGCAACTAAAAAAAGAATTCACAGTTCTTGGAGTCATTGTTAGAGGGGGAAATTAGCAAAAATTTCTCATTTTTATAACAGAAAATATAGATAAAAGTAAAAAAGTGCCAAATTAGATTTTTGATTACAAAATATTCAAAATTTCTTCATCACAAAATTCTGATTTTACTTATTAATATATTTTTTCCTCGAAGAAAGATTTACAACTTCTTTCTTCTTGTTGATGTTTCATATCATTATATTCTCTAAGTGTCAATTTGAAGTATTAAACCTTAACTAGCCATTAGATATGGAGTTTTTAGAGGTACTGACCGAAGGAATTGACCGAGTACTAATGGTCCGAGGAAGTGGACATGAAGTCATTACTATCTATTCTTAAGTTAAAGTGACGATTTTATGGTGCAAAGGTTACATTGTTATCAGTATTTGTGTTGAGACTTAGTGCTGAGGATTGATATTGTAAAAATATGCAGGAGAAGAATGTCATTTCTTTTTACATATTCCTAGACATTAGTGCCTGACATTTTACCAGTGTGATGCAGCTTAGTTGAGCTTAAAACCAAAATTATAGAATCTTTAAATGTTATATTTGTTGCCAAGAAATTGTGTTCATCTTTGTCTCATACCATGTACCTTATATCAGGTTATTTTTGCGTCAGGTTTTGACGTGGTTTGGACCATAAATAAGGCAGTTAAATCTTCACTTTGGTCACTTTTCATGGCCTTGTGCATTGGACTGTTTGCTGTAAAATATCTACAACGCTAAAATTTCCTGATAAACGGCAGTTTAGCTTAGTTTTCATATCACATACATGCATGTGTGCTAGACTTGTGGTGTAGTTTTGAATGGCTGCATGGATGAGAATGTACTTTTATTATTTTTTTTAATTTTACATATATATGTAGAAATTTGTATTTAAAATACAAGTGTACATTTTTCACATTAATAAAACATGTGAAGCTATTAGTGTATACACTCAAATAACATAAGTCTGTGCACTTCAGAGTCAGCATTTTACATTGAATGTCAAAGTGATTCACTCGTTTTAGATGTGCACAGACTTGTAATACTTCATTGTACTAGAGAGCTTAGGAATCTAAAATTAGAGTTTTAGATAAAGTATTTTTATAGACAAAGTCTTATTTTGGTGATAATTGTATGGAGTATAAAATCTTATATACTTTTAATGCTTTTTTCATAAATTAGTAACTTTCAGTACATGTTTATTTTGTTAAAAATGTGTGTCAGCATGTTTTATTTTGTTACGCATGAGTGTCTGCAGAATGGAATAAGAGTTCATGTTTTAGGACAAAATAAAACAATTAATTTTACATTTTTTATTGCACAGTTCCAATTTAAATAGAATCATTTATGTTTAAAGGTTACTAAAATGGCATATTTTGGTGATTAATTGTCCCAGTTAGTGTAATATTTTACCTCAAGCAGCAATAATTTCAAATGATTGCATTGGTTCTTTCCATTAAGCAAAGCATTCTTTGATAGTAATCATTTCATGAGCAATATCATTAATGAGAAATTAAGGTACAGTGTGACTGACCATGCAGTTTTAATGATAATTTTTCAGATTGGTTTATCATATGGTAAAAATTTAATAGGAAAAACATGAAAGATTAAGGAAGAATTACTAATATGTTGATGGTGTCAGTGTTATAGATTAACATTGTTTTTTGTGTAATAAATGTTCATTCAAAGTGTATTTTAATGCCAAATGAAACCAACTTCGTATTAACCAAATACAAAGGGCTTTAGTCAACAAACCAGTCATACATTTTTGACTTTATTGTTTTAGTTCAGTTGCTGTATAATCAGAATTAACTGATTTTGTGTTGCTAGATGAAAATGGCTTTTTTTTAACACCTGAATTGTGTGAATGAAGTGAAAGTTTTGAAATAGCTTACAGCTTCCCTCACATTTGTCACAAAGCTTTGTCTTAAGTTATTACAAAGAATTATTTGTCTCCTATTATTATGTATGGAATGTAATTATATTTTTATACTATGTGCACACATTATCTGTGATGTTTGTTTTGTTGGCTGTGAATACATATATGTATTAATATTTGGTTAGATGTTTGCACTTATACTTGGTATGTTCTTTGTTAGTCTGCTTTTAACTAGTCTAGATTTTACACATGAAGTTTATATACAGGGGGCATAGTTCAAGAGTTTATATAAGGGATAGCTTATTACAAGAAATTATATTTTATTTATATTTATTAAAGACCAATCTTGAGGTTTTCTTATGAATGAGTTACATGGGTTGACCCTAGGTCAATCGATGTAAATGACATCATTGACCAATCGGTTCTTACTGTGACGTAATAACATAAGCATTGTGACATAGGAAAATGCACAAACTTGAAAGTCATCTATTACACTTCAATCATTGTTTGTTTTTATGTCAAAACACAATATCATGAATTCAGATAACCTTCCAGTAACAAATTATTTTCATAGAAAGGAGGATATGTATTATATGTTCCTTGCAATTTTGTAAAGATATGCTCTATACAATTGGTGCAACTGTGATTTAATTCACGGTAATTGAGCAACTTTCCAGTTGTTTCATGTGTCTTTGCTGTGGATGTAAGAAGTTCACAGCATAGTTTAAAAAATAGTATCACAAGTATATCACACTTTTATAACCTATAATAATCTTCATACATGTATCTATAACATAGAATTGTTCTCCATATTTGACATGGTTTACTGGAGACAACAAGTAAATGTCTTACAACTGATTTTTATACGACCGCAAAAATTAAAAATTTTTTGGTCGTATATTGGTATGACGTTGGCGTCGTCGTCGTCGTCGTCGTCGTCGTCCGAAGACACATTGGTTTTCGCACTCTAACTTTAGTTTAAGTGAATGGATCTCCATAAAATTTTACCATAAGGTTCAATACCACGAAAGGAAGGTTGGGATTGATTTTGGGGGTTATGGTACCAACAGTTAAGGAATTAGGGGCCAAAAAGGGGCCAAAAATAAGCATTTTTGTAACTTCCAGACAATAACTTGTGTGTAAGTGTATGGATCTCTCTGACATTGTACCACAAGGTTCTATATCACAAAGGGAAGGCTGTAATTGATTTTGGGGGTAATTGCCTCAAAATTTTAGGAATTAGGGGCCAAAAAAGGGGCAAAAAACAAGCATTTTTCTAGTTTCATGACAATAACTTGTGTGTAAGTGTTTGGATATTTCTGATATTGTACTACAAGGTTCCATATCACAAAGGGAAAGCTGGAATTGAGTTTGGGGGTAATTGCCCGAAACGTTTAGGAATTGGGGGCCAAAAAGGGGCCAAAAATAAGCATTTTTCTAGTTTCCAGACAATAACTTGTGTTCAAGTGTATGGATTTCTCTGAAATTGTACTGCAAGGTACCATACCACAAAGGGAAGGCTGGGATTGAGTTTGGGGGTGATGAATCATAAGGGGGTTCAAAAAATTTAGGGGGAGTATTTTTATTTTTCTTTTTTTTTCTTTTTTTCATTTTTTTTTCTTTTAAAATTTTCCATTTTAAGTTGGTTATTTCTGATTTATATTTAAAAGCAAATAATAATGATATGGTAGGAGATACACACCAAACAGGATGTGTAAATTATTATATAATAAGTATTGTGCAATAGCAAGAAATTTTCAATTGCATTGCACAATAGCAAGAAATCTTCAATTGCACAGTATTGCGCAATAGCAAGAAATCTTCAATTGCACAGTATTGCGCAATAGCAAGAAATATCCAATAGCACAATATTGCGCAATAGCAAGAAATTGTCAATTGTACAGTATTGCGCAATAGCAAGAAATATTCAATTGCACAGTATTGTGCAAAAGAAGATACTTCGTATAAATTGCTTATTTCTTGATCAATTTCAATGGGGTTTTATTCTTGAATTCTTGGGGTTCTTTAATATGCTGAATCTAACCGTGTATTAAGTTTTTGGATTTTGGGCCCCGTTTTTAAATTGGTCCACATTGAGGTCCAAAGGGTCCAAAATTTAACTTTGTTTGATTTCATCAAAAATTGAATTATTGGGGTTCTTTGATATGCCGAATCTAACCGTGTATTTAGATTCTTAATTTTTGGTTCCGTTTTCAAATTGGTCTACATTAAGGTCCAAAGGATCCAAAATTAAACTTAGTTTGATTTTAACAAAAACTGAATTTTTAGGGTTCTTTGATATGCTGAATCTAAACATGTATTTAGATTTTTGATTATGGGCCCAGTTTTCAAGTTGGTCCAAATCGGGGTCCAAAATTAAACTTTGTTTGATTTCAACAAAAATTGAATATATAGGGTTCTTTGATATGCTGAATCTAACCATGTATTTAGATTTTTGATTTTTGGGCCCCGTTATCAACTTTGTCCACATTGAGGTCAAAAGGGTCCAAAATTAAACTTTGTTTGATTTCATCAAAAATTGAATTCTTGGGGTTCTTTGATATGCTGAATCTAACCATGTATTTAGATTTTGGATATTTGACCATAATAGGTGAATGTCCAATTTAAAATTTTTAAGTTCTTTAACATTCATTTTGTGTCAGAAACCTATGCTGTGTCAAATATTTAATCACAATCCAAATTCAGAGCTGTATCAAGCTTGAATGTTGTGTCCATACTTGCCCCAACTGTTCAGGGTTCGACCTCTGCGGTCGTATCAAGCTGCGCCCCAGCGGAGCATTTTATTGTTATTAGCCGGGTTGGACGAATTTATGAAATAGGGTACAAGTTTTTGTAAGCACATTTTGTATGAAGGTCAGAAGCACTTCAAACATAAGATGTGCACATAATCAACACTTTTACAACTCTATACAATTACAAAGCATTTAGTTCTTATAATTATATTCTTATGTTATTACCATGAAGTTAGGAATTAAATCTAGCTTTTTGTTTGTTTTGATGTATATAAACGTAATGTTGTCACAGAGAGCACATGCAGTCATAGATGTTACATGTTATTGGGAAATGAAATATGATAATGGAATACCTCACAATCATTGTCTGCCAATCAAATTAACAAAATTTATGAAAAGTAATATAATGTAATTATCTTAAAATAAATTTTTAAAACTATGTCATCATAATTATATTGAAAAAACTTTCGCATTTTATTCAATTTAGATTTTGTCAAGAGTAATTAACAATTTCTAGGTGTTGAACTCAAAATTACTTCTGACAGTGAAACAGCTTAGTTCAGAAGATTTTTTTCAAGATTTACCGGAGTTCCATTTGAAGAATTTTTATTTTAACTTATGGAAATTATTCAATGGTTTCTGATGTAACATAATTCAGGCTTCCAGACAGTTGTTAAACAATGAAATGATAATTATGACCATGATTTCTAATTTTTCTAACTATTGGTGACAGAATAAAGAGGGAGGGGTGTGTTGGGATAGTCATCCCAATTTCCCACAAAAATTAAAAATCCCACTGTATCCTGAATTCCCGCAAAAAATAAAGCCCCAATTTTGATGTTTCAAAAAGATTCTTCTGCTCCTTGATATACAACATGCCTTACCCCTGCCAGATTATCCCACCAAGTGTTTGCCAATATGAGTTGGCCAAATATACATACATATGCTTTATAAACAGGTATTGAATATATTGTTTAATGGTATACTATAAAGTCTTTTTTTAAATGAATTGTGAACATTTTTCTTAAACAATATGAAAATGGAATATATATTTTTCAAGGGCATTTATGAAATTTATTTTGAAAGAAATGTATAGAGTCATAGTAGTACTTATAGTATTAAATGTCATCTCTGTATATGGAATGGCTGATGTCAAATTGAATTTGGTACTATTGTATTACAAAAAATGATAATTAAATAACCATGACATTCTTTATGAACTATGTTCAGCTTATCCTTTTGTAGAAAAGAAGAAAAATATTTTTAGTGATATCTTCTTTTTTCTCCTGGCTTAACAGACAGATCTGTTATAAAATTCATATGATATATTATATATTTGTACCAAACGAAAAAAAAAATCTGTTTACTTTTCAAAGATTGCTACGTAGAGAAGTTCGATTATAATCTAGGGACCAATTTTATTCTACAGAAAGAAATAACATTAGGATTTTTAACATTATTTTTGTTTTTAAGCCTTAAGTATAATGTGTTATGACTTTGATATAATTGTAATTAGACAAGGATCTTCTTTTCATCAGTTTAATATTTCATATTCGGCCTGTTAAGGCCCTCCCTGCAAAAATACTTTAAAATCTATGCGTATATTGAGAAAATTTTTATCATGAAAAAAGTTCTTGTTGCATTGTCCCCACTCCAAAGCATGTTGTGAGGCTTATCTGCCTATACTGTATAGTGTAATACTATTTCCTGTGTGGAAATTACAAAATCACAACAGCAATATTTGTTTATTTGTCATAGGGGCTGTTCCATTTAAACATACATGGTATTCAAAATGGGGTAACCACCTATAGAGGTAAATTTAGAATTTCGCCCAAATTTTTACTATACGCGACACTCACCGATAGTGTAGATTTCAAAGTTCCTTCTCTGGATCCAATGCATTGAACAGTCCTAACTAGCAATTATAAATAAAATGGGAAATGAAATTCCTTTAAAATAGGTTCTGTTGAAAAAATCTGCCAAATGAAACTAGATGTAACTTAGATCAAAATCAGTTGATAAGTAGTTTCACAATGTAGTTTTACCAAAATCAGGAAGATTTATGTGATATGAATAGTTATTGTTGGCTGTAGTTTCAATTTTTTTCATCCAAACATCCCAAAGGAAAGTAGTTTAGATTTTGATGACCATTACACTTCTAGCATCATAATTTTGAATTTTTTTTTAGACAATCAACATGCTTTTATGTGTCATGTAGGTTGCTATGGCATTGTTTAAATTGTAAATTCAGAAATGTAATAAAGACTCCCACAAAAAATTTAATGTGATGAAAATTTATAAATAAAATCAAAATTATGAATTATTATCGATTTAAATTTTTAGCATTGATATAATTATCCCAAAAATTTTCAAATTACAGTATTTAAAAGTTATACATGATTGCTAGAATAGTTGAGACTGAATTCTAGACAGTTACATATTTTATATACAGTAGATAATCGCTGTTCTAGTCTTTTGTATGTTAATTATAGAATGTTAAGTATAGAAGGTTTTTTGCTCTAGTCTATATTTTTGTATATGTAATATAAAGTGTTGTGGAGTTTTTTTGTAGCTATTTATTTTGTAAGGTGTACAATTTATTGGAAATGTTCAATAAAATATCAGTAAGATTTGTTTTTGTTTTAATAGTAACATAAACAGTGTACTGGTTTTCATACTGATGATCATATATTGATATTGTAAAACCTCAGCTGTTCAGTAACAACTGAAGCTTTCTTGACTGTTATACAAAATTATACCCCTTGCAAATGCCATGAATTTCTAATGGGAAACCTTAAAAATAATTTTTAGAACCAAAAATAAGGCACTTCAAAGTGCAGGTAATTATAATAAATAGGATTTCAAAGCAATCATAAATTTTACCTTTATTAGTAGAGAGGTCAAAAGGACTTCTTTGTTTACTTTTTTCAGATTTAAAGATGTGGGGTACTTACTGTGGAGTCATTTTTTTCGTGAGTACCAGTTTTCATGGATTAAGAAAAACTTTCATTTTGTGGATATTATTCGTGGTTTTGCATACTACTGTATAGGAAATTTGTAATTCAGTGAATATTTGAATTCTTGGTTCACCTGTATCCACAAAAACTGGAATCTCACTAACAACAATGAATCCACAGTATTTGGCAAAGACCACATTCCACCTACACAACAAGAGTGGACACACTGAAATGTCTTGGCTGCTTTACTGATGATGATTGAGTTCAGGGTGAAAATCTATAGATAAAGGTTTAACTACAAGTATCACATAAACTTAACATTATCAATGATCCATGTAATAGAGTTGAAAGATACAAAAGGGACATTCAAACTTATAAGTCAAAAAATAAACTGGCAAAGTCATGGCAAAAACTAAAACCACCAAAGGACAAACAACAGTATACAAAACACAACATAGAAAACTGAAGACTGAGCAACACGAACCCAACCAAACATCAGGGTTTATCTGATATGTTCCAGAAGGGTAAGCAGAACCTGCTCCACATGTGGCACCTGTTGTGTTGTTTATGTAAGTATAAATCTGGTGACAAGTCTAACCCCGGTAGGTCACATTCAGGGAAAAGAGGACGGGATTGTGGTTACGACAATTGGAACAGTCTCCATCTGTAAAACAGATATTCTGTAATGTTCAATCAACTGATGATGGTGTCCATAAAATTTTTCATATTAATGAGGTTATGGTCAGATGCACCATGCCAGACAGACATAGATATAAGAAGATGTGGAATGAGTGCCAATGAGACAACTCTCCATCCAAGTCACAATTTATAAAAGTAAACCATTATAGGTCAAAGTACGGTCTTCAACACGGAGCCTTGGCTCACACCGCACAGCAAGCTATAAAGGGCCCCATGTACACTTTACAATCAATCCATACATCAAATACAGTTGACCTATTGCTTATAATATCTAAGAAAGGTAACTGAACTTTACATTGCCAAATGAACCATGAAAATGAGGTCAAGGTCAGATGAACCATGCCAGACAGACATTAACCCAACAATAATATAGTATCTCAGATTCAGACTTTGCCACGAAAAACTAAACCTTGATCACTGATCTATGAAATGAGGTCAAGGTCGGGTGAATCCTATCTAATGAATCTAAAGACCTTGCAAGGATACCAAATATAACTATCCTATTACATGTTCTCATAATAAGTGAAAAATTCTGGTGACAAAAAAATACATCCTGTTCTATAAGCAGTTGCTTAACCATGAAAATGAAATCACTGACGGAAATTTCACAACATATGGGATCTGTATACAAGGTATAAGGCATCCAGGTCTTCTCTTCTATCGGAAATATAAAGCTTTGTACACATAGTTTACGCTGCTGCCAGATAGACACCCCTATGTCTTGCAGTGACTTTCTTCCAAGGTGAGACAAAAACCAAAAGAAGTCGAAGAGGTCAAGAAAAGTATTCAAGAAAAAAAGCAAAACAATTGGTAAATGATATCATTAAAGGGCAATAACTTCAATGAGGAGTTGACTGACAATTTTGGCCTTGTTGACTTATTCAAAGATGTTGTCTTACTCATCATTTTTGCTTTTTAAAGTTTTTCTATCTATTATAGTTTTAAGATAACAGGCAAAAATGGAAAAAAAATTGTGAAAAAATTGTAAAATTCTTCATTCAGGGCAAAACTATAAAAAGTTGATTGATAGTTTTGATGTAGATCCCAACATTCTGACTATTTCTGCCCTGTCAGATTTTTTCTATTGAAAGCGGTTTTCAAAACTAGCATTTTACCCATTTGTTCTATTTTTAGCCATGTCTGCCATGTTGGTTGGCAGGTGAGGCCATTGGACACATTTATTAAATACCCCAATTATGATTGTGGCTAAGTTTGGTAAAATTTGTCACAGAATTTTTAGAGAAGATTTTTGTAAAAGTTAACAGATGGCGACGGACAACGACAGACGCCAATGGACGCCAAGTATGGTAAAAGATCACACTAGGCCGCTAAAGTGACATGAATTTGGTTATTTCGTTGTAGTTTTGGATTTCAATAAACAAAAATCAGCTTAAATCAAATTATGAAACACTCACTTTTTAAAATATATTTCTGCCATTCAGACAGGAAAGAATATTTAACCTGTAATGTTAACACAATTATTTTCATGAATATTCACAATACCTCAAGGCATTGTCAAGACTTTTGAAGGCATTTCTTGTGCCATCAGTTAGGTATGGCTTTGATGCCTCAATGTATTGTCTGCCTGTGAAAAAGGTAAAAATTTTATCAGTAATTTTGAATAATTTACTTTATTCAAAAGATACCACTTCATATGTTTCAGGGTATAAATAGTGATGGCCTAATATGAAAAAAAACTATTTTTTAATGTTGTCAGATTTTATTCTACAATGGTATGTCTACAACTCAAATAGACAATAAATCTGCTTTCATCTTGACACTGTTTCATGACGACGGACTGCAGGATATACAATTTATTCCCCCTATTTATAAAATTAAGGTCATAAACTGTGAACTGTATCATGTTTTATAATCCTCTGTATTCTCTAACTGACAACAGTCGGTGGTAACATATTCTAGTATCACAGATGATCCACTAAATATAACTTCCTCACTTAACAATGAGTCCAATGTTTTCTCTATTGGTAACAATTGTCCACTCTCATGGTTAAATAATCTTAATTTCTGCAAATAGAAATCATATCTTGAATATATTTAATAAACCAAACGATGTAACACACATGTTTAAGCTAGCCACATTCTTTATGTAATTGACCAAGTCAGGAGCATGTAATTTAGTGGTTGTCATTGGTTGCTGTCCATCATATTTGTTTTTCGTTAATTGTTTTGTACATAAATTAGGCCACTAGTTTTCTCTTTGAATTGTTTCTCATTTAATCATGTCAGGGACTTTTCCTGCTGACTATTCGATATGGGCTTTGCTCATTGTTGAAGGTCGTACATTGACCTTTAGTTGCTTACATCCACACCATTTTGACTCTGGTGGATAGTTGTCTCATTGGTAATCATACCACATCGCCTTCTTTTTAGACAGATTCATATTCTTTAGCAATGTTCATGGTTGGGCATAGGGACTTGAGTTGAATATGACATAAAGGAGTAAGTTCGGTATGGGCCATATTTGGCCCCGATTATAAAGTTCAATGTTACTAGATAAAAAATGTTTTAAGTTGACTTAAAGACATGTGAGAAAGTTATATAGAACTATTCTGTCAAAGTATTATTCTTAAGCGTCGATTTTTACATCCCAATAAGGTCAAAATAAGAGATTTTGGCGAAATTTGATAAAATCGGACGGATTTCAGCCAAATTCAGGACCAGGAAACATAGAGCGCAGGCGTCGACAAACTAAATATTCAAGTTAGACATGTAAAATGTCATTACAAACATTATTTCAAAGATCTTTTTTGTCAACGTATGCGCTCTATGTTTCCTTTCCAATAATCAATGGAAATTTACCCATTTTTATTGATTTTTCGTGGAAAATCAAAATGAGTACTATTTGTGACGATATGAATAAAACACAGGAACGTAAATTTTCAACAAAAAGACTTATTTCCTATCTATTCACTGTATTAGCTATGATGACAGCCTGAAGATAAAAAGTAAAACATTTTCAATATGATTGTGGTCTTTTTCATTTCTAGAAGTAAAATGAAGTGTTCTATGTAAACCACCAGCCTTCAGCAAGTAACTAATAAATCAAGGCGTATTATCATTTTTGCAAATTACAGTGGCAAGACTTCCCCATAATTTTTTAGATTTAGATTGATAAGTGTTTTACGCTCCTTTCAGCACTATTGGCTATTTGGGGAGGTTTTTATTGTTGGAGTAGGTCTGAGTGCCCGGAGAGAACCACAACCTTTGGAAGGAAAACTGGCAATCACAGTCAGTTTGTGGGATTTGAACTCACAATCTAGTGATACAGTAGTTGGACTACTTAGACCACTCAGCCACTGAGGCCCTTTAAGATTTTAGAATTTCATCAACTGTTCAGGTAGTTATTAGCCAGCTCCCTGAGCCACCTGGAAACTGAAGCCTCCCCATTGTTAAATTAATAATATGCATCCTGCTGGTTGTAAACATTAAGTAAGAAGACAAGCGTTAACTGTGCTGTTTATCATCATACCTTTTCACTTCCTGTATTATTTTCATTTTTCATCTGAACAGAACTGGCAACAAAATCTATACATCTACCAAAACTCCATGTCTGAAATGCAATATTCTATCATCCTATTAAATCCTCTACAATACCTATAAACCCAATACTTAACAAGTCTCATGGCAATGACTTAAGAAGAAAGAATATACAAGAAATTTTACAATTACTTTATTCCTATGTTGTGTTCCAAGAGAACCAGGAGCTTTAAACAACAGTATGCCAGCAGTATGCCAGTACATAGAATGACTAGACACTCAGTTACACTGTCTAAAAATAATACATATTATTTTTTTACAAAGCTTAGTAACAGGTAGAATGTGACACTTTTGAGAATGTAATATTTTGGGTGGAAACCAACAATTGTGAATTTGAAGAGGACAAAGAAAAATTCCTGTACCTTCATTCTTTGAAGACATTATAAATGAAACTTTACCATAACACATTATCAAGGTCACATTCAAGGAATTTTACAGTAAGTGACTGTATATCACAAATGTTTATAAAGACAATGCATTTAGACTTTACACAGTTGCTGCATATAATTGTTAATAACATGATTAATATAATATTTACATATAGGTAAAGAGACAGAGGGATATGGTGGGTGAATGAAATGATCAGATACAGAATGTCTTTCCAATCTGACCCTTGATAAAAGTTGGTGTTCCTCACTCTTTTGTTTTCTATGTTGTGTTTTGTGTACTGTTGGTACTTTTTAGTTTTTTGCCATGGCATTGTCAGTTTGTTTTCAACTTTTATGAGTTTGAATATCCCTTTGGTATCTTTCGACTCTCTTTTTGATTACAACGGGTATAAAGGGAAAATGTTAATTCATAAAAAAAAAATAATTTAAAAATATCTGTACAAGTCATGTGAAATGTTATTAAGTAAATGAAACAAATAAACAAGTATATTGTCACTTTTTTGTACTGTCTCTATAAATACAGACATATGAGTAATTCACTGTCTTTGAATGCTACTGATAGGTTCAAAAACATGGCATAAAAGAAAGAAAAAAAATATAGCTAATCTGATTTATATCTTTTCTGATATCAAGATGACATTGTACAATAATAAAATAAACTGTTAACACAGAGATATGTCTCGCCTTTTTGTACTTTTGATAATGCAAATGTTGAAATTAAAATAGCAATACTTTAAGTTAAACATGTAAGTTATGCAAATATTCAAAGTCAATGAACCATGACTGAAGGTACATGGCAAAACAATCTCCATGGAAATGAGATGTGCCAATGCTAATACAACTGCATACCAAATATCATAGACTTATTATAAGTTGTTCCCTTTCAACAAACCTAAACACAAACATTGACTTGTAAACTACGTAAAAGTTTCAAAGTCAACGAACCATGAAGAGGGGGTGGGGCTATATAATCTCCATTGAAACGAGACTTGCAAATGCCAATACATTTGCATACCAAATATCATTGACTTAACATTAGCGGTTCATCTTAAACTGATTTAATCACAAACTAACACATGTAAACTAAGCAAAAGTTTCAAAGTCAATAGACCATGACTGAGGAGGCGGGGCCAAATAATCTCCGTGGTAATGAGATATGCCAATGCTTATACAACTGCATACCAAATATCATTGACTTACCACTAGTGGTTCACCTTGAACTGACCTAATCACAAACTAATACATGTAAACTAAGCAAAAGTTTCAAAGTCAATAGACCATGACTGAGGGGGCAGGGCCAAGTAATCTCCATGGAAATGAGATGTACCAGTGCTAATACAACTGCATAACAAATATCATTGACCAACCACTAGTGGTTCACAATAAACTAGACCAAATAACAAACTTATACATGTAAACTAAGCAAAAGTTTCAGTCAATAGACCATGACTGAGGGGGCGGGGCCAAATCTCCAAGGTAATGAGATGTGCCAATGCTAATACAACTGCATACCAAATATCATTTACCAACCACCAGTGGTTCACCTTAAACTAGACCTAATCACAAACTAATACATTGTTGACGACGCCACCGACGCCGGAAACAGCATACCTATATCTCGCTTTTGATTCTGTCAAGGCGAGACAAAAATGTTCGTCAAATTCTAGACAGATTTCTAGGTGGCTTTGAATTATTTTACCTCAAGTCTGAGTTAAGTTTATATATTGTTGTATAATGAATAGAACCTTTTTTCTTAATACACAAGAGCTTAAATGAGCTTTTAAACATGGACAATAGTGATAATAAATTCAGGAGATACCTTTGAAAAGTACAAAGGTTTAGCAGCCAGTGACAGTGCTTTAGGTAGATATATTAACATATAAACTTTTTCTTGTTCTGGAATGCCCTTCTCTCCGGTAGCTTTCATTTTCATTTTCATAAGAGCTACTTTAGCAGCAGTTTTACTAGCTTTCTTTGGTTTTTTACCATCTTGCTTTGATGGTTTTGATTCTGAAAAAAACAAGACAAATATAAATGTATTCTCATCTAATTCAATCTAACCATGACCCTACGCATACTAACAAGTTTCTATATCTTTTTTTATGTGCCATTCTTTAAACAGTATTATACAGTAACTTTATATACTGGTTTTTACTTTTTTTCTTGGAAATGGTCAAATTTAAAAAAAAAAAATTATGAATTCTTTTCAAAAAATTTCAGATGTTGAAACCGAAAAACCCTAAGGTTAAACTCAGGTAAATCAAAGGTAAGTTACATGAAGCAAAATGTTTGACCAGGGCAACATTGAATTCAGTACTATCATACGGACAATTGTGGTCAAGATTTGTCCAGATTAGCCCAGAGATATTTAAGCCCATTCTTATCTCCTTTATTCATTTATGGGTTTCACTGCTTTATAAGAAGCCTCGGTGGCCGAGTGGTCTATGTAGTTACTACTTTAATCAATAGCCAGGCCAGTCAACACTGAGGTTGTGAGTTCGAACCCCTCTCGTGCGGGTGCACTTGACTCCAATCTTAATTGACTAGGATGGTCAGTTTTCCTATCGAAGGTCGTGGTTTTCTCCAGGCACTCAAGCTTCCTCCACCAATAAAAACTGGCTGCCACGAAAAAGCTTAAAAGTGGCGTTAAAACACCAAAAATCAAATCAAATCACTGCTTCATACTTATTTTACTGTATTTCTGATAATGATGGGGAACAGAGTAATGAATACTTATTGTCTTTTATGATCCACATACCAAGAATTTTTTGTACATGCAAAGCTGTTTGACATTTTTCTTCCTTTACTTCTAACTTTGTACATTTGTGTTCCTGGGGATGTCTGTGGCTACAATAAAATTGAGAAGTTAATGCACATATTTTTTAATTGTCATATTACTGTAACATCTACCAAACTACCGTGTATATCTCTCAATGCATCTAGATATTTGCCACTGGATGTTATGCAACCAACAATCAATCAATCAATGCATTTAGTTATGGAAAATACATTCTACACATGCCAGTTTAGATAAAATTTATTGCTTCAAATAAACAAGAACTGCTTACATTAATAGGATTGATTGAGCAGCTACCCATACTGTAGATTTGCCAAGATTATTATGATAGGACTTTGAAATGATCCTTTTTCTGCCTATGTTGTAGATTTACTAGCACAGTATTTACAAATTGAATTTAGTTTTGTAATCAACAAATCTTATATTTCAAAGATATATGTAACACTTTTGGACTTGATGGTTCCATCAGTTTGTGATTATTTCATTCATATCTTAAAAATATTTGTTCCATTACTGTAAAGACATTTAATTTTTTATCAAATTCTTCTTCATATAAATATAAGTTCATCATTTACTGTGAAAGATTAATAAATACTCATTGCAACACTGTTTTGATAATAAGGAATAATTTAATTATCAACAGATGATTTATTCCATGCTAGCTATCAGTCCAGTATTCATTCAGGGATCATAACAGAACAAATTTCTAGGGTAGAACTTATATCTATTTTAACCATTGAAAAATAATAATAATTTTTATACCTTTGGCTATACTCTTAAATGCTGAAAATCCATAGATGGTCTTAAAAATTCATAGTTAAGGAGCAACCCCCCCCCCCCCCCCCCCCCTCTTAAATAGCATTCGATGATCTCTGTCATTTCCCTGTACTAAGTCAGGAATATAACAGTTGTTTTCCAGTTGTTCTGTTGAAGGCAATAGTTGATCGTTTGGTTTTGTCAGGTTTTTTCTGTTGAAGGCAATAGTTGATCGTTTGGTTTTGTCAGGTTTGTTCTGTTGAAGGTAATAGTTGATCGTTTGGTTTTGTCAGGTTTGTTCTGTTGAAGGCAATAGTTGAGCGTTTGGTTTTGTCAGGTTTGTTCTGTTGAAGGCCATAGTTGATCGTTTGGTTTTGTCAGGTTTGTTCTGTTGAAGGCAATAGTTGAACGTTTGGTTTTGTCAGGTTTGTTCTGTTGAAGGCAATAATTGATCGTTTGGTTTTGTCAGGTTTGTTCTGTTGAAGGCAATAGTTGATCGTTTGGTTTTGTCAGGTTTGTTCTGTTGAAGGCAATAATTGATCTTTTGGTTTTGTCAGGTTTGTTCTGTTGAAGGCAATAGTTGATCGTTTGGTTTTGTCAGGTTTGTTCTGTTGAAGGCAATAGTTGAGCGTTTGGTTTTGTCAGGTTTGTTCTGTTGAAGGCAATAGTTGATCGTTTGGTTTTGTCAGGTTTTGTGGACTTCCCACATTTTGAATTTACGTTGGAGCTCAGTATTTTTTATAATACATTTTATTATATCAAATCATATGTATTATTTCTAATACCATTGTGCTGTACTGCTGATATTATTGCATTCAATTGTTTAAGACTGATTTTTTCATAGAATTGAATTGTACATGTAATGATCGATCAGCCCCTAGATAAGGCAAGGAGGAATATAAGTAAAAATCAAAATAAATTTAGTTTAACCTTGGTACATATTTATGTGAGCCTTTTTCCAAGCCATAAAATTTGACAACTGCATCTTTTTGTTTTAAGTCAATTTAAGAAATTAATTTGGTAATAGTTTTCCTATCTTCCATTGCCTCTTTTGATTAAATTATTACTTGTCAACTTATAAAGACTGAGAAATTCATGTATGATGCAGACATCTACTCTTCATTGGGGAGCAGTATGATAATCTCTTGACCCTTTTTAAAACCGCCTGATGTTGGGTTACTGCCTAAGTCCTGTTTACCACATTTATTTTTTATTCATAAACTACAAACATACCTTAAACAGAAATTGAGATGACATTTCTCACATACAACTGGCATTAGCTCCCTTTTGTCACAGTTATCATAAACACAATCATAACTTTTAACACCTTCATATTTCGTATTTGTAGATGTTGCAAATTCCTGAAAAATAAGACAAAAAATTCTACATAAAACTGGTACTCTATCCACTTGAAATGATAATACCTAAATTTTGGCATTACAAAAGGTCCAAAGCAACTATTCTTGGACCAGTTATGATGTTTATACATAAAATCAGTTAAAAGATGTACTGGTAATATCCAAATAAAATGGCTGTGAAAAAAGGAATTAAACACTTACAAGTGTACATGACTTGGATACCTTAAACACCCTCAGGTAAGGCTGTCTACCATCTGTGATAAGATTGGACTCTTTGGCCTTCAATTACTTTAGGGAACCCTATTATTTAGGGTTCTAGGTTACGGGTAGGGTTTGTTTTTTTGTTTGTTAGGACTTTAATTCAGATTTAGGTCAAGTGTTAAGGTTAGGTATGGGTTAGGGTAATAAAAAATAATCTTGAAATATGCAGTAGGAAATCTAGTGAATGAAAACAAAAGAAAATTCACTCTTCTTATGATAGAGTCGAGAAAGTCAATAATAAAACAATGCCGGTGACGATACTGATCAAAAGTTATTTCTAAATAATAATTGTACATTTTAAAGAAATTATTTGTTAAACTGTGTTATTAGAAATATACATGCAAATAAATACACGATGTTTTATGTTCAGTATTTATCGGGATAATTGAATTAGAAGCTTGTGAAATTTAAATTTAAACAAGAATGTGTCCATAGTACACGGATGCCCCACTATCATTTCCTATGTTCATTGGACCGTGAAATTGGGGCCAAAACTCTAATTTGGCATTAAAATTAGAAAGATCATATCATAGGGAACATGTGTACTAAGTTTCAAGTTGATTGGACTTCAACTTCATCAAAAACTACCTTGACTAAAAACTTTAACCTGAAGCAGGACAGACGGATGGACGAATGGACGAACGAACGGACGCACAGACCAAAAAACATAACACTCCTAGGTGGGGCATAAAAATGCCAATCTTTGCTGCATATTAATAAAAAAATTGGAAAAAATCATGTACATACAAAATCTAAAGATCTTTTGGGTGAATTTGCTTAGTAAATTTTAAGTATTTTCGAAAGTGCCAATCTTTGCTTCATATCAATCGATTCCTTTGGAATTTTTCCCCTGACTTTCTCTGATCTAGCTGTATATTAATTAGCACGTTCCAGAGAGGTATACAGCCAGTAGAAAAATAAATTGAAGTTGGTACTCCAGGGAATTATTCGCATAGCAACATTTTAAACCAATTTTACATCAAGCTTCTATAGCCTTCGTACTCGTCGTTTGCTACTTAAGGAGGAAAATGATAACATTAAATGGAAGTTTTGTTTTTATTTCAACTATTTCTATTTTTACTATTTACCAGAAAGTCTTTCTGTGAATCCATAATTGATAGCATCCTTGCAAAAATGGGACAAACATTGAGAAGATCTAGTTTTCAGTGTTTACAGGGGAGGTAATATTTTGTCACTAGATTTCCCACTGTATATTCCAATGAGAACAAACAAAACTTTCATGGAATACTAATTTTAAGCAGTTACAGTCCTACGCGGGTTATTCAGTGTGCACCACATTTTTGATGTTATTTCTTCATAGACAGAAAAAATATTACAGTCATTCCTTAAATAAAAACAGGTCAATTTCCATTGGTTTTCAGGCACGGATGCATAAACAAATAGACAAAACAAATTTTAAACATTATGTTTGTTGTTTAACCTATCTGACATGAATATTTTGTCAAACCCTTCACTCTTATGTTTCCTAGGCCTAAAGGATATTGAAATCAAGACAATTTTGTCAAATTTTACCAAACTATTTTTGGCCTATTTTGGGATTTAAGTGTCAACACTTTATAAGAAAAGCTACACAAAAAAACATTGCATTGTATAAAGCATTGATTGTAGTTGATTCAACTATAATCATGGACAAAGGAAGATAACTCCAATTTTAAAAATTACTAGACATTTAGAAGAAAATAAAAATTTTGAAATTTTTCCATTTCTAAAGGGCATAACTCTAGAATGGTTAAAGTGACGTCACCAAAATTCAAACTTGATCTGTGTTTTGTGGTAATAAGCATTGTGTATAAGTTTTATAACATTTGGTTGAGGCTAACTAAAATTAGAGAACGGAAACGAAAAAATTCAGCAATTTTTCCATTTGTAAAGGGGCATAACTCTAAAACGGTAAAAGTGACGCCACCAAAATTCAAACTTGATCTGTGTTTTGTGGTAATAAGCATTGTGTATAAGTCTCATAACATTTGGTTGAGGTAAACTAAAGTTAGAGAACGGAAACCAATTTTGGGACGTACGTACGTACGTACAGACGGACAAGGGTAAAGCTTAATGCCCCCTCCACTACGGCGGGGGCATAAAAAGTTCTATTTCACTTTATTTACATGTGAAGCACAATTTATCTTTAAACAACAAGGGACTTTAATATTCAAGACCAAATATGGCCCTTACCAAACTTACTTCTTTATTTATCTACTCCTGATTGAACACCTTGGGTTACTTCTTTTAACCTTGCAAAGCACATTTTATCATGTCACATTTTAGTATCTTTTGGACTAGGAAATTGAAAAATACATACCTGTATTTTGGCATTGCGCAAGGTCATGTTTTTCTCTGACTTTTAAAGAATTCTTTAACTAAATCCATTGGATGTTGGATGTGTACTGATATATGATTTTTTATTAGTTGTTATTGCCTTTGAACAAGCTGTCAGTAACTGTGAGTACTTTCAGATCTGTACTTGTGTCTTTTTGTTGTGGGGATGTATGATACCCTGCTGTCTGGTCTGTGTTTTATTACTTGCTTTTCTGCTTTGTATCAATCTGATGAGTTAAGCCCTTTTCACAAGATTTTTATAGTTTGTTCATATGTTGTGCTATTACACCGGGGAGGGTTGGGCGTCAACAAACATGTTTAACCCTGCCTCATTTTTTAATGTGCCTGTCCCAAGTCAGGAGCCTGTAATTCAGTGGTTGTCCTTTGTTGTTGTATATATTTGTTTTTCGTTCATTGTTTTGTACATAAATCTGGCCATTAGTTTTCTCGTTTGAATTGTTTTACATTTGTCATTTCAGGGCCTGTTATAGCTGACTATGCGGTATGGTTTTTTCTCATTGTTGAAGGCCGTACGGTGACCTATAGTTGGTAACTTCTATGTCATGTCGTCTCTGGTGGAGAGTTGTTTCATTGGCAATCATACCACATTTTCTTATTTTTATATAGACTCTCAACAATGACTAGATAATAATCCAATACCTATATATTTATAATTTTAATGGACAATTATACACTTACTAAACTGCAGGAATGTTTGTCAGGAAACTTGTGGTCTAAACTGAAAAATGAAAATAACAAATAAACAAATATCCAATATAATTAATCATACCACATGTACATTTTTTAAACAAATATATAAAGACATTTCATAAAATATTTCAGATAAGCAGATTAATTTGTCTCTTGTCATTAGGGACATGTTTATGAAAAATTAAAGTAGATCCCTTGCCAGTTGTTATGTATGACTATGACTTCCTTGTGACTTTAATATAAAATTCCAATCGTATCTTTAGGATTTGTTGTGTAGGCATATTGTTTTGGTCCTATTTTTAACTGACTTTTAATTCCGCTTTGTTTATAAGTGAACATTTCAAAGCACTATTTTTTTTTAGATTAAAATGACAACAGATGAAAAGAATAATATAAAAAATTTTTAAAAACTTACCAAAATGTTTTTGTACAACTGTCACAAACAAACGACAGAAAATCTAAAAAAAAAATAAAAGTGACAAGTTAATTATCAATTAAAATACAGACTAGACATTCCAACTGACTCCATTTTCAGAAAACGACATCTGTAACAAACATAAACTTTTAGCTACCGCTTTACAAGCAGAACCAAATACAATGAAAGTCCCAACTATGTATTGGCTTCCGAAGCTACACAAAACACCTTACAAATATAGATTCATTTCGTCTTCAAGCCATTGTTCCACTACTAAATTGTCTATTCTTCTTACCAGTACACTTGGTACAATCAAAAACCTGATAATAAATTGTTCAAATAAGGCCTTCGAAAATAGTGGAATTAATTACTTTTGGAGTGTCAAGAACTCGTTGGAAGTACTTGATAAATTGCATGCATATATTGGTGATTTTGAATCTGTTCAAAGTTTTGATTTTTCTACCCTATATACCACATTGCCTCACATTCTCATTAAGAAAAAATTCACACACCTAATTAAATGGGCATTTAAAAAGTCAGAATGTGAATATATATGTTCAAACTCTTTTAGGTCATTTTTTAGTAGCAATAAACAAAAAAACTATGTCAATTGGACATGCTTTGATACTATATATGCCCTTGAATTTTTACTAGATAACAATTTTGTTCGCTTTGGAGATTCCGTATATCGTCAGGTTATCGGAATTCCAATGGGGACTAACTGTGCACCACTTATTGCGGACCTTTTTTTGTATTGCTATGAGTTACAATTTATGACAAAAATCAGTAAAGACCCATCGAAACAACATCTGATACACAAATTTAATAATACTTTTAGATATTTGGATGATATTTTGGCTCTCAATAATGACGACTTCAGTATGTATACTAAAGAAATTTATCCTGTTGAACTTACTTTAAATAAAGCTAATACTAACAATGACCACTGCCCTTTCCTCGATCTTGATATCTATATCATTAACGGAAAGCTTAATACTAAAATATATGATAAAAGAGATGATTTTTCATTTCCTATCGTTAATTATCCATTTTTAGATGGTGACGTTCCCTTGTCACCATCTTACGGTGTTTATATATCTCAACTTGTACGATTCACTCGTGTATGTAACAATGTTTTAGATTTTAACGAGAGAAATTTATGTATTACTGAAAAATTATTACACCAGGGTTTTCGATATCACAAACTAGTCAAAACATTTACTAAATTTTATCATCGGTATAAGGACATCATTCGTAAATATAGCTCAACATGCAGACTTCTTATACGTTCAGGTATTTCACATCCAATTTTTTATGGAAATATTCTTTATAAAGCACAAAAATGTCAGTATTCACCTCTGAAACTAACAAAACCTTTAAATAGACTTATTAAGAAGGGATATAGTTACGATACTGTTGTCAGGTCATTAAAGATTGCATATTTTGGCGTTAATATTGATTCACTTATAGGGTCTTTGCATCGGCACTAAACACATTTATTTAAAAACCAGTTGTTGGCATGACACGGGTTATGTTCTTCTCATATATGTTATGATGGTATGATACTAAACCCCTAACGGGAAGGATTGTGCCTGATATTCATATGATGAAGACATAATCTTTCAATCAGTTTAATTGAAGTCTGGAGCTGGCATGTCAGTTAACTGCTAGTAGTCTGTTGTTATTTATGTATTATTGTCATTTTGTTTATTTTCTTTGGTTACATCTTCTGACATCAGACTCGGACTTCTCTTGAACTGAATTTTAATGTGCGTATTGTTATGCGTTTACTTTTCTACATTGGCTAGAGGTATAGGGGGAGGGTTGAGATCTCATAAACATGTTTAACCCCGCCGCATTTTTGCGCCTGTCCCAAGTCAGGAGCCTCTAGCCTTTGTTAGTCTTGTATTATTTTTAATTTTAGTTTCTTGTGTACAATTTGGAGTTTAGTATGGCGTTCATTATCACTGAACTAGTATATATATTTGTTTAGGGGCCAGCTGAAGGACGCCTCCGGGTGCGGGAATTTCTCGCTGCATTGAAGACCTGTTGGTGGCCTTCTGCTGTTGTCTGTTCTGTGGTCGGGTTGTTGTCTCTTTGACACATTCCCCATTTCCATTCTCAATTTTATGTACATGTAACTGTCTTTTTATAATCATATCCTAAAAACCAATACAATATACATACTTTTATTTCTATACAAGTAACACCTATAAAGTTTGTCAATTTGACTGAAGCAGTTTAAATGGGCTTTCAAATTTTCAGTTATTGACACTGTAAACTATATGATTATAATTATGCATTGCCTATCAGATTTGTTTTTGACATTTTATCATCAACCTACAAGGAAAACATCACTATATAATGTATATAGGAAGCTGGTACAGACCACCTGACACTCCAGCTGATAATATTTATTTACTAAAGGACCAGCTGGACAATATCAAACAGCTAGGAAAAATCCACCATCAGCCATTCATACATTGTACTAGGGGATTTCAACTATCGCAAAATAAACTGGGAAACCATGCTAAACAAAGACACTAACTCCTGTCTCTTTGATAGCAATGGACAATCGCTTATAGATATAATTAACAAAGCAAGCGCCAAACAGCTAGTGCTATTTCCAACCAGAGAAAACAACATACTATAATAACGACACTTCCTGGTCAGTTCATCAACATTCATACACCAGATAGACTAAGCTACCACGACATAGTTATGGGCATACTGAAATGTACAGCACAGAGGAAATCTAGACCTGAAAGAACATACTATCAATACTCAAAGGGAGATTACAATCGAATGAGGGAGGGAACACAAAATTTAACCAGTGACAAATATTTCAATGGTAACCAAAACAACAGATCAGTATAGGAAAATTGGAAAATGATTAAAACCTTTATCTTAGAAATATCTGGAAAGAACATACCAAAGAAAACATTAAAAGGTAAACAGTCACTGCCATGGATTAATTACAACATTAAGACCCTGATAAGACGTAATAGGACACTGTGTGTCACACATGCAAACTACAATAAGACTAGTAGATTAAATAGAAAATGGCAGGAAATTATATTTGGCGATTGGTAAAGGAAGAAGTAACTGAAGAACACAATTCCTATGTTAACAACCTAAAAGGGGATATAAAAAAGGACTCTAAACCATTTTGGATGTACATAAGCAACCAAAAAAGATGACAAACAAGGAATTCCACCTTTACTTATTTAATATTAACGAAAACAAAGTAGCAGAAACAGACCTTGAAAAGGTAGAGGCACTAAACCAACAATTTACAAGTGTTTTCACAAGATCGGAGTACAAATTTATACCACACCAGCCATCACCAGTAGAAAAAATGAGAAAAATCACAGTCACCAAAAAAGGAGTCATCAACTTTTGGAACACATTATTTGCTCAAATATGATGCAGCATTTCAAAAATAACAACATTCTCAACAACAAACAACATGCTTTCAGAAAACATCATAGCTGCGAAACTCAAACAGTTAACGTCATTCACAATTGGGCAAGGTTCATCGACAACCGACTACAAGTAGACATTTTTATTTTAGATTTTGAAAAGGCATTTGACACAGTACTGCACGAACTACTTAAAAGCAAACTCCACAAATATGGCGTACCAAAAAACATCATGATAGTCTCATTCCTGTCCAACAGGTCACAAAAATGCGAGTAAATCAGGCGATTCAGCTTTACTTTCATGAGTCCCCCCAGGGTGCTTGAGCCAATCCTGTTCCTTGTCCACATTAACGACAGAGTGGACCATGTTTCATCGGAGATAAGACTTTTTGCAGATGACTGTGTGTGCTATAGAGAAATAAACAACAACCAAGACTGCTTAGAGCTACAGAAAGACATAGACACCTGAGGTACATCGGCTGAAACTTGGGGAATGCGTTTCCAACCTGTAAAATGTAATATGATGACCCTAAGTTGCAAAAAGAAGACCACAGAATTTAAGTACACCTTGAAAGGCATAGAACTGGAATTTTTAAAATCAATAAAATACCTGGGAGTGAGCGTCAGACTAGCGATTTACATTGGGGAAAACACATAGAGGATATATGTAACAAATCTTATAGAACACAAGGGTTGATAAAACGAAATCTGTCATCATGCCCTATGGAGGTAAAGCTGTAGGCATACAAGGGACTAATTAGACCTGTCCTTGAATGTGGGAGTACAGTATGGGACCAACACCAAATATATTTACAAGACAAACAAGAAAACATCCAGAAAAGAGCAGCAAGATTCAAAACATCTATAAACTACAGTTACGAACCAGGTAGTATGACTTCAATCTTAAACCAAATTAAACTAGAACCACTGAAAGATAGTAGAAGACAAAACAGACTGATTTTATTTTGCTAAGGCATACATCATCTAGCCAAACTACCAACAGAAAATCTTCAACAACCACAAACAACAACAAAGACATAGTCAACATTTTCTCAGAATCCCAGCCAAGACGGACACTTGAAAAATCATTTCTACCAAATACAATTAAAGATTGGAACTTTCTACCTACGGATATCATCAAGATGCAATTCGCGGAAGAACCAGCTAAGTTTTTCACAGAAATTATAAGGGGGGTCCCAAGTTGTTAAGTAAGTTATTAACCTTAACACGTGCGCTATGTATTAATGTCTAAGGACGTGACAGGGTATCCAATCAAGATCAAGATCCTACTGTATTTTATTTATTGGTAATTTGTTCTCTCCCTGAACATGCATGAAATATTTGCTACTGGAATTTTTAATAAACAAAGATAATAAGATTTTCTGGGGATTTGTTTTCGACATTTTATCATTGGCTGTGTCTGAATTCATGATAATGTTACTTTCTTCGTCGTTTTTTTTCAAAGCCTCTGCATACCTAGTTGTTTACATGTTTCAAATGAACAGTGGTTTCCAACGTTTGGGAACTCAGCCATCGGGGAACGACACGGACGTTGAATGTTGAGCATTATTTTCGCATTTTTTTCTACATTTAATCTTCATTATAAAATTTTATTCAAGTAATGATAACATGTTAATGATTTTTTTATAATCAAATCATACATTCGCTAGGTATAATCCGAAAACATTCTCGTTGCTTGGACAATTTTGTAAACAATATGGCGGCGTAAACAAAAGCAGGTGCCCGTTTGGATTGGAAAGAATTAGTATTCCTAAGAATGGCACTAGTTAAAGTTGACCAAAGTATTTCAAAGCCAGGATGGGTCTCTCATTTTGGAAAGAAACCCAAAGATAGTAAGAAAGATGCATTTTTAAAAAATTAATATGATACTTTAAAAAAAATAGGCGCTTTAGATATCATACAGACTTGTTTTCTTTAGTTTTACAAAATTATACACGAAATGGTTGCAGTCTCTACTATTAACCTTTTGGTCCCACTAGACAATAGAACCAAACATAGCAATCCACACTCATTTAGGCAAATACAAACATCTTAAGACAGTTATAAATATTCATTTTATCAATAAACAGTTATAAATTGGAATCAATTGCCACATTTAAAAGTTTCATGCAGTACAGTACAGGGTTTCAAGAGTATGATCACAGAATCAAATTCTATAGTCAACCCCTGGCGAATAATCTTCAATTAATGAAGTATCGCTAGAAACTAATAGTAGAACAAAATTAAAGTTGAATATCTTTTATATATATTTGAATGGCTAAGTTTTACCTAAAATTTGTATAGACAGACTTCTAACTATACAAATCCTTGGTTTTACTAATAAGAAATGGCAGGCGCGTAGCTAGGCCAATATGATGTGTAAATGCCGGAGAAGGAAGTCAAACGGCAGGGGGTATGGGGGCCGCTTAAGGCCCTCAGAAGCTCTGGGTAAATGGTGCAAAATCCTCCATTCTTGTAATTTCCTGGGACTTAAAATGACCTCACCGAAATCTTATTTTCATGAGTAACGAGTCAACTTTTGAAAAAAAAAATTGAAAAAAAAAAATAAAATATTAATTAGAGAAAAAAAAAACACGTACTGTTGGCTTAGGAATTTGGATTTTCTAATATGTAGTGGGTTGAGCTTGATTTAATTAAATTAAAAATAATATTCGTTGCTAGTTAGTTTAGGTTTAAAGGGTTGTACTTGCACGGATAAAACTTAAAATACAAAGAAGGAATAACAATTTCACGGTGAACGTGAAATAATTTCGTCCATGAAGGTTGATAAAAAAAAAGTACTACATGTATAACGAACGCATATCATAGGTTGGAAACCTTTAACTGGCAAGTATATAATATATACGTTTTAAGTCCCGAAATCTGAATCAAATCTATAAGGAAAATCATCAAATTATTTCCGATTACTTTTTATTAACTTCCTAAACGATATTCTTTTAATTTTACCAAGCATAGAATACAAGCACTTTAAATCTTGAAGCATGAAAAATAAGCACTTTTAATCTCCAAGCACGTATAATTAAGTTGGGGAAACACTTTGAACGAGGCACCCGTCTTGCACAATCGAACGTAAAAATAAAAAAAGTCAAAACTCGATGATCGTCAATTTAAACAAACAAAAAAACAAAAAAAACGGCAAGCACTATGCACGAAAATTACCCTTTACCAACCCTGTTAAACTTAAAATCAGACTGGACTGTTTAAAAAAATCTGTTATGACGACGTATGTAATTAAGCATATACATACCTAACACGAAAATCATGAGAATGAATTGTTGTCCATGGTCTCTTGAGAACGTCATATTTTATTTCGTCAGTTTTTTTAAAAATTGCTTTCTTTTTTTTTCCAATTTAGCACACAAGCTTGAAGATATTCCTGCTCCAACAATTGATTATGAAAAGTTAAAATTGTTATGTGGAATTGAAGGATTGAACGGAAGGTAATAATTATTTAACAAGAAAGAGAACTTACTGCTAGTATTTGATAGTTGAAGTGTTATCTATGATATCGTATAATTACAGGATCATTTTTAAAAGAACTTTATAAATACAATGTTTTCTGTTCACATTCTCAGACAAATCATATTATCCCTATATATTGTATGAGTAACAGGAGTTAATGTATTCCTTGTTTAAATCTGTCCTGACCCATTAATTTTGGCAGAAAGGGTTGAGATCTGATTCTCAGCAATTCTTAAGTAAAAAAATTGAATTTTTATGAATATTTTAATTAACCTTTCCCCATCTTGATATTAAGCATCTTAAATATTTCATGAAGCCTTCATTTAAAAAAATCTTTTGAAACTTAGAAAATTAAAGAGCAGTTCCATGAGATTCCATGTAACGGTCTCCAATTTGAAATGATTTTATGTCAGCCATTTAAGCACTTTGAGCTTTACTGGCATAACTGCCATTTAAGGTCAAGGAACAGTAAATGGTACCATTAAAACGTTTAAACCTGCTGCAATTGTTTGCACCTGTCCTAAGTCAGGAATCTGATGTTCAGTAGTTGTCGTTTGTAGATGTGGTTCATAAGTGTTTCTCATTTTTTATATAGATTAGACCGTTGGTTTTCCCGTTTGAATGGTTTTACACTAGTAACTTTTGGGGCCCTTTATAGCTTGCTGTGCGGTGTGAGCCAAGGCTCCGTGTTGAAGACGTACTTTGACCTATAATGGTTTACTTTTATAAATTGTGACTTGGATGGAGAGTTGTCTTATTGGCACTCATACCACATCTTCTTATATCTATGACACTGATTTTGGTAAAATTTTGCATACAACTTGGGCACATTTAACTATAACTGAAAATCAACAGAAATAGTGCATTTATCTCTTTTATTTTCTTAAATATTGCTGATTGAACTCTGTTAAAATCGGTGAACATTTGTATAGAAAGTGTTTAAAATCGGACCAATGGTTCTTAAAGTTGTCTTAAAACCATCTAAACTCCAATTTCTAGTACATATCTTTTTCTTAAAAAATGATATGTTGTTGATATATAAATTTCCATTTTAATGATATAAAATAATGATAGGGTCACCGACTTTGTTTTTGGTGTATTGACCAATCTGTAACCTAGTTGATAGTGAAAAATTTAAAAATCGACGTTTTACGGCTTACATGTATAACATGATGACATTATGCTTAATTCGACATTTTGTGGTATTTTTTTCACCTAGAACACCATTTTGAATGTGTATAGCGTAAAAACAAAGTCGATGATGATTTTTTAAGAAAAATCTATGTACTAGAATTGGAGTTTAGATGGTTTTAAGACAAATTTAAGAACGATTTTCACCGATTTTAAATGCTTTCTATGCAAATGTTCATCTATTTTGAGATAATTCAATCGGTAATATTTCAGAGAGAAAAAAAAGAGATAAATGCATTATTTTTTTGATTTTCAGTCATAGTTCAACAAGCAAAAATTTACCAAAATCTGCGACATAGCCCATTTATTGTTCCTTGACCTTTAGGTAGTTTGTGCTCACATCAAATTGAAACTTAGTACACAGTCATGTTTATATAAGGTGACTGTTCAATATATGCAAAATAAGGTTTTTGACTCTGATTTCAAGGTTTACTGAACATGGAAATGTGATAGGTAAAAGTTTTGGTTTAAGGTACCGGTAGTTTGTGATCATGTACATCAACTTGAAATTTATTACATTAGTGAACTGTTTAATACATAAATACAAAATATAGGTTTTTTCTAAGATTTCACGGTTCACCGAACATGGAAATGTGATATTGTTAGTTGAGCATGATGTCCTATGGGCACATATTCTTGTTGCATTTATTATTGTTATGTTAAGGATGTTTGCTACTCTGATTCAAAGTAACAAGCTTTTTAAAAGACTGTTATAAATTGATAGTACATGTATATGAATAAAGAAGCTAAAAAAGCAGAAAAAAATTAAGGGTTCCTATGGTTGTTTTCGAGGTATAAGCCATTGAAAATTTGGCGGGAAATAATGCTCTCTAGATTTTTCATACATTTAACATTGACACTTTTTTTCTTTCAAAAACAATGAAAAAATAATAAGGATTTTATAAGATTTTCAAAGATGACATTTTAAACTATATGTAATTAAATTATGGGAAAAAAAGTAGGGGTTAGTTGGGAAAATTTTTAATGGCACTACATGGATAAAACCAGAGGATTCCGAATATCTGACAAAAAAATAAAAAACGAGAGGAGCGAACATCCTTAAATCAGTTTGTTCTTGAATTTTTGTTATTTGTTGTTGTTACTTAGTTTAAGACTATGATGTCACGATGGCATGAGTAAATAAAGCATTTGGTGAGACGATATTACACTACTAGTTTACAGTTAAGTGCATTTCCTGTACAGATTTGTATTTATGTTCTTTTTTGCACTTTTTATTAGTCTACTGATAAACTTGTTTTCTGTCTGATCAAAAACAATTTGATTTTCTAAAAATGTATTACTGTGTTCAATGTATTTTAGAGAGGATGAGAAGAGCTCTGATGAAGCACATGAAACATTTATGACAAATTACAAAGATATATTTGCCAAACCACCAAGCAAAAGAATATTTCATGCACAGTCAAAAAAAAGGTAAACTTTAATAGTCATGTTGAAATTCATTACCCCATGTGTAAATATAGCGTGATTTATTCATAGACATATAGTGTAGACACTTTTGTTTCAGACCAATTGTTGACCTGTAGATGGGTTTTTATATTATCATATTATTGGGTTGTATCTCATTGAAATATATCCTACATCTATTTTATTCATATAAAACAAAGGGAGATATTCTACACTTTTTATATCATGACATTATAATATGACAAATATTGACTTTGTTTCTGTGTTTGTTTTACTGCAATCAGCTATAATATTAAATCTGAAAAAATCAATACTTCAGTCTCAAAAAGAAACATATATAGTTTTAAAATGCCAAAAATCTGTAATAAACATGATTAAAGAAAGAGCTAAAGTTCTTAATAAATATGGTTAAAAACAAGCAAAAAACCAAAAAAACCTGAAGCCTGAACTTTTAAAGTATACAATACATGTATCTTAATTCAGGTACTGAAATTTTAACATAGGGTTTCTCTTCTAGGATATGAGAATAATAACAGTATATGGAACCGTTTACCATAAATTAATTTGCATACTTGTTTTGTTTGTTATAGTGTAGAAAAGTTTTCATCACAGATGAGTATTACCCACAATGCAACAGGTAACTTTATTATATTACGGCATATTATATAAACCATATCTATCAATTATTCAAATCTGGAATGATAGAGAAGAAATGCAAATAATATGATTTAAATAATTAAAGGGAGATAAACATGTTTTAAAAAAAAATTAAATGGATAAATTCATAGAAGCAATGTTATGTAAATATAAATTTCATCGAACATCACATGAATGGCTTGGAGAACTGAATTCATGATTTTTAATATACCTACGTATACTGTATGTTTAAAATCTTCTAAAAATGAAATTTTTGTGTATCAAGGAAAATTGCAAGGAATATTTGTTTCTTTTTCATGAATATCTCAAAAGGTATCTGAAATAATTTTGTTGATGTTGAAATGCAATTAGAATACCGGGTGGTATATGCAATTCATACTGAAAAGGATTCATCTGTACTAATAAAGCATGAAAACTTAAAATCTTTTATATGAAAATAATGTATTGTGCAGGGATATCGTGTAATATTAAATGTGATATGATTGCCTATGAGACAACTATCCACCAGAGACCAAAGGATGAGGATGTAAACTTCTACAGATCAGTCTGTACAGCCTTCAACAATGAGCAAAACCCATACTTTATAGTAAGCTGTAAAAGCCCCCAGCATGACAAAATGTAGACAATTCAAAAGAGAAAACCAAGCCAGCTGCTAACCACAATAACAAATAACAACCACTGGATTACAGGCTTCTGACTAGGACAGATACATAAAGAATGTGTTAGTGCTAAATGCTCCTTAACTGATAATCTTTCCTGATATTTTATTTTGAATGTCTATTCTTTTTTATAACATCATCCTTCTTGGAAATATTTGTTACACAATCTATAAACTTCAATTATTCTGTTTATAGGCTGCAAACAGATATTGAAAGAAGTCTTGAATTGTAAAAATACAAATTTGTGAGCCCCTCTAATGAATAAAACTTGAAGCTATCATTTTAGAAGTAAATGGCTTAATTTATCAAAATAAAATAAAGTCATGACTAAATGAATACATGTGAATTTTGTTTTTTATACTGATCTGCTATTTACAGGAAAGAAAACAGATGAATTAAAAGCTGCAAGAGACAAAAAGAACTATCCAATAGATGACATAACACATGACATTAGGGATTACCTCCCTTTATTGCACAAGGAAAGGAAAAGTGAACATCCAGAGGCTGTCAGAGCAGATAATTTAAATACTCTAAGAAAACTCCTCAGGAAATTGTAAGTTTTTCAAATACATGTAACAAAAAACAAATCAATATTTGTTACTTTTTATTTTTTTAAAGGAATTATATTTAACCCATTTTTAATTGACATGAGAGAATTTTTAAATGTCACTTCTTTAAACGTATTCTGGTAAGGATTTAAATTAATGATATTTTAGACAGTCTTATTATGCATGCAGTTCTGCGTTGTTAGTATGAGCTGAATTTTCTGCGTTGTATGAGCTGAATTTGAGTAACAAGTTTGAAAGCTCCTTCAGAGTGATTAATTAATGAAAAAATATATGTTTATGATACAATTTTTAAATAGTACTATAGATTATCAATTTAATTTTATTTTGTAATTATCCATGAAAACCTTTCTGTTGTGAGGTTAACATTTCACAAAGATCTACAAGTTTTTCCCTCGACATTTTGCAAAGAAAGTATTACTCTGCATTTATTAATTCCATTATTATTATTTTCAGACCATTTGAAAGGACTGCCTCAGACAATGACAAGATGTTTTCCATTTTCAAAACATTTAGATTTTTCAATGACAATGTTCCAGATAATATTCTAAAGGAACTTTGTGTTGTAGCTTTATTTGAGCAGTGGAAAGATACAGATTTTACAGGTAATGCAGTCATTAGTTATAATATTTTTTGTACATGTTTATAAAAAGTAAATTAACAAAAATAACGAACTCCAAGGAAAATTCAAAACGGGAAATCCTTTATCAAATGGAAAATTCAAAAGCTCAAACACATCAAACCAATGGAAAACAACTGTCATACTCCTGACTTGGTACCGGCATTTCCTTATGTAGAATATATTGGATTAAATCTGGTTTTATAGCTAGCTAAACCTCTCACTTGTATGACAGTCACATAAAATTCCAATATAATATAATATACTTTAGTACAAGGTAAGCATCAACCAAGCAACAAAATTCTAACAAAATACAGAGGTCAACATATGTTGTTCAAAAACAGACAAACCTAGCCATATGTCAAACCCTAGATTGACCAGAGTCTAGATAAATTATGAGGGTTTGGATGATGTTTACAGAATAGAGAATAATGGGTAAACAAACTAAAAAATAGAGAAAAAGAGAACCCCCCAAAAAAGAATACAGAAAAATTGACTGAAAAATAAAGAATACAGAAAAAATGGTCTAAAAAATTAAAGAATACAGAAAAAATGGTCTAAAAATTAAAAAATAGAGAGAAAAAATGGTCTAAAAAATTAAAGAAAACAGAAATAAAGACCCCCTCCTAGGCTATCAAAACCCTCAATTCTACAAAGAATATGATTACTCGTCATAGGATTTAGTGTTGCTGTCCAGTATATCCCCAGTTTTGTCTCTCCTTCTGTATTATATTAAGTTCTGATCATGAGGTAACTTGTTTAGCTTGTACTAAAGATTTATTGGCTCATTTATCAAAATTCTGAAAAACAATTTTTTTACCATTCTTTAGTTTTTCAAATTGAGATAACATGGTAATTAGTGCTTGACCCTGTATTTAAAGGAAAAATATTCCTTAACTGTAACATATGAGGATAGCATTTATCAATTCTGCAAATATTTAATTTTTCATACATTTTCATCTTTAAAAAAATATTGAATAGAAATAGCAGCACAGCTCTATATTCCAAGAAACAGTTCTTTAGTAATACTCCCAAGAAAAAATATGCAGTCATAGCAGAAATTTTGTTTATGTGTCGTAAAGAGTAATAAAGTATATTTTTTTACTCAACCCAAATGAGGACTAATCAAAATTGCATACATGTATCTCTTGGTGTTGTCTATTTCTTCTTTCTTTTCAGTATTTGGTAGAAATGGTTTATATATGGTGTTAAAAGGTTCAGTACGACCTTTGACCTACCCTCATTTGAATACCAACGACAACATTGTAGATTCTAGATCACCAACCCCATTACTTACAGAGGAATCTAAAGACATTGTAAGTACTGCATAGCACAAATAAATAATTTAAAATAAACTACTACAGGGGATGCTTAATTGACTACACATGCCAGTCTGGCAGGGTTGACTGGTTCCTTGTTTATGGTGCATTTTGTAAATTATAATGAATAATTGACTTGCTTAGGTAAAATTCTGTCTAACAACAAGTTAAATCCTGATGAAAAACCCATATCAATTACATATGATATAGAGTATGTGATAAAGTACAAAAACAGTCCTTTTCATTTCTTTATTGTAGTAATTGAAGATAATAATTATATAAAATGCAAATAAATCAACCTTTGTTCATCTTGTTAAACTGTTCAAATCTTCTGTAAATGTACACTTTCTTTTGCAATTTTGTTGGTATTTCTTTGTTGAACTGAATTTTAATGTGCGTATTGTTATGCGTTTACTTTTCTACATTGGCTAGAGGTATAGGGGGAGGGTTGAGATCTCATAAACATGTTTAACCCCGCCGCATTTTTGCGCCTGTCCCAAGTCAGGAGCCTCTAGCCTTTGTTAGTCTTGTATTATTTTTGATTTTAGTTTCTTGTGTACAATTTGGAGTTTAGTATGGCGTTCATTATCACTGAACTAGTACATATATTTGTTTAGGGGCCAGCTGAAGGACGCCTCCGGGTGCGGGAATTTCTCGCTGCATTGAAGACCTGTTGGTGACCTTCTGCTGTTGTCTGTTCTATGGTCGGGTTGTTGTCTCTTTGACACATTCCCCATTTCCATTCTCAATTTTACTTAAAATCATCAAGTAAGGGTTACGATAAATCAGTATATTATCAAGTTACAATTAATCTGATTTTTTCTAGAATTTCTGTGCATGAAAAATGAAAGACCTATACCATTTCTGATTTATATAATTTTACTTTATTTGACATGAATTCAATTTTCAACACACAATTTTAGATAATTTAAAATAAATTTTTAATAAAGAAAATAAATCAACCTTTGTTCATCTTGTTAAACTGTTCAAATCTTCTGTAAATGTACACTTTCTTTTGCAATTTTGTTGGTATTTCTTTGTTGCTTGCAAAATATTTACCCCACATCTCCTTTTATTCATATTTATTTTTTAAATTGTAAATATGAATAAATCGAAATATGTGGTATTCATTAATGAGACAGCAACCCAACAAAAATAACCATAAGACATCTGGAAGTCATCATACAATCTTCAACAATATGTCAAGAAATATATTTTCTGTATGATATACGACTTTATAGATAAGAGTTTAATAGTTCTTCCTGATTGGTTTTATTACCTCAATTAAGCAGAAGATTATTATTTCAAATTTTTTCAGTTACAACCAGGTGATTTCTTTGGTACATTAGATAAAATTGAAAGAAAACCTGGTTCAAGGTAAGTCCTATTTTGTCTATTATTAATTATTTGTGAATTGAATAAAACCTTTCCCCAGAATGAGGTCCTCTTTGTCAGGCTATTTATTATTTTGCTAATTTATTTAGTATTGAGACATGTATTTTCATCACTGGGAGTTAAAAAATTTTTGTTCAGCTAAAATAATCAATGAATGATTGGCTTTTTAAGGAGAAATTCAAAGGTTGGAATGAATAAACTCCACAAAGAACAATAGCTATTGTATTTTTACAATGGGACAGGTGAATTTGCCAAAAAATTGAATAGCCTGACAAAGAGGAACTCATTCTGGGGAAGGTTTCATTTCTTTTTCAATAATTATCTTGTAAAAAAATATAAGTAGATATGGTATGATGAACTAAAGGATTTGAAAGTGAAGCCTGTTTAAAGGGATTCAGTGGCTAAATGGTGGGTATGAGTGATTGCCCATTAACTAATCAGATTACTGTCACCTAGAGATGTCAGGCAAGGTACGCCTTTTAAAGCCTTTTTTTATGCTCCGATGCATTTTTTAAACTGAATTTTACCTAACAAAGGTTATTACAGAAAGACATGTCATGTGCACTAAAATTAGTATCATTATATAAAAATGTATAAAAAGGAGATGTGGTATGATTACCAATGAGACAACTATCCACCAGAGTCAAAATAGTGTTGATGTAAGCAACTATAGGTCGCTGTACAGTCTTCAACAATGAGAAAAACCAATACCATGCAGTGAGGTAAAAGGTACTGACATGACAAATACCAAACACTGCAAATGAAAAAGTCAGCAGGATAAAACAACTAACGAAAAACAAATATGGCAGACAGTTATTTAGATGCTAGTATGTTATAGCACTTGCAGAAAAGGGTACTTTTCCTAGGACTCCTGATCATGACTTCCTGACAAATAAAACTGATCACCAAGAAGTTTTAACTTGAAATACAAAGTGACATTAAATAAACAAAGCTGCTTAAATAGATTTAATCAAGGATTAAGTGACAATATGAAAAGAAAAATAGGTTATCCCTACAACGGTACACGCTAGAGTTTATTGATGGTATAATTATTCAACATGAATGGCTTTGATAAAATATATGAACAAACTTGTATGGTATATTGCAAGGTTTAAATTTATTTTATTTTGGCACATTTTTATCCGTAAAAGTTCCATTCCTCTCATTAGTTGAAAGTTATGTATGATTTTGAAATGTGAATGCAATTGAAAAATGAAAACTGTTAATTAAATGTCTATACGAAAACCTTGAAAAGGAAGATAACCTTGACATTCACTACACTGAATACAATAAAGACATTTTCTTTCTATTCCAATAACAGAAAATATCTTATACTGAATTTATACACAAAATTGGTGTATAAAATTGAGAATGGAAATGGGGAATGCGTCAAAGAGACAACAACCCGACCATAGAACAGACAACAGCAGAAGGTCACCAACAGGTCTTCAATGCAGCGAGAAATTCCCGCACCCGGAGGCGTCCTTCAGCTGGCCCCTAAACAAATATATATACTAGTTCAGTGATAATGAACGCCATACTAAATTCCAAATTGTACACAAGAAACTAAAATTAAAAATAATACAAGACTAGCAAAGGCTAGAGGCTCCTGACTTGGGACAGGCGCAAAAATGCGGCCGGGTTAAACATGTTTATGAGATCTCAACCCTCCCCCTATACCTCTAGCCAATGTAGAAAAGTAAACGCATAACAATACGCACATTAAAATTCAGTTCAAGAGAAGTCCGAGTCTGATGTCAGAAGATGTATGCATGGTACAGTTAAGTATAGTGTCCAATATTTATTGTAGTTAATATCATGTATTTATGTTAAATTGTACTACAGATAAAATTTATTTTTCTTTAGGATTTTCAGTGTAGAAACTCAAGAGCCAAACTGTGAATTCTTGAAAATTTTATCAACAGATTATACTAAAGTTATAACAGTAAGTTTTATTTAGGACATCTGAGGTCTAGAACTAACTTTATTGAAATGGTATCATAGAATGAAATTGTTTACAATAAGATCCCTTATAGGGCTTTTGACAACTCATTTGCTATAGTCCTATTAATTCATAATTATATTTTTACATTCAAAAATAGAGGAATAGGAACTGCTTAGCATTCCAGAACACCTGAGTTCATTCTCCAGTCTTTCAAAATTTGCAATATACTCTATCTGTATGAGATAAACTTTGCCATTAACTTGCCAAAGGTCATGGTTCACCATTGAGCCTCTGCTTTAGGCCCTTGGACTTTTTGATGAAGAGCAAGATTAAATATAGAGCTTTTAAAATATGTGTATGTGATTGTAAAATGAGTATACATATATGCATGAATTGAAATTATACATTTTGTTATGGTTGCCAAACTTATTAGAATAACCAAATTTTCTTGTTGAGGTGTAAGCACTATTTTGCAGCAATACATAGTTATGAGCAGATGGCACACCTCTGATAAAGACTTTTGATTCTTAAGACATTACTCTTGATACTAATTCTATATTATCCACAGAACAGTTTAAAAATTTACATTTTTTTTTAAGCAAATAGACACTAGAAGTAATGCTGAGAAGAAGAATTTGTTATTAACGTGTGGTAGATTCCAAGGCTGGTCAGACCAGACAATCGTCCAAGTTGCCAAATTAATTGAATGGGTCTCATTCCCTCCAAATACAAGTAAGTGATAACTTAGAGGTAATTTCTATTGCAAATTTACCATGGATTCTGAATGTTTTTTTAGCTGTTTCTTCTGATTTGGACACTACCAAAATTTTGATATTGAAAACAAATGCAATGGAAAAGAAAGGGATATGGTGTATCTATTCATGACAGAAAATCCATGCAGGCACTTGACAAAGCTGAAAGCAAAGAAACAGTACCCTTAATAGCTGCTGTTCATCTCAAAGTCACAGTGAGGCCTTCAAAAGGAGTAAAAGCACACATCTCACTGCAAGTTCAAAAGCCCCTCTAGCACCTTTTGAGCAAATTTTCTGGCTTCATGTAAACAATGCTACATACTGTGGTCTCATTGGTGTGTAAGCGTGATCCGAGATTGGCTGATTTTTTTGTAACTGTGACACGTGAAAGTCAAATTATTTTGCGTGAAAACGGGAAACAAAGTTTGGCGGGACACGTGAAATTACAAGCGCTATTATTACAATGATAAACAGGATACAGGATTCTGACAAAACAATAAGCGGGATCCGGGACCCCAATGAGACCCCACATATTTGCAGTGAAAAACTCAGATGCCAGGTAATAATAACAAATTTCACACTAAAAAGTGCAAAGAAATCTAACAAATACTATCATGATAACTTGGAGTGATATAACATATCCATGTTTGAAATAGTGCTTTATTAAAGATGTTATGTAAGGGAAATAACAAATAGACTCTACTTTATGGTAACATTTTTAAATTGGAAATAAAAAATTTACTGGTACCCAAGAATAGTACTGTAAAATCTTGGCTTTCTTTTTTCTGATATATGGGTTATTAAGAAAAAATCTCTGCTTTCTAAAAAGTATAATATCACTTAATGATGGGTGTAAGAGAATTTGTACAATTTGTGTTACAGTTTTAGTGAGTGAAGGTTACAAAGCACCATATATTGGTTTCATCAAGTCTGGGGAGTGCCATGTTTTACGTCAAGTGGAAGTAATGAAGGGAAAAAGTGGTCACAAGGTAAGATTCTTATTAAATTTATTACTGGTAAGTGCATTGTATTGCTTTATTTATGCATACTGTATATACTGTATGAGGAAAAAACCTTTTGTATTGCTTGCATTTATTATTGCAAATTTTGAAGAATGGACTAAAATGCGAGATTAATTATTGCGATTTCAGGAAAATCTGCAGTTATATGTATCAGATATCAGAATGCGAGTTCTTATTATTGCGATACACATTCAGCCGCATTATTTGCATTAATAAAAACTTCGCAATAATTAATAAAAAGAAAACACTGCATAGTATTTTGCATGTAGTTACAAAGGAGAAAAATCTCTAATTAATATTTTTTTTTAACAATGTCTAAAATAAATTTCCGAATTTCCGAATTGTGGAAATGATAATATATAAGTGGTAAATATCAAAGAACAATCACCTTACAACACATACTTTAAAGCCATTTATCATATCGATAAAATTATGAGATTTCAAAGACGTAAACTGTTTGTGAGGTTTCATTTTTCACATTTTCTATGTCACTCACTCTTATCTCCCATAAAGATCAAATTGATGCGACTTCATATTTTCATGATTTATATATATTTCTCAATCAAGAAATTAGGGAAAGACTCAAGCTTAAACTTCTTATAATTGGTAAATATTTCAGGAGAAGAAAATGAAGCATGTAGTTATGGGACGATTAACAGTATCACAATCCTTTGGTGAAATCAGTGTTCTAAAGGATGAACCAATTACCTGTTCTATAGTTACTGCTACAAATGTATCATTAGGGATAATAAAGCCAGAGAGAATCCAAGGTAAGTCAGTGTTCTAAAGGATAAACCAATTACCTGTTCTATAGTTACTGCTACAAATGTATCATTAGGGATAATAAAGCCAGAGAGAATCCAAGGTAAGGAGATAATTAATGCAAATGTATTGGCTATAGACCACAAATAATTTCCCCTATATGTTATTTATAATTTTTTGTCACATTTTTTTTTAAATCCAACATATAGTATCTGCAAAATCTTTGATGTGTACAATGTTTTGTACAAGTCCCAAAATATATCCAAAATTTAGAAAAATGACACTGACACAATTTACAAATATAGCTATATTGCTGGTATGGAAAGGTCAAGAGATGTTCCGAAACTGTAAATACTACCTTTTTGCACATGGCCTAATCACTCATTCCATCAACTAAACAGTGAAAATAAAATATTAAAACAATTTATTTCAAATCTCTTTGTTCATTTCCATTTAGTTTGTATTGTATTTTTAATCTAGAGGATATAGACAATAAGAATAGAAAAATCTGAAATGAGAACACTGTTTTCCTGAAAAGTAATTTTGTAAAGTTTTAATCTGTTACTTGTTTCCTTTCAGAACTAGATGATGTCACCATACAGTTGTTTACACAGTCAAATGAACCTACATTTAACAGTTTTAGTAAGGTAAGGGTGTGGTTGTAGATAACAAGGAAAATTCATTTATCTAATTCTTACGATTTATACTTTTCATGACCAGTTGATTATTCTTTTATAATCAACCTGTGGTTCTGAGTTTTTCATTGGTCAAAATTCAACTATGAAGTTAAATGTCCTTGATGTCCTCCGAAAATCCTATCCACTCTCAACAGTTAAATTTTTAATATTTAAATAAAAACTCATCAAGCCTCTGGTGTTAAATTTGAAATTTAACCGTCACGAGAAAAATATTGTATCACACTTGATGCAGCGGTAGAATCTATGTTTACCATATTACATTTTTTTAAGTTGATTAAGGGTTGTATGTTTTGCTTCATTATGGTACTGTATCATCATGATTAAACCAAAGAAAAAGTCCTAAATATTCATTTATTGTGTTTCAATTTTTTTGTAAAGTATATTAAAACTTGTATAATTTGTCTCCGTAGTAGTATCATTTTGATAAACCATAAGAAAAAGATCAAAATGTTTATTAACAAAAAAATAACCACTCAAATTTGTTACATTTGTAAGTAAAAACTAAATGGGAAAAGTAAAAATATGTGAATTGTCTCCCTTTATTACTAACATAGGCTGTGTTTGGATATACGCCAGAGGTGGCCTTTGGTTATCCATAGGTACCTTTAGTTTGATATTCTATGTATCAAAATATCAAACCATTGGTACCCAAAGATACATATGGGTAACCATAGGCTGCCTTAGGCGTATATCCAAACACAGCCATATTTAAAGGATGAAATTCAAGATGAATTATCTCCCTTTATTACTATATTTACAGGATGAAATTCAAGATGAATACATGAATCAAGAACTAAAACAACAGTGGAATGAGTTTAAACATAGTGTTGTTGTAGATGTTATAAATTCTAAAGGAATTAGACCGGGATATGGAAAATGGGCAAAATATTAACAGATACATATCACATGGACAATAAAGAAAAACAAGATTGTTACAAAACTTGTGTTGTGGTAAACCTTCATTGTAATCTCTTTATAGATGCCATGACTTTCTAAAGTTGGCCAACTCATTAAATCATCATACATGCATTCATTCATTTTCAAAAGACTTTTACTGTTTCAAGTTTTCTTTATGTCAGATATTTAAGGTAGTCAGCTGGTTTTTAAGGTTTTTAATAGGATAAAAATTCTCTAGATTTTTATTTGAAATAAATGGGAAGATGAATTTTGTAGTGCATGATAAAAAGAAATAACAAGAATTTCAAAATATATTGCTAAAAGTGTATGTGTTTATATCATTCTTCTTATGAGGTCTGTTATACTATGAACAACAATACTATTTGTTCATATGCACCAGCCACGAGGAAGGACTTGACTCAAAAGCTTTTTTTATAATGGATGTGATGCTGCTTCTGGTGCATGGTCAATAAACACTAAACATACTGGTTTACGTGACTACATGTATTATTAACTCAATTTATATTTCATGTTTTTTTTCAGCTGTATTTCTTTTCTTTTTTTTTTTATTTTCTTGTGTATTGTCTTTTGCAATGGTGTGATATAAAAAATCTATGTACTGACTATATCTTATCTTATACTCCTTCCTATAATTAACCCGTGACTTGTAACAAAGTGATGTTGTGTTTTATGGTTGTTAAACCAACGCAAAGAAACAAAACTCATTATTTTTTTCAAAGATACATTTTTTCTCCAAATGTCTATGAACAAAGCCTTAACTTGTAAAAACCTACTAATCTATAACATTTTTTTGTTAATCTGTAATCAATCAAAACTGACATCGTTTATATTTTTATTGTCACTTTGATAGTCAGTATACACAGTAAATTTCTTGTTTTTCCATTGAAACAATCAAGGTTCACAAATGCCTGCACATACTTAAATTTGTTGACTTCTTTTGCAATAGAGCAATTTGATTGGCACCAAAACATATCTTTTATAATGAGACTCAACCACAGGAAAAGTGACTCAAAGTGAGCTAAACAGAGAAGATGAATAGTTATTGTTGTAGTCATCTTGGAAATATCAGTTTTAATATACTGTTTGTAATGTTATTTTTGTCAAATTTCCTACATATGCTTTTAATGTTTTTTAAAGATTGGCATACAAATTTGTATTTTGTATTTACAACTGTTTTTATTTTATAAACTGTAAGATTGGATTTCCTGTAAATTATAAGATACAGGATTGAAATGTATATCAAGAGTCTGTGATACTTTAGAACTCACATTTTATAGCCATATTGTTTTCTATTGATATATATATATATTTATATTGATGGGGTTTATACATTTGAGTGTACATGTTGTTTAAATGTCAGCATTCAGCATTTAAATGTTTGTAATAAATGATTTTTAACATTTTTACTTGACCTTTGTTACTGATTTTGAAGTACATATACTTTACAGTTGTGATGCATTTTTTTGTTATTGAGTATATGTCAATGAAACTTACATTCATGAATATACAGTATACCATAACATCTAGAAGTATATATGTTTTTGGTAAATGTTGTTGTTTGTAGCTGAATAGTTGATGGCAGATCTTAGATAGTTATGTTAATTCATTCACGGCTTATTTTGAGCTTGAAATTATTGTTTAGACAACTGTCTTAAATGTTGATGACTGTATGTTGACCTCGTATTGTCGTTTTGGTTATTTATAACCTTGGCTATACCATGGGGGACAGTTTTTATTATTGGTAGAGAAAACTGAAGTATTGGTAGAGAACCACTGCCATACATAAAGATATCTTACAATCCGTGTCAATTAATAATGTAGTCATAAACACACCATCCAACAGTGGGTTAGAAGTGACACTGTATATGAACTACTTAGACCACTCATACACCACCAGTTCTTTTCTATACTCATGGTTCACCTAACAAACATGTAAACCTTTAATGAACACAAGTCAGGAGCCTGTAATTCAGTGGTTGTCGTTTGTTACTGTATATCATTTTTGTTTTTTACTAAATCAGGCAGTTGGTTTTCTTGTTTTCTTGTTTTACATTTTGTTATGTCTAGGCCTTTTATAGCTTGATATGATGTATTGGTTTGGCTCATTGTTGAAGGTCGTACATCATTCATCATTTGGTGTCTGGTGGACCGTGGATAGTTGTCTCATTGGCAATCATACCACATCTCCTTAATTTATAAAGTACAAATTTAAATCCACTACTCCTTTAAACAAATGACACTTTTAAAGTTGAAATACAGCACTTTTATTTTAAAAGGATATGAATTATCAAATGCATTATCTATGTTTTATTTCATAAACAAATAACAATTGCAATTTAAATTTGTTTTTAACATCACCAGACACTTTATCTAAAGTGTATGTCAACAATCAATAAAAATTTACTTGTAAAAATTCTTAACACTTACATAAAATTATCTCTTGACAACTACATTTGAATACCAATTCCCCTTTTCTGTTGACAATTCAGAGAGGTATAGTATTGTCAATTGTAAATAACAATGACCAGTCTTCACTGCAATATCTTCAATTAAATAGGACAATATTTCCATTTGCAAAAATGGGAAACCTCCATTACACAATTCTTGTCCAGAAAATGTTTGCTTACCTAACCTCCAATAACCATGTTTGACATTTTTGATGACTATAATGTTTGTAAAGGTCAAATACTAGTACTCATTATTTCTATATAGATTTAACACACATAACCTTTAAAAGATTGAAAGCTATAAGGAATCTGACAGTCAGTTTTTCATTTCATCAAAAATTATGAAATGGGGGTAGTACAATTTATACTCTTAGCAAATTTATAAGCAATGTCTTCACAATATTTAAGTGTTAAGCTCGAATCTCCCATCCAATTTCTTACTAATTCATAATCAAAAACATGATCATTTGGTTTTTTCTTTTCTATTTAGTAAATGCAGTCAAAGGTCAGATCTTTAGGCAATCTCTTCATTGTATGTATTTGTTCGCTCAATGCTTTATATAATTTCTTCATAAATCAAAACATTATCACGTGACAAAATCTTTGTTTCTGTAATAATTAAATGCTGCAACTGCCAGATCACTAGGGACTGTCATCTGTAATAACTTTCTTCCTATTTCTGTCTCTGGTTGTATTTCTGCTAAAAATCTGTCCATCTAAAATAGAAACATCTTAAATTTAATAATCAGCATACTATTCTGGAGTATATGAATATCAGACCAGCAAACATAGTTGTGTCTAATACATAAATTATTCATGTTGTCAAGGAAATTAACTATTTTCATGTACTAGTTTAACGTTACAAGTACCAAATTGTAATGATATTAAATGTTTCAACTGGATTTTTAATTTAATAAAATGGAAAAGAAATTTTGTTTCTCGTAAATTGTACTGCTATAAATTAGGGTGTTAGTTTTCTCTTTTGAATTGTTTCACATTTTTCATTTCTGGGCTTTTAAAAAGCTGGCTATATGTCCATAGTACACGGATGCCCCACTCGCACTATCATTTTCTATGTTCAGTGGACCATGAAATTGGGGTCAATACTCATTGAAAAATTTGGCATTAAAATTAGAAAGATCATATCATAGGGAACATGTGTACTAAGTTTCAAGTTGATTGGACTTCAACTTCATCAAAAACTACCTATACCAAAAACTTTAACCTGAAGTGGGACAGACGGACGAACGAATGAACGAACGAACCAACGGACGGACGGACAGACGAACGAACAAAGGCACATGGATGGGGCATGAAAATCTTGTTATTCTATCCTTTTTGGACATTGTTTTGCATGTTGGTCATGTAAAATACATACATTTTTTCTATGTGTTGAGTAGTTTTAATATGCAAATAGGCATGCAAAATATATATAAAATACTGGATTTTTTTTCAGGCTCTAATGGCCGATTGTCCTCTTAATGCCATAATATGTAGAAGTTTTAGTAGATGGGGTTTTGCCTTCAGCAGAGTATTACTGTTTATTGCAAGTTTAGAAGAACTTATGTTGAATCATATTTCTACATGAATTTCATCATCAGTACTGTACCTCAGATAAATCTTCTGATTCATCACATGCCTCCATTGGCTTATTCTGTATTTGGGAGCAAGTGGACACCACTTCAGGTGAGCAAGGAACCAGATCTATAGGACAGCTAGAGATCACACTTGTTTGACTTATTTCTTTTATTTCTCTTTTTTCTAGATTTCCAGCATTCTTAGCTCTCAACTGTTTACCCTTTGAACCTGAAATTGAATTATGTTTGAGATCTTCTGGAAATCAAAATAATGTGCAAGTAAAGAAACATCTAAATTATTTCATTCATAATAATTGCGTATTTTTTCATTGATATTTGCAAAAAATTAAACTCTGTTTGGTGAACCAACGCCTGTGTGAATCCTTTCGGTAGAGCCCATGAAGTGGATACCTTTGGTATGCCGGGTTGTCAAATAATGCAAATGAATGCAACACTTAAGTAATACTCAAAATTGACAACAACACTTGTTATTATTTGCAAAAAAATGTACAATGAGCTGAGGATTTTGATGTGTAAATAAATTGGTCTTCTTAAATGATGTGAAATTATTTTCTCTAGATTTTATATGAATTCAAAAGGTACTCTGAAAGTCCTATTCTTTTCTCTTTTCTTTTCATTGCATTTTGGCATTGTAAAAGCAACCTCTACATCCCGATACTTAAAATCAACTTATTTTGGGGAGCATTTGTTTACATGATTCCTAAAGAAGAGAAATAATGTAGATAGAAATCGCCATAAATATTTCAAACTTGAATCTCCTCTGATACGTATCTTTCCAACAAATTTTAAAAATCACAAAAACATATACCACAAAGTCAGCTAGAGAGCAACCAAAAAGTATCTGTGAAAATCTGCTGGTTTATAGTATTCTATCAACTTTTTAAACTGTATATTACTAACACAATAATATAAGAAAATGCAATATAATTGATCCCCTTATTTATTTAGCATCATTAAATGTATAAATTCTAACTCTTTACTCCATTAATTAATAAATTATATATTGATCCACTCTCAATAGATAAATTGTAAAGTATCTTGAGTGGATAAACATTTCAACAAATACAGTATTGTGGTAAAATCTATGAATACTTTGTGAGGAAGATGAGCTTTTTGACATTTTTGATGCTGATATTTCGTCTGATTCTGTGAATGGATTTCGTTGTCTGTTCTGACAATCTTCTGTATTTTTACTGCTACCAGAATGTTCTTCAACATGTTCAACGGGCCGTTTTTCCACATTTTGTTTATTTATCTGAGGTTTACCTGTAAATGCAAATTTTTAAACTATAATCTTTGAGTAAGCAATCAACAATACACCTTGTGGTTATTTGTCCACTATTACTGAACATCTTAAAGGTTCCTGTAAAATTTCGATGTCAAAATAGAAAATGTATGATGCCATAAATGATTATTGACGTCAGAAGTTCAAGTGTTGCAAATTTTCAGTTCAGATGTTGCAGATTCCCCAATAGCAATAAGGTCTATAAGATCTAAATGTACAACAGCTGTGACAAATATAAAATCATTTCTTATTATAAGAAAATGTTAACAAAAAAATTAAATGTTTGGTATAAAAATTTCAAAGTATCTGCAAACAAGAAGTTTGCTTAGAAGTTTGCTTAGACAAAACCGATTGACACCAGATAAAAAACATTTTCTTTCAAATAGGAATTAATGTGTACAGTAAAATTTAAATCATATGTATAAATAGGATACAGGAACAAATAAGATGTTGCTGCAAAGCAAATCTGAAAATGGCTTCTATCTTTAAATAAAATTGAGAATGGAAATGGGGAATATGTCAAAGAGACAACAACCCGAAGGCCACCAATGGGTCTTCAATGCAGCGAGAAAATCCTGCACCCGGAGGTGGTCCTCAGCTGGCCCCTAAATAAAATTGTGTGCTAGTTCAGTGAAAATGGACGTCACACTAAACCCCAAAACATATAAATGAACTAAAATTAAAAAAACATACTAGACTAGCAAAGGCCAGAGGCTCCTGACTTGGGACAGGTGCAAAAATGCAGCGGGGTTAAACATGTTTTGTGAGATCTCAACCCTTCCCCTATACCTCTAGCCAATGTAGAATAAAGAAATACATAGCAATATGCACAGTATTTTTTTATCAAGCTACAGACCAAATATCTACACAAAATCACTTACAAGAACATGAAGAATATCAACAGCAAACCAAGTTTTCTGTATTTTAAAGGTAACCATTGATGAACGTTAGAGAGAAGCTTGTAAAAATGAAATTGATTTTTTCTAATGTATGGCACTTTCAGGCTTGTTTGACATGCAAATATTGGCTGAACAATTCATTAGTTATTGAACGGAAAGACATAATGTTCCATTTTCTAATCTATAAAAACCATTATTTCTGAATGGCAAAAGTGAAAATCGTCAATATCACACTTCACCTTTATTTTGTCATCAGTAATAACAAATTAAATTTAAAAAGCATTGGTTGAAATTATTGTTTAACTTGACACAGTCCTGATCAGATTCTGTTTTCTACAATGTATTACATTTTTTTTTTGTATTTTGATTTGTAAGTTTTTTATTTTAATACATTTTAATTTTATTTTTTTTATTTTTTACTACATGTACCTCTTCAACAGTTTTATCTCTTATAATGACATGTATGAAGGTTGAATGGTTCACAAATTATTATTTAAAAAAGCTTTTGATTTAATAGATCATATCATGACATTCTTTGTTTAAAGTTTGAAATTTATGGATTTAGTGAGGCTACTGTTAGTTTTTTCAAGTCCTACCTGAATAACAGAACACAGCAGGTAAACATTTGTAATGTTTATTTACTGTTCATAAATTAGGGAAAAACATAGAAAATACACATGATGCTGTACAAGAAGATTTATAAAGGATTGAAGAGTGGTGCAAAATGAATAACATGTTCATCAATGCAAATAAAACATAATGTTTGGTTACTGGAACAAAGCAGAAACTATCAATTCAGATTTATCAACCAAACTTAATAATAATTTAAAAATATTACAAAATTCTTCATGTGAAAAATTATTAGGTGTTAAAATTGACAGCACACTTAGCTGGAGAAATCAAATTGACCAAGTTTGTGCTAATATATCATCCAGAATACACCTTCTTTCTAAAATAAAGAAAATTTAAGATATTAGTGCTAGGAAAACATATTACAATGGGTATATTCTGCCCCTACTTGAATACTGCTGTATTATTTGGGGAGAACGTAAAAATGAAGGGATAACAAGAATATTTAAACTCCAAAAAAGGGCAGCAAGATTAATTCTAGATGCAGATCCTGTAGCCCCCTCAGCCCCCTTATTTAAAGAACTTGGGTGGATGACAGTTGACAATAAAATGAAATACCACAAATATTTACTTCCATATAAATGTATGCGTATGGAAGCACCAATGTACCTAGTTCAAAAGTTTAAACTGAAATTATATAATAATCCTTACTCCTTGAGAGGTGTTACTCAAGGTAATCTGATAGTTCCAAAGCCAAAAGCTGAGCTGTTTAAGAAATCTTTTGTTTAATCTGGATCAGTGCTATGGAATGAACTACCACACAAAATGGTAAAGCCCATAACAGTTTTACTTTTAAACAAAGTATCAAGAAGTACTAGACACAGTCGGGATAAAGTTCTGTTTTCTACAATGTATTACATTTAGTTTGATTTGTATATTTTTCATTTTATTTTGATTTGATTTTTTTTAATTTTTTACTACATGTACCTCTTGAACAGTTTTATCTCTTATCATGTTTATAATAACACAATAAACTACTTGACTGTAAAATAAGTATGTGTAAATATCTGTTTTTGATTGTATTGTAATTTAATTGTATGTGAGGGGGTTCAAATTTACTTTAGGCAATGGAAGGTCCAGGACCTCTGACCAAAAATACTTAAAGGTCCTCCTCGAAAATGCTTACTATTCCAAAGCACTCATCATATCTCACTACATTAACCTCATTTTTTTCTGAATTTCTTTAGATAAATTCAGTCAGAAAAAGGCTGCCCCTTTTCCCCAACACTATACGCTGTGTTAAATAACACTTTGTACCTTTCAAATTGTTTTGGTTTCAATTGCTGCTTAACAACGCACTGGCCTAACTTTGTGTCAGATAACAGTTTCGTTTTCAAACTTGGGGTCAGTTTCTTTTAACCACATATTTTGGCAAGATATATAATGTGAGGGTACCCAAATTGCACCTAATTTGGCAGTTTTTTCACCTACGTTTATTTATGATCCAGACAAAAGTTTCCATTCTGTGTTTACTTTGTAGATGTTTCCTTATTTACTATATAGTTCTACCAATTTAATTTTGAATCCTTATTGCATCATAGAAAAATGGGTTTGAACCGACCTCCGAACGATCCATGATTTTGTAATAAGGAGTACCAATATTGCATCCATGCTCAACTGATTTTTATAGTTCGTTCTTATGTTGTACTGTTACACCACTGACCCAGGTTAGGGGGAGGGTTGGGATCCCGCTAACATGTTTAACCCCGCCACATTCTTTATGTATGTGCCTGTCCCAAGTCAGGAGCCTGTAATTCAGTGGTTGTCGTTTGTTTATGTGTTACATATTTGTTTTTCGTTCATTTTTTGTACATAAATTAGGCCGTAAGTTTTCTCGTTTGAATTGTTTTACATTGTCATTTCGGGGCCTTTTATAGCTGACTGTGCGGTATGGGCTTTGCTCATTGTTGAAGGCCGTACGGTGACCTATAGTTGTTAATTTCTGTGTCATTTGGTCTCTTGTGGAGAGTTGTCTCATTGGCAATCATACCACATCTTCTTTTTTATATTAATTCACATAAAAATCGAATAACAGATGTTTTGTTTTATTTCTTCAAATATTTAGAACACTTTAACATTATTCCATTCTTATTATTCATTTTTTAAGAAATGGATGCTCATAACTATTTTATTTGCGCATTTTTTAAAAAAGATGACCTTTTGTGGACTTCGCATGGGGACGTTTCCGTAGATTTTACTTTTTCCAGTGAATACTTCATCTGTTGGTATATACTGTGAACGTTTTGTGAATATTTAAATACATTTACCTATTTGAAAGACGTGCATAATGTCAAATAATGAAAAAATACAAATTGTTATAATCATAATACATATTATAAAATACAAATACACAACAACAGGTCATGTGACTACACATCAAATCAATTGTGAAGAATTTAAGCAATCACATAAGTTTCCTTTCAGTATAGTTGCATATTTTAAGATTATTTTTATACTAGATATTTCTATTTTTGTTCAAAATGCTTTTGTAATTTTTTTATCCTGCAAAAATACGAAAGTCCGTCGGGTGTAACTAACTACTGGTGGGAAGGTCCGAACCTGTAAATGGAAGGTCACGGACCTCAGACCATCGCTAATTTGAACCCCAGGGGAAGATTAGTTTGTTGTAACTAACTGTGTTTACCCTCTTTAAATAAAGAATTTATTATTATTATTGCACAGAAACAACAAATAGTGCCATTTTCCAATCGATAAAGGACCATAACTCCTGAACAGTAAAAGTGAAAATCATCAATATCGAATTTGACCCTCATTTTGTTATCAGTAACAACATATTAAAATTTGGAAAACATTGGTTGAAAGGTTCATAAGTCATTGCACGGAAACTGTTGGCAGCTGCCCCCATACTTCACCAATTTAATAATTAGATCTTTACATCTGAAAACACAGTTAAAACCAAAGCAGCCCTCCATGAACAGGGAGGGTTTTTTTTTCTCAAATTGTTTGTTTTATCATTAGACTTGTAATACAATCATTTCAATTGTTTATTCTATAATATATAAAATTTGAGAGGAAAGGGTCAGGTGCACAACATGGACAAATGGAAATAACCAAATCAACTGTAGCTGTTTGGAAACTAAGGAGAGATAATAAATATCATCTTTAACCCTAAGGTAACTTGATAAAGGGAATTCTTACCTGATTCACCACTGGAGATTACAATTACATCATGGACTGTCTCTCCTCCAAACTGTTTTGAAGGTGACCTTGATTTATCTATCATTAAAATACTCTGTGATTGTTCTTCTTCATCCTTTTTCTCTCCTTTGTTAGAGTTTTCTTTTGGTGATGAAGACTTTCCGGTTGGATTTCTTTTCAGTCTGATTTTTTTTCCTCCAATTTTTTCAAATGAAATCTCAGATGGAAGTTTTCTCGTTGACCTTGTTGACTGTAAAAGTCTAGGGGAAGTTTCAGACTCCTGTGATAAATGACTTGCATCTGTATCTATAATTGAATTGTTTTCAGTTGTCTCCCCTGCATGAGTATCAACTTTTCTACTTTTACCTGATGGTTCAACTTCAGCTGTTAATTCACATCTGTTTCTTTTTGATGATTTAATACCTGATGTCAAAACATTTCCTTTATGTACACCTGTAAATGATTTATCACTTGAAGTCATGTTTTCTTTCTTACTGAGACATAAATGTTTATCAGAATTTTGATTGTTTTCATTTGACTGATTATTTCTATGCTGATTAGAATAAGATGTTTGCTTTCCTCTCTCTTTTCCCATAAAACTGTCAGGTAACACTCTTTTAAACACATATTTTTGTGATTTTTTATTTTCCGTCTCATCTGTTACCATCACACTCTGTTCCATACTAGCACCAAGTCCATCCAAATTATCATCAAAATTTCCAGAATTTGATATTACGACAACTGTTTTCATTTGCCCAGATGATATCTCCATTAGAGTTTTATCTGAAATAGAATCTTGTGATTGTTTCAAACATTGAGAATCCTCTGATTTTTGTGATAGTGCTACCACCTGATGAGAATCCTCAAATTTGGACAGCTCTACTTGACTGCTATTTTCTTCAAAACTGGAATTTTTACTTAACTCCTGAATTAAATGTTCAGCAGATTCTTTATCACTAGGAGAACTTAGTTTATTTAATCTGTTTTCTTCATCATTTTCCAACTGTCCAATTTGAGTTTGTTTACATATTGATGTTAGTCTTTCTTTTTCAAAATTGTCCTTTCCTTTTTTTTTAATTTGGACATTCACAACTGTTTCTATAGGTTTATCTTTTCTTTTTATAATTTTTGTAGATTTTATCCTTTCTTCCTCAAGTCTGTTATCTGTGTATTCACTTGCATTTAATATAGCTGGTTTATTCTGGTCCTTCTTTGGTGTGCCATGTGTCACTTCATGGACACTGGTACTTAGAGTTATCTCTTCTCTGTCATGTGATATTTGATCACATGGTTCGTTAGTTTCAGGAGAAAAAGAAATCAATGGATCGGATTTGTTTAGTAAAGGAGATATTGATATTAAAGGATCATATTCCTTTGGTGAAAAAGACTGTGTTCCAAGTGGGGACACTGTTGGAGTAAAAGGTTGAGTTTCTGCAATTAATACAGTACTAGTAACTATATGGTCATGATCACTTAAAATAAAGTTTTCAAAATGCTTTTGGTAATTAGTTGAGCTACTGTTTTCTTTCTTTTTCTCCTTTTTAGAAGAAACATTGTCTAAATATTTAGCTTTTATGTCCTCATGCTCGTGGCTGCCTGATGAACTGCTAACTTTGCTGTTGTTGCTATGGTGTTCAGTTGAAAGTTCATCACCATGGTTATGTATATCTTCACTGGAGTGATCAGAACAGCTCAGCCTGATAGATTCTCCAGAACTAACAATATCACCACTGTTACTTATTATCTAAACAATGTAGAAAAATACATAACATAATGTATTGAACAAATTGGTATGGTAGTCCATACAATGTATATAATATATAGACATGTCAAAAGAAATTATTGACCACTCAGAACTTATTCACAGAGGGCACGCGACAACAATTATTTTTTTGGTCTGCCAATAAGTTTTAAGCTCTGATTGGTAGTTCCAGTGGAAATTTGCACACAAATTTCAAACATGGCAATTATGTGTAAGAATATATAAGGGTATTAAAGTATTTGGTCAACAGGAAGCTGATGAGCCCTGAATGTGAAAACACATTACACAGTATAGAATTCTCACATAAAGCCTGATACCAAATTTCAGGACTTTCTAAATTGTAATTCCTGAGAAAAATGCATCAACAATATGATGGGATGGACAGACAGATAGGGGTAAAGTAGTATATCCCTTCATTCAAAGTAGGGGTATAATAAGTGGTCTAAGGTCAATAGTTGTTGCATAAATAACATATATAGTGGCTTACACCCAAGAGGAAATAACATATATAGTGGCTTACACCCCAGAGGAAATGCCCATACAATACAAGTAGTACGAATGACTGGAACACAAATTAATTGATCGATTCTGATAACTGGTTGGACATCAAACAACTGATACAGATATGTTATGCCACTCAAATCAGGTAGGGTCAAAAGTTTTGATTTTCTACAGGCATGCAAAAATTGCTGTTGTAATGGTCCTTTCACATGTTATATGTGGTATTCTCCCATCAAAGTGCTTTAAATTCAAATTTTTCATGATCAATGTGAAAGTCTATACAATCCTTTAATGTTTGTACCTGTTCATGATCAATGTCAAAGTCTTTATACAATCCTTTAATGTTTGTACCTGTCTATGATCAATGTCAAAGTCTTTATACAATCCTTTAATGTTAGTACCTGTTCATGATCAATGTCAAAGTCTTTATACAATCCTTTAATGTTAGTACCTGTCCATGATCAATGTCAAAGTCTTTATACAATCCTTTAATGTTTGTACCTGTTCATGATCAATGTCAAAGTCTTTATACAATCCTTTAATGTGTGTACCTGTTCATAATCAATGTCAAAGTCTATACAATCCTTTAATGTTTGTACCTGTTCATGATCAATGTCAAAGTCTTTATACAATCCTTTAATGTTAGTACCTGTTCATGATCAATGTCAAAGACTTTATACAATCCTTTAATGTTTGTACCTGTTCATGATCAATGTCAAGGTCTTTATACAATCCGTTTATGTTAGTACCTGTTCATATATTGCTTTATCCTCAATACAACTTTTCTTTTTACAAGTTTTCTCTGTAATTGGGTTTTTCATTTTTCCATCTTGTTGCAATACTTCTTTATCTAAAAAATACAACAATACAAAAATAAAACTATAAGGTACTGCTAAAATTAGAAAGCTCTGATTTATATCGCCGTAGGAAACTGCCAAGGAATTCCATTGGACAGACTGACTAAGGTATGAAAGGTTTGTCTTGAAGTTTCAGAGGAGAAGCTAATAAAACTGAAAATCCTTCAGTCTCATAGTATAGTTAATTTTTTTTATAAAGGACCTTCTGTATGTAAGTTGTGCCAACTAAATTGAAAGGTATTTTCCATTAGGTTGAATAAGAACCTATGGAGCTGCAATTCCACTATGTATGAAACACAATCAAACAATTTAGAAATACCAATATTTGACAACTAGAGGCTCTAAAGAGCCTGTGTCTCTCACTTACATCTTCAACAATGGCCACTTTATTAATAACTAGAGGCTCTCAAGAGCCTGTGTCGCTCACCTGTATTTACTGATGCTTTGGAAATCATGTAAAATAAGGTTAAAATCATAATTAATAGTATTAGATATTAGATATTATAATGATATCTAAGATAATAAAAAACTGCAAAATTTTTGTAAAATTACTAACTCATTGGCAGCAACCCAACAACGGGTTGTCGGATTAGTCTGAACATTTCAGGGCAGATAAATCTAAATCTGATGAACATTTTTGCCACCTGTCAGATTTGCTCTAAATGCTTTAGTTTCAGAGATATAAACCAAAAACTGCATTTTACCCCTATGTTCTATTTTTAACCAAGTCAGCCATGATGGTTAGAAGGCGGGGTCATCGGACAAATTTTTTAAACTAGATACCCTTATAATGATTATGGCCAAGTATGGTTAAATTTGTCTCAGTAGTTTCAGAAAAGAAGATTTTTGTAAAAGATTACAAAAATTTACAAAAAATTGTTAAAAATTGACTATTAAGGGCAATAACTCCTAAAGGGGTCGACTGACAATTTTGGTCATGACAACTTATTTGTAGATCTTACTTTGCTGAACATTATTGCTGTTTACAGTTTATCTCTATCTATAATAATATTCAAGATAATAACCAAAAACTGCAAAATTTCCTTAAAATTACCAATTCAGGGGCAGCAACCCAACAACAGGTTGTCAGATTTGTCTGAAAATTTCAGGGCAGATAGATCTTGACCTGATAATCAGTTTTACCCTATGTCAGATTTACTCTAAATGCTTTGGTTTCAGAGATATAAGCCAAAATCTACATTTTACCCCTATGTTCTATTTTTAGCCATGGCGGCCATCTTGGTTGGTTGGCCGGGTCATCGGACACATTTTTTAAACTAGATACCCTAATGATGATTGTGGCCAAGTTTGGTTAAATTTGGCCCAGTGGTTTCAGAGGAGAAGATTTTTGTAAAAAGCTAACGACGACGGACGACGACGCCGCCGCCGCCGACAACGGACGACAGACGACGGACGCCAAGTGATGAGAAAAGCTCACTTGGCCCTTCGGGCCAGGTGAGCTAAAAATCATCATTAAAGGTGAATAACTCTATTAAGAGTAAATAGACAATTTCAGTCATGTTGACATATTTAAAGATCTTATCCTGCTGATAAATTTTCCTTTTTAAAATTTCTATTTATTTATTAGTTTTCAAGATAATAGTAAAAAAATGCAAAAAATATGTTAAAAATTATCAATAAAGGGCAATAACTCCAATAATGAGTCGATGTTAGATTTAGGCTATTTATGGCTTATTTGTAGATCTTGTCTTGCTGATCATTTGTGCTATTTCAATTTTCTATCTATCTATTACAGTTTCAAGATAATCATGATAATAGGCGAAAATTGGAAAAATCGTCATTGAAGGGCAATAACTTCAATAAGGAGTTAACTAACAATTTTGGTCATATGTGACTTATTTGTAGATCTAGTCTTTCTGATCATTTTTGCGTTTTAAATTTTCTATCTATCTTTAATGGTTTTTAAGAATTTAGTCAAAATGCAAAAAATTGGTAAAAATCATCATTTAAGGGCAATAACTCTGATTAGAATAAAATTGAGAATGGAAATGGGGAATATGTCAAAGAGACAACAACTCGACCAAAGAACAGACAACAGCCGAAGGCCACCAATGGGTCTTCAATGCAGCGAGAAAATCCCGCACCCAGAGGTGGGCAACTGAAGATTTCGGCAATGTAATTTATTTGTAGATCTTGTCGTGCTGATCATTTTTGCTGTTAAAGATTCTATCTAACTATTATAGTTTTTGAGATATTAGTCAATAATGCAAAAAAAATGGTAAAAAATTGTCATTAAAGGGCAATAACTCAAATAAGGAGTTGTCTGACAATCTTGGTAATGTTGCCTTATTTGAAGATCTTGTCTTGCTGATCATTTTTGCTTTAAAGTTTATGTCTTTCTATTATGATTTTCGGGATAATAGGCAAAAATTTTTAAAAAAAAAATTGTCATTTAAGGGCAATAACTCCTATAAGAAGTCGTCTGAGAGTTTTGACCTTAATAGCCTATTGGTAAAGCTCAACATTTTGAATATTTTTGTCCATGTCATATTTTCTCAATTTATATCAGTTTTCAAAATATTAAGCAAAACTTGCATTTTACCCCTATGTTCTATTTTTAGCCATGTTAGCCATCATGTATGGCAGGTGGGGTTATCAGACCCATTTTTAAACCTACATACCCCAATGATGATTGTGGTCAAGTTTGGTTAAATTTGGCCCAGTATTTTCAGAGAAGATTTTTGTAAAAGTTGATGACAGATGACAACTGATGCCATGTGATGAGAAAAGATAACTTTGCCTTTGTGCCAGAGGAGCTAAAAATCTTCTTTTCATCAAAGTTATAATAAAATTCTCTAAGTCTCATAATTATTAAAAGTATTATGTATTTACAAATTTAAATTGAATGTTTACCTTTTGATGAATTATCTTGTGACTTCTGAGGATATATTTGGGAGTTATCTTCAAAAGATGGTATATAATCAGTCTTCCATTCTAAAAAAAAAATTTAGTATAACTGCTACTTGTCCACAGATTGTACTTGGAAAACTTTCTCTTGCTAAAAATAAATTTCTCATTTGGTAAAAGTAAGTCACATACATAAACTTGATCTGTCCATATAGAAATTGACATAATGTATAGACACCTGGCCTGTATATTGGTCAAGATCATATGTCCATTGTTAGATGTCTTTTGTGATTTTTCTGTGTTGTTAGATTGCTGTCTAACAGCTGTTCCCTTTATTCATACTGAATAAGGTGGCATAGTCATACTGAATATGCAGTTTTTTCTGTAAATCATTAATATCAAACTCCATGTCAACATTCATATTACTTTTCCCTAAATTTAAAACACCTGAAAACTAAAAGCTCTAAAGAGGAAAAATAAACAAATTTTACCCCGCCACAATCTGTATGTGCCTGTACCAAGTCAGGAGCCTGTAATTCTGTGGTTGTCTTTTATTGTTGTATATCATATTTTTTTTTCCTTTATTGTTTTGTACATATGTCAGGCCTATAGTTTTCTCATGTAAATTGTTTTACATTTGTCATTACTGGCCTTTTATAGCTTGCTGTGCAGTATGGATTTTGCTCATTGTTGAAGGCCGTTAAAAATTCTATCTATCTATCATTTTTTTCAAGATAATAGGCAACAATGCAAACAAAATGGTAAGAAGAGTGCACATGCTGAAATGTCTCGCCTGCTTTACTGACCATTAATTTTATGTTGACAGTCCTAAATATAAATTACACAAGTATCACATAAACTTTACATTATCCAAGAAAATGAGGTCAAGGTCAGATAAACTAAACCGGAAATACATGTACACCTTACAATCATTCCATACACCAAATATAGTTGACCTATTGCTTATAGTTTCTAAGAAACAAACTTAATCAGGAAAACTAAACATTGACCAATGAACCATGAAAATGAGGTCAAGATCAGATGAATCATGCCAGGCAGACATGTACACCTTACAATCAATCTATGCATTAAATATAGTTGATCTATTGTTTATAGTATCTAAGAAACAAACTTAACCATGAAAACTTACCATTGACCAATGAACCATGAAAATGAGGTCAAGATCAGATGTTACCTGCCAGACAGACATATTCACCTTACAATCATTCCATACACCAAATATAGTTGACCTATTGCTTATAGTTTAAGAAAAACAGACCAAAACACAAAAACTTAACACTGAGCAATGAACCCTGAAAATGAGGTCACGGTCAAATAAAATCTGCCAGACTGACATGTACATCGTAAAATATTTCCATACACCAAATGTAGTTGACCTATTGTATATAGTATTAGAAAAAAAGACCAAAACACAAAAAACTTAACATTAACAACTGAACCATGAAAATGAGGTCAAGGACAGATGACACCTGCCAGTTGGACATGTACACCTTACAATCATTCCATACACCAAATATAGTAGACCTATTGCTTAAAGTATCTAATATATGTACTTGACCATGAAAACTTAACCTTGTTCACTGATCCATGAAATGAGGTCGAGATCAGATGAAAACTGTCTGACAGACATGAGGACCTTGCAAGGTACGCATATACTAAATATAGTTACCTATTACTCATAATAAGAGAAAAATTAACATTAGAAAAAATCTGAACTTTTTTTCAAGTAGTCACTGAACCATGAAAATGAGGTCAAGGACCATGGACATATGACAGACAGAAACTTCATAACATAAGGCATCTATATACAAAGTATGAAGCATCCAGGTCTTTCAAAATATAAAGCTTTTAAGAAGTTACTTTACGCTGCTGTCACCGCCGGATCACTATCCCTATGTTGAGCTTTCTTTGACAGGCTCAACAAAAATCGTCATTTAGGACAACAACTCCAACAGTAAGGTGTTGACTGACGATTTTGTCTATGATGGATTATTTTCAGATGTTTCCTTGCTGATCATTTTTGCGTTTCCAATTTTTCTCTATATCTGTTATATTTTTCAAGATAGTATGCAAAAATGATAGAAATTGGTAAATTTGGTCATTTAAGAAGTCGTCTGACAGTTCTAATGTTAATAGACAGTAGCTAAAAATATATATAAGCAACGGCAACTTCAATATTTCATTTTATGTGCAATGCACTGTATGGAGTTTATTCATTTAAAAACTATTTTCTGCTCTTCAAATTACAAAATTATACGCATTTAACGCAAGTTTTAGGGCCAAATGAGCCTATCACCACAGATTATTCCTGAAATAGAAAATTAGATGTTTAAACAATACATAAAACTATCCAGCTCACCTTCTATGTTATCTAACATGGCTTGCTGTTCTATACTTATAAATATTTCTTCACTGATCATATCACATGTCAATTCATCTGCTGCAAATAAATCCACAAAAAAACATATAAACATTCATAAATTCATGAAATATTTATTTCCCCATGTATATAAACAAGTGTTAATAATATTTGCAATTTTAAAACTTATTATATTTCTACAGAAAATATAGCACAGAAATAAAATTTTGCATTTGCCAACCCATCTTTTGCCCTTTACACTTCATTTTCTTACAACATACCGTATAGTGGGTGATTTTCGCAGGGTGTTTATTTTCACTTATTTTGGCGGATAAATGAAATTTGCAAAAATAAATTCGGCGAAAATATATGTATACGTTAGGTCCTTTCTAATAGCTAAAGCGTTTTGTAAATGATCTATTTTTTTCCGGTCGGCAGGTCAATAATACTATATGTTAGGCCAACTAAAATTAATTAGTAGATTTTCATCCAGATTTTTGAAAAAAATGGGGCGGGCGGGAGGATTTTATTTTTTAATTTTTATTTCCTCCTAAACCCTTTTGTGACGTGTTGTTAATATACAAAGATAATAATTAGCTGATATCATGTATATATAAGGAATTATATAATAGCAAAACCCATGAAAACGTGGAGAAATGTTCTCGTTTAGACTACCTAGATTTGTAGTGCCCATAAAATGAAGCATATGCATTGGTATGCAACACAAATATTATGAGTACAGAGTGAAATGAAAACTCAAACTGTGTTGAAAATCCTAGGTTTGATGCCTTCAAGATTCTTATTCAAAGTGCAAATATAATATAACAATGTAAAACATGAACTATATATATATATATATATATCTTTAACCAAAAAGAAGAAGTTGTTTAATGACTCTGTTGAGGTGTTGGGGACAAAGGGTGTTTGCTGTTTGTCAACAAAAACAAAAACGACAGCCTTGGGGTAAATCTAAGGGCTTGCTGTAATACATTTTGTACGTTGGCCGACTCTTTGTACTCAATATACGGTCATAAATAGCACTAGTTCGTGCTTGTGTCAATTACTTCATTAGTCATTTTTTTGTACCAATGTGTTCTATGATTCTTGCGCTTTGGATATCATTCACAGTCCAAATTTCCTGTCACAAAGTCATTGTATAAATAAAAAACAATCCACGGTTTTCTAATCACTGAAATTTGTGACATAAGTGGGCGGTGATTAGCGTTCTTGGACACCGCCTATTACTCGTAACCGGAATATTTCATGCCCTTCTAGTTAGTAATCAATCTATATTCTCAAAAGATAATGTTGTCATCATTGAGCAGAAAAATATGTCGACTTATATTACTCTGAGAAATACGAAAACCGAAATTTGAAACAGGAAGTTTTGAATGAAACGAAATTATCGGCGTTTACCGGTAACGGAAATGAACAAAATCCGGAAATCGTAAATTTTTAAAAATAAAAAAAATCGAGGCGGGACAATTGCAGAGGGGCGGGCGGGGATGAAAATCTATCAATTAATTTTAATTGGCCTTAGTTTTAACAACATAAATGCCAAAGGGCATTGTACCTACATGTATTTTATAAAATGACTGTCAGTTGTGTATACCCTTATTAATTATTGTCAAAAAAAATAAGAGTGTGAGGTACTCTGTCAGGTAATTACCCTTATTATTTAGTTTCAAATAAAATAAGAGTTGTAAGTCACACTTGATAACTTTATAATCTAATTAGTGAGTACATCAAAGGTCTGGTCAATTCCTTAACTAATCAACCATAAAATTTACAAGAAGTCTGTATACCTGTGACAAATATCTAAATTATCTGTATTCTATTTATTAAATGTATCAGAATATTATCAATAAATAAGACGTCATTCAGATAAAAAATATTTAATTATAACAATAGACACTTGCTTGTCAAATTTTACAACTTTTTAACTGCAACAATTTCAGTATTCCCCAAAATAAAAACCGCCAGAATTTTTCCTATAGTTTGTTGCTCCTTAATCGTGAAATCTTACACCCGCAGAAAAAAACCAGCTATACAGTATTAATAACAATCCATCCATATCACCAATTTTCATATTTTTTTGTATCTTTCTGCACCTTTATAAATAGCTGCAGGTCCTTATGATATTGTTTGACAATTTGCGGACCATAGATGAATTACATAGATGTTTAACCTATAAGATAAAATCAAAGAGACCTAGAAAAATTATCATTATACGATTGCACCTGCTTGTGGGTCTCTTTATATTTTTGTTTATGTTTATATATCAGGTTACATGACATTCGGCAGTCTTCCGAGGTCATCTCAATGGAAAATTAGATAGCGCATAGTCTGAAATATCTACGAAGTGTTAATACATTAAAGCAAGTCAATGAATTTTTAATTGTAGTTTTTGGTTCCTTTTGTAATTTTTATATATGTTTTAGTATGTTATAAATCAAATACAAGAATTTTGTAGCTGGAATAGATTTTTTACGTGTTAGTTTACAAGATAACAATCTGCAGAAAGACACGTCACCCTACCTGGACACATTATTCTGACTTTGAGCCGACATGTCGTTGCTCTCACTAATTAATGTTTAGTGGAGAAGCAGCAAATACAAAATTGTAAAGGTTATGGTTTGACCAGGAGAGGTATCAAACCCATAAACTCCTGCATTTGAGGCAAGCATGCTCCCACAAGACCAGTGAGGTAGTTGCCGATAAAGATAACAGATTTATTATTAGAAATTTAATTATTTCACAGCTATTTTAATTCCCATATTTCATTTTATCAAATTTTCAATGGTTTTAAAAGTAACTAAGCAGGTTATCTACAATATATAACGGTGATGGAATAAAATTCACTTTTGAAGGTGTTAAGTGAATTAATGAAATATTTATGTTTATGTACATCTAAAGACGGAATCATTGTTAAACAGAGTGATTACTAGTGATTGGAATGATAACACTCTAACAACCATATATGATTGAATGATGGTGTGGCCAGTTTTTATTGGTGGAGGAAGCTGGAGTGCCCAGAGAGAATCACTGACCTTTGACAGGAAACTTGCAATCCTAGTCTTAAGAGTAATTTTAATTGAATGACCTAATAGGAACTATAAAATGCAAAAGTTGTTAAAAAAAATACAACATTGACAAATTTTTGGTACGGATAATTCACAACAATGTGTTAAAACGTTTTCAAATAATTTTACCTGTAATTGGTTCCTCATCCTGTGAATCTACATTTGTCATGTTATCTAGAAGTTGTGTGAGTGGTATGCTACAGTCCATGGAATCATCTCTATATATTAGTAAAGAAAAGAAAATTTTTGTTTCATCTAAAGAATAATATTTGCAGAAACAAACAAGAAATACTAATTTGAGGGATCATTAAAGTTAGCAACATTTTAGCAGAACTATCAAATGGTCATATTACACACAATTGTTCCAAATGATTCAATTTTTCCTTTTGTATTTTTCTTTTTTCATAACAAGCAAGTCTGACTACTTGTGTTGCTTCTATGAATGCTAAATAGATATCTTTGGTGTTAATATTTGGGAGTTTCACATTTATCCAATATCTTAAATAGATTATAAATTGTCAACTTCTGGTAGAACAATGAGTATAATACTTGAAACAAAATCGGTGAAGATATAATATTTTTCAGGCTGAATTACTGAGACTGTAATTCTTGGACAAGAAATTTTTAACACACAATATGAAGCCGAACTAAAGCAATTTTAAAATTCCATTTACCTATGTTGAGATTTGTGGCAGTTCTCATATGCCTCCCTTGCCAATTCTCTTACACTATTATTATCCATGCTGAAAACAGATACATATCATTTTAATCTTCATCATCTTACACTTGAAAATATACAAACATATTCATGTCTATCAGTAAACAATTTTAAAATATTGATTCAATACTTCCAAGATTTATTGAAAAAAGTGTGTTTATGTTTATATATCAAGGTGTATTCATTTGTTCCTCTATATCAATGAACTTCTAAATAGGGGAAGGATTGAAATCTCCAGCAGTTCAACCCTGCCACATCGTCCCTATAGAGAACCATAGAAATCATTTCATTGTCTATTTACTGTCAAGTGCATTGATTTCATCTACAGAAATTTGTCTGCAATATTGTTTCAAAACTAACTATTCTAAGCCAATTTAGTGGCTAGTATATATTGTATAAGACTAAATAGCTCATCTTTATTCGCTTATTTTTTTTTATCAAAGATTGTTGTTATTGCTGTTCTTCATCCTGTGTTCATGGTGTTTGGGCCTTTAAATTTGTGCGCTGCTATAGTGTACATAAATTACCTCTTTTTTTATTTACAATGTTTTTTTTATTACAAAAAATGGCTGCAATGAAGCTGAGGTGTGCTGATGAACAATTAAAATCCTAACAATCAAATATCTGTCAAATAACATAGCAATTATTCAATCAACACAAAGATTCTATTGACATTGCCACTTTGATTAAATATGTAAAACTATTTTGATTAACAAATTCCTACTAAGCAAAAATATGAAGTATGCAAGCCATTCAAACAAGAGGCTCCTAAGAGCATGAATTGCTCACCTGGATTATTTGCTGGTAGATCTTGCATCAATTTTTGCTTTTTACAGTTTACTCCATGTATAATTATTATTTGATCAGGTTAATGGGCAAAAACATAAAATAAGTAGAAAAATGTCAATTAACGGGCAAATGCTATCTATCAATTATCCGTCATGTTGGCATTTTTTGTAGATTATATATTTTGATGGACATTTTCTCTCAATCTAAATAAAAGAACAGAGTTCCAATGTCCCCGCTTGAACATGTTTTATCTGTCCTACCACACCTTGCACATATTTTATCTGTCCAAGGGCAATAACTCAAAAAAAAAGAAGAATGAAAACAAAATTTTTAAAATAAATGGGGAATGGGTCCATGGGACACAGATGATGCCCCCGCTTGCATATCATATAAAGTTATAAAGGGACATAACTGAAGAACAGTAAAAGTGACGCTACCCAAATTTGTTATAGATCTGAGTTTTGTAGTAATAAGTATTGTGTATAAGTTTCATAACATTTGGTTGAGAAAAACTTAAGTTTGAGAATGGAAACGAAAAAATTCAGCAATTTTTTCTTTTGTAAAGGGGCATAACTCTAGAACGGTAAAAGTGACACCACCAAAAATCAAACTTGATCTGTATTTTGTGGTAATAAGCATTGTGTATAAGTTTCATAACATTTGGTTGAGGCAAACTCAAGAAAGAGAATGGAAACGGAAAATTCAGCAATTTTTCCTTTTGTAAAGGGGCATAACTCTACAACGGTAAAAGTGACACCACCAAAATTCAAACTTGATCTGTGTTTTGTGGCAATAAAAATTGTGTATAAGTTTCATAACATTTGGTTGAGGCAAACTAATGTTAGAGAACGGAAACGAAAAATTCAGCAATTTTTTCATTTGTAAAGGGGCATAACTCTACAACGGTTTAAGTGACGCCACCAAAATTCAAACTTGATCTGTGTTTTGTGGTAATAAGCATTGTGTATAAGTTTCATAACATTGGTTGAGGCAAACTAAAGTTAGAGAATGGAAACCAACTTTGGGACGTACGGAATGACGGACATACATACGGCGGGGGCATACAAATTTTTTGTTCTTTAAAACATTTTAAAATCATCTTAGAGAGTTGAAGACTTTAGAGCAATTTCCGATATTTTCAATATTTTCAAGGGGCATAACTCAATAAAAATATTTGATTGGCACTTATTTTCGAAATAATCCGATTTAAATGGGATTTGGAAACAAGAGCAGTGCTCTTATGAAATTCCATTCGTCATTTTTATAAGTTATACTGTAGATGGTTGTAATTACCAGTCAAGTACTCTGTACTTGAGATAAAATCCTTGCTGTAAATCCCAAATAGAGGCTGAGGAAATCTTCAATACAAACTCACTTCTTTCCTTTGTATAAAAGAATGTTAAAAACATGAAATCACTGTAATTTAAATTATGACATCAGCAATATTTGAAGGAACTTTTCGTTTTTATCAGCAATAAATAAAAACATAGAAACTTAAATCTGCATATTTGAATTTCCTGTCAGTTTCTTTTTTTTTTTAACAAATTTGTGCATTTTTCTTTCAGTCAATCATTACATGCATGAAATTAATATGAAGATGTTTGTTTCATCATTCATAATTTACAGAAAAAAATACACTTTTTTCATAATTTACCTTCCTACTTGTTGCAGTCTTTACTTTTAAACTTTTAAATCTACAGGCCCAGAGCGCAATTTTAGGAAAATTTTAGTTAGATTCTGTTGGCCTGAATAGATGATTTTACTGGCCCGAAAGCAATTTTATAAGAATGGGCTGCTGGGCCTGTGGTTAAGTGTGTTGTCACCATGGTATCAAATATTGAATTGTGCAAATATGTAAACTCTAAATTCAGAAATTATTGTGAGGTTTTTATTAATGCAAATATTGCGACTGGGTGAGTATCACAAAATTAAGAACTCGCATTCTGATATCTGATGCATATTCTGTATGTAGCTTTTCCTGAAATTGCAATAACTAATCTTGCATTTAAATCTATTCTCCAAAAATCGCAATAATAAATGCACACAATAATTTCTGAATTTACAATATTCAAAACTACAACATACCAAACAATTTGTGACATCAAAATGAATTGTATACTTTCTAAGGATGAGCAAAGCACTGTACCATTCTGGCTGTGTTGACCCTTCTTCACTATATAAATAAAATAAATATACAGATCTATGTCAACCAATACAATGAACTACATGTGAAGCAAAAAGCACGGCTAATTGATACTCTTGACTGAGATCCTCCCATGTGTTTATTGGGGTTCATGTTGTTCAATATTTTCATCTTTTTTTTTCATTTTATGTCTGTTTCTTTTCCACCCATGAGTTTTGATTCTTCCTATTGGTATCTTCTGGCTCTTTTTTTCTGACTAATGCAACAAATAATGTCCATTTAAGGCTAGTGGATAACATTTTTTGTTGCATTAGTTATCTTTGTATAAGTCATATTGTAGAAAAAGAGCTTTTTAGGGTAAGTCCTTAGCTAAATTCCAAATATCAAAATCAAGATCTCAAAATGAGGCCATTTTGATAGTTTTGCATCAAGAGCTAGAAATTTGAAGTAATAAACAAAATATGTAAGACACATTTCAAAAAATATAGATACAGATATCTGACATACTTATGTCTTGTGAACATATGAAGGATGTTATGAAATAGATATATCATACTTTTTGATTTTGGAAATTAGAGGGCCAAAAAATAGTGACCTTACAATACTTTCTCCTTTGTTTCAGATACAAGATCTTGAAACTGGTAATCAAGTATCAAGTTTATTAATGTATTACCTGAACATTTCTTCAATGGCTTCATGTGAGAAGTCAGCTTTGATGAACACACTGCCATCAGTCACTTCCCTAATCACTGACCCATCTTCTCTTGTTACTAAATGCTGAAAAGTAAATAATTTATGAAATCAGAACTGTTGTGTAAATGTCATTACATGAACATGATTGACTGATTGATTGTTGGTTGTTTAACTTCCAGTGGCAAACATTTTATGCATGTTCAGGACCAGAACAAATTAAGGTTCATGTGGACCCGTCGCCTAAAATGGCTGTGTTTATACCACAAAATTTACTCTAAGTGCAGACAAACCTGTGCATCTGGCAACATTTTAAGGCATAGCATGCCCCATATATATAAAATTCAAATCCATTTTACGTTTCAGAAAATTAAATGGATTTTGCTGTGTTTGTGAATGTATTAGGGACAACTTTGTGCTCTGAAAGTATTGGCTGTACATGCTTGCAAGTTAACATTTATTTAGTCATTGTTAAATGTAGATGATTGTTATTTCATGATGACTAACATCCAGTGGTCAATTTTTCATATATATTCTGGACAAGAACAAATTAACAATAAATTTTAAAGGTAGAATAGTTAAAGTGGGTCATACAGCATGAGGGCCATGGTGGGACATTTAGACTGCCTCTGGAAATGAGGGCCTCTTGGATAAGGACAGAAATTTTGTCTTTCAACATGCCACCTATGCTGCAATGGTTCTTTAACAGGTCGTGGGCAGGGCACTGTCCCTTCCAAAAAGCACCAGCTTAAAAAGTTCCCATAGACCTTAGTGTTCTAGCTATAAACTAAGGGTAGAGTGGCACTGTCTTAGAAAAAGGGCACTTTTACACACTAATCTTTTTTTTACAACAGGTTTTTCTTTTACATTTATAAATATAAATAGCCTCTTTCATTTGTTTTTTCATACCCAAACTCAACTTCCTTCTTGCAGAGATATGTGAGTTTCCTTTGCTTTATAAAAAAAAATCTTGTCACTCTCGTGCCTACTTTCAAGTATTATTTATTGTCCAAATATGGTCACTAATTTAGATAAAATGATATCTAGCATGTTAAATAACTGCAAGATATTTAGGGGTGTCGATCCTGCTAAATAGCAATTTCAATTTTCGTGCTCTAGTCTACTTCTCATAGCAAATAGACAGTTGGATTGTTTAGATTCTACACATCACCTTAATGTTCTGAGTAAGCAGCCCTACTATAACTGGACATCACAGCCATTCCCATTTTTTTACATAATAATTTAAAAGAAAATGTTTGACACCACAAAAGAAAAGTGATTGTTGCATGACATCAATATTTCACATATTCAATGTTATTGCAAATCCTCAGGTCAAATGTCGCAGATTACCAAATAGCAAGGAATTGTATATCAATTCCTTGCAAATAGCAATAAGGTCTATTCTAACCTATATTGACATCCTGCACAGCCAAATGAACACCCCAATATCTGTATCTGTATCTGTATCGTTACGTCATAGGTACCAATTCTGGCTTTAACTCGACGGGGGAGAGAGCGCCTATTGGCGGCGTTTGAGAGCTGTTTTGAATCTATCAACTGACTTGGCACACACTATGTCTTCTTCGAGTTGGTTCCAATGAATCACAGTCTTAACAAAGAATGATTTCTTAAATTGCTCAGTTTTGCAGTTTGTTGTTTCAATTGCCTTTGAATTGTTCTTAACCGAGTTGTTAACTATGTTAATACTTTCAAAGTCTACAAAGCGTTTCGGCTTGATAATCCTTTTGGTTTTGCTCTTTACCAAAAATTTGTCAGGTTTGATAGCTGGGACCAAACCCTCAACTATTTTGTACAGAAATACCAGTCTTTGGCTTGTTCTTCTGGACTGCAGGTTTTCTAGTTCCAGTACGGTAAGTATTTTGGTCACCGATCCTTCTCTAGATTTGTAATCCCCTGTGATGAATCGTGCTGCTCTTCGCTGGAATCTTTCTAATTGGTTGATGTTTTTTGTTGTATATCATGTATATGGGGCCAATACAATTGCCCCATATTCCATCGTAGATCTTACTAATGAGATGTATGCTGTTTTCTTGCAGTCTTTTGGGCAGAATCTTAGGTTGGGTCTTAGAAAGCCTAGTGTCGACTTTGCTTTCTTGGCTACATTTGAAACCCTAAAAGATCAATCAATTTAATTGGAAGTTCTGATTCACCGGTATCGGGTCCGTTCGCGCCCAATACACATTCGCACTCTACACGTTCGCCCCCTGGGTCCGTTCGCACCCTTTTTTTTTATTAAAAAAACCCGATGAATTATAAGATGTTTTTTAAGATGTTTATCTCGAAATAAAGAAAAATTCGGCAATTTTTTAAATGAAATATTGTTTTAAATTGATTTGATGATTACTGTTAATTATATATGGTGTTTACACAGCTAATTAAACTTGATGTAAATTCTGCATGTAGTTATATTAGCATGTATTTAACTTGGTATGAGTAAAAACAATTAAGATTCAAAATGTTATTGTTGTTGAGTTTAAAGTGGTTTGGTATCTTAACATTAAAATAATATTCAACACAAAAAACCTTTTTAGAAGGTCACTTTATTTTGAAACAATGAAAAAAAAAATAAATATAGCAATACACTAACCAAAACACGATTAAAAAGATATTCAACACAAAAAACGTCACTTTTTGCATGTTTTGAAACAATGAATAAAAACTTATTTATAGCAATACAATAACCAAAACACGATTAAAAAAATATTCAACACAAAAATCGTTTTTAGAAAGTCACTTCATTTTAAAACAATGAACAAAAAAAAATATTTATAGCAATACACTAACCAAAATACGATTGAAAAATTATTTAAGACAAAAATCAATAAAAAGGGTGCGAACGTGTAGGGTGCGAACCGACCCGGGGTGCGAACGTGAAAGGGGGCGAACGTGAATGGGCGCGAACGGACCCGGATTCTGATTCACCACCTTCACCTTTTTTCCCCTCAAAATTTTACAAATTAGCCACTACAGACATGACAGAGTACCTAAAAACTGGGTTTTGGATAATAATACGAATTTAATACCATATGATACTACTTGCAGTATGAAAATAAAAGGAGTTTCATGTCTGAAGTCCAGGACTGCAGAAGGAAAATAAAGTTTCTTTTGGTTGAGGAAGCCAGCTTACCCAATACTGTGAACTATTGAACTAAATTACCTTTAGAACTTTGACAGAGTTTGCCTTTATTGGTTCTGTATTCATAAGTATAGCGTCGATCAGCCAAGGTTTGAGATGCGTAGGGTTTTTTCTCGATCTTGGCATTTTTATGATTTCGGATTTCGTGTTTTGCAGTAAGGAGAAGAAAAAATACAGACAATGTCGGAAATAGCATAACATATCCGGCTTTATCTCCTTCTCCGTCTCTATTTTTTAAATACGCTTGGCGACGACGACGATGATTGGGGTATTAAACAACCTTGACTACCCCCTAGGCACTCACACGGTCACCTACAACATGCTTATTCATAAATGATCCCTAAATAAGATAACAGAAATAAGAGTAAAATATGTGTTCCGGCAAAAGCGAGCCTCCTCATGGGGTTTTTGATTATGTGATTACTTGTCGTTTTTATAGTGATTATTTGATTACCAGACCAAATATTTCATGATTATTTGATTATTTGATAATCTAGGACTGTATTTTTGATTATTTGATTATCTTGTTTAAAAAAATAATTAATGATTATGTGATAATATTGGCAAAAAAAAATGTGATTATGTGATTAAACACCTTCATGAGGGGCCTCAAAAACATGATGGCTAACACTATTGTATCTAAATATTGTATACATATATATACATAATGTTTTTTATATATGACCATTGTAATATTTGAATGTATTGTATCTAGTTTATTTTATATGATTTGTCACAGTCAGAGTGAAGGTTAGTTTTGTGCTGACTGTATAACTCTCTAAATTAGTTTTTTTTTATATGATTTGTCAGAGTGAAGGTTAGTTTTGTGCTGACTGTATAACTCTCTAAAATAAAGTCATCGCATGTTTACTTATACCGCTTATACTTACCTACCTGCTCACAGAAGATATTCAAGTGAAATTATTAGTTTTCAGAAAAAGCAACATCACGGGTAGTAACGTCGTCATACCAAGGAGCGTTTAGTAAAGTGATTTTGTCAAAGTTTGGTTGAGTTGGTCATTGTGGTTTAGTTAGGTTACTTCCCAGAAAGATCGCCTCAGATCTTTTCAAATGAGCAAATAAAAAGCAAAGATGTTTGAATCTATTGTAAGTCAAACGATCTACATTGAAATAGTTGATTTTAAGAAACTAACGCAGGATAACCAAAATATCGAAATTGATATGGTTTGGTTAAGCGATTGACATGGTTCAGTTAAGTGTCTAGCAATTCGTCATGGTTTTGATCATATATGTCATGGATTAGATCCAAATTAATACATATTTGTTTCACCTTAATATTGATAGTTTGTTTGATGGTGCTTGTGAAAAAAACGAATTTACACAAATTACCAATTGTCTTAGAAGGAAAAATAGCCTTTTTAAACATATTTGGTGGACGTAATCGACAAACCGTACATTATACAATTTTATATTTCGTGTGTTTCCTAAGATAGAATTAATATAGCCACTGCTCTTTTTAACTGGCATTCGATGAAATAAATTTCAAAAACAGAAGCAACACCTTGAATCTTTTCTCCGTATGTCCATGATGGACTCTGCCGGGAATATCGTGAGCGGCGTCACTAGCTAGATTATGTCTATGATGAATAAAAGGGGATGTGGGGTGTCTGTTTGTTTTGTTCACACATTGTTGTCAATACAGGCTAACATCTACATCATTTGGTCTCGGGTGGATATTTGTCTCATTGACAATCATACCGCATCTACTTATTATATGTTACTGTGTGCTTTCGTTGGTCCTTTTGTATTCCAAATAAAACTACTTAAAAAAAATGCATTTGAAATGCATTAATATATTATCCACGTGATTTCTTAATACATTCGTGTTCTATAATTATAACTATAATGATAATATCTTAAATTTACTGTAGACGACTTATTTTTCGCGATTACAAGAGTCAACGTAAATATGTGAAGGTTATATCTACTCGTATGGGTACAAAACAACAACAACATTATAAAATGGCGACAATATATTGCCTCGAAATTGGATATTGTAGAATGGGTTAAACGCGAGAAAAAAAGGTATCGGCGAAATTAATTTTTTTAACAGTATTTCTTTAGTTGTATAATGTCTGTTTATTTTGATCGTTACACTTCCATCAAACACAACAGGAATCCCATAACTGAACCATGTCGAACATGAACTAAACCATGACACTACTGAACCAGACCATGGTAATCTTAATTTGTGTTCAAATGTAGCTATTTTTCGGAATAATTGACGGCACTTTTATATTATAACGAAAAATGTGATGTAACAGACAGTAAACAAATCACCTTTTTTATGCATGAGAAACGAATAAACAACTTTTTAATTTTGACATACGCAAGCATTATTCTGTGTCAAATTATTAACTATATGATACAAATTTTAATGTACTCACCTATTAGCTATAGACAAAGATACTTACCAGCTTGAATTTATGTTAAGAAGTTCCTTAAGCAAAAAATCCGAATGTTTATATTTTGTCATTGTTCGTCATTAAAAACACTTAACACTATCATGTTCAGCTTAACCAAACAATGAAAAAAATTACTGTACTAAACGCTCATCGATATGACGACGTTACTCCGTGAACATTGGCTCACTGCACTCGTTTTCTTGCTACATAACAAAATATATAAATACCATACTTTCTTTTAAAAAATAAAAATAGTAGTAATTCTTGGTCTGAGTTATCTTTCCTTATTAATGAATGTTGGGGTTTTAAATTGTTTTGTATCACTCACAATTTCTGTATTTGTACAAACAATTTACTAACATAAAATAAATACAACCATGTGAAATAAGTCATTTAAATTAAGAGTTCCATAAATAAATTGCATTGCTGTGTCAAATTTTGCTAATTTCAGTAAAAATCTGGACCGACCATTTCATTTCAATTTTCAAGGTTTATATTAAGTATGTTAACTTCACACATTCTATTCTGACCGTGCGAGGGCTTTATATCCAATGAAAAACAGGTTAGATCTGTTTTATATAGAAACCCCGTTTTACAATATAATGGATCACAAATCAAAATATTAATTGGAAAAACTTTAACACTATGCCGATTAGCACTTTATTGTTATGATACGAAGGGTAACTCTTGATTTTCAGTTTTGTTGTGTGTAAAGAATACATGTTATATTTGAACTAATTTGTTGAACTAATTACGACATCAAACTGTATTTTATTATTTTATCAACAAGCAATTGGTATGAACAATGTTTATCATGTTAAGTGAAATTGGGTTTTATCCTATTCACTTTTTATTGTAAATATATATTTGTAAATATAAAAAAAAAGCCAGTCAAGGTCGTTAAAGTTAACCCCCGTCATCATCAATATATTATCTGAATTGCCGTCTCCATTTTAAAATTAATTGATATATGTCATTATACTTTTTACCATTGTTTTGTGAATATTTTTGTGTAATATGTAATATATTTATTGTATATAAATGATGAATAATTGAATAAAGATTAAAAAAAATCATTTTTATATGTATATTCAAAAAACGGATTGTAACCTTTAATCACTCTGTGTATAGTCGAGGCTTGATTTTTTCAAAAGTGTCTTGATTGTTTACACACCTGTAGATTAAGATGTTTTTTTTTTGTACTTAAGCATACTAAGGTTGCCGTGCGGCCTTCAACAATGATCAAAATCCATCCAATTTAATCCAATTCAATGTTTTATTTACAGACAAAATTAAGTGAACATACTACTTTCATACAAGCTCTAGTGTAGTTTTCAAATCGACTACATAACAATATATACACAAATTACGGCATATATAAAAAAGTCAGACAAACAACACATTTTTTTCCTGTGATCTAAATTCATAGTTTCGGATTTTGATATCGATTTAATAATGTAGATAACTGGGGCTTTTTTATGAATTATCTTGATAAATTTTCAATGGTAATAGTTTTTATTCTCCTAAGTTTTAAAGAGGGTATAGTTTTTATTCTCCTAAGTTTTAAAGAGTTTTGGTTTTTCTAAAAATAAAGAATTTTTATTTGTAGGTAGATTTATTTGATCAAAATATCACCGAATCATTTCATTTCCAATACTATGAAAAAAAAGTAAAAATAACTAAAAAACCGAACTCCTAGGAAAATTCAAATCGGAAAGTCCCTTATCAAATGGCAAAATCAAAAGCTCAAACACATCAAACGAATGGAAAACAACATATTCCTGACTTGGTACAGGCATTTCCTTCTGTAGAAAATGGTGGATTAAACCTGGTTTTATAGCTAGCTAAACCTTTCACTTGTATGACAGTCGCATAAAATTCCATTAAATTGACAACAATGTGTGAACAAAACAAACAGACATGTACTGGCTTCCGAAGCTACACAAATCACCTTACAAATATAGATTTATTTCGTCTTCAAGTCATTGTTCCACTACTAAATTGTCTATTCTACTTACTAGTACACTTGGTACAATCAAAACCCTGATAATAAATTGTTCAAATAAGGCCTTTGAAAATAGTGGAATTAACTACTTTTGGAGTGTCAAAAACTCGTCGGAAGTACTTGATAAATTGCATGCATATATTGGTGATTTTGAATCTGTTCAAAATTTTGATTTTTCTACCCTATATACCACTTTGCCTCATATTCTTATTAAGAAAAAATTCACACACCAAATTAAATGGGCATTTAAAAAGTCGGAATGCGAATACATATGTTCAAACTCTTTTAGGTCATTTTTTAGTAGCAACAAAAAAGAGCTATGTCAATTGGACATGCTTTGATACTATATCTGCCCTTGAATTTTTACTTGATAACATTTTTGTTCGCTTTGGAGATTCCGTATATCGACAAGTTATCGGAATTCCAATGGGGACTAACTGTGCACCACTTATTGCAGACCTGTTTTTGTATTGTTATGAGTTACAATTTATGACTAAAATCAGCAAAGACCCATCGAAACAACACCTGATACAAAAATTTAACAATACTTTTAGATATTTGGATGATATATTGGCTCTCAATAATGACGACTTCAGTATGTATACTAAAGAAATTTATCCTGTTGAACTTACTTTAAATAAAGCTAATACTAACAATGACCACTGTCCTTTCCTCGATCTTGATATCTATATCATTAACGGGAAGCTTAATACAAAAATTTATGATAAAAGAGA